ATACAATACCTATATTAATCCATTCATGTAAGAATCATGTAGCATCAATCATGCAATATGATATATACAATACCTATATCAATCCATTCAAGTAAGAATCATGTAGCATCAATCATGCCATATAATATATACAATACCTATATTAATTCATTCAAGTAAGAATCATGTAGCATCAATCATGCAATATGATATATACAATACCTATATTAATCTATTCAAGACAGAATCGTGTAGCATCAATCATGCCATATAATATATACAATACCTATATCAATCCATTCAAGTAAGAATCATGTAGCATCAATCATGCAATATGATATATACCAGACCTATATTAATCCATTCAAGTAAGAATCATGTAGCATCAATCATGCAATATAATATATACCAGACCTATATTAATCCATTCAAGTAAGAATCATGTAGCATCAATCATGAAATATGATACATACCAGACCTATATTAATCCATTCAAGTAAGAATCATGTAGCATCAATCATGCAATATAATATATACCAGACCTATATTAATCCATTCATGTAAGAATCATGTAGCATCAATCATGCAATATAATATATACCAGACCTATATTAATCCATTCAAGTAAGAATCATGTAGCATCAATCATGATATATGATACATACCAGACCTATATTAATCCATTCAAGTAAGAATCATGTAGCATCAATCATGCAATATAATAAATACCAGACCTATATTAATCCATTCATGTAAGAATCATGTAGCATCAATCATGCAATATGATATATACCAGACCTATATTAATCCATTCAAGTAAGAATCATGTAGCATCAATCATGATATATGATACATACCAGACCTATATTAATCCATTCAAGTAAGAATCATGTAGCATCAATCATGCAATATAATATATACCAGACCTATATTAATCCATTCATGTAAGAATCATGTAGCATCAATCATGCAATATGATATATACCAGACCTATATTAATCCATTCAAGTAAGAATCATGTAGCATCAATCATGATATATGATACATACCAGACCTATATTAATCCATTCATGTAAGAATCATGTAGCATCAATCATGCAATATGATATATACCAGACCTATATTAATCCATTCATGTAAGAATCATGTAGCATCAATCATGCAATATGATATATACAATACCTATATTAATCTATTCAAGTAAGAATCATGTAGCATCAATCATGCAATATGATATATACAATACCTATATTAATTCATTCAAGTAAGAATCATGTAGCATCAATCATGCAATATGATATATACAATACCTATATTAATTCATTCAAGTAAGAATCATGTAGCATCAATCATGCAATATGATATATACAATACCTATATTAATTCATTCAAGTAAGAATCATGTACCATCTGTCAGGATATATGATATATACAATACCTATATTAATCTATTCAAGTAAGAATCATGTAGCATCAATCATGCAATATGATATATACAATACCTATATTAATCCATTCATGTAAGAATCATGTAGCATCAATCATGCAATATGATATATACAATACCTATATTAAGCTATTCAAGTAAGAATCATGTAGCATCAATCATGCAATATGATATATACCAGACCTATATTAATCCATTCAAGTAAGAATCATGTAGCATCAATCATGCAATATGATATATACCAGACCTATATTAATCCATTCAAGTAAGAATCATGTAGCATCAATCATGATATATGATACATACCAGACCTATATTAATCTATTCAAGTAAGAATCATGTAGCATCAATCATGCCATATAATATATACAATACCTATATCAATCCATTCAAGTAAGAATCATGTAGCATCAATCATGGCATATAATATATACAATACCTATATCAATCCATTCAAGTAAGAATCATGTAGCATCAATCATGCAATATAATATATACCAGACCTATATTAATCCATTCAAGTAAGAATCATGTAGCACCAATCATGCAATATGATATATCCCAGACCTATATCAATCTATTCAAGTAAGAATCATGTAGCACCAATCATGATATATGATATATACAAGACCTATTTTAGTCCATTCAAGTAAGAATCATGTAGCACCAATCATGCAATATGATATATACCAGACCTATATTAATCCATTCATGTAAGAATCATGTAGCATCAATCATGCAATATGATATATATCAGACCTATATTAATCTATTCAAGTAAGAATCATGTAGCATCAATCATGCAATATGATATATACAAGACCTATATTAATCCATTCATGTAAGGACAATGTAGCATCTATCATGATATATGATATATACCAGACCTATATTAAACAGGCAATGCGCCTATTTTTGAAGGAAAAAGGACAAAATATTATTTGAGACATGTCACTCACACAGTCAATTAAATATGATAAAAACTTTTATTTGGGATAATACTGATGTGAAAAAAATTACTTGCATAGAAAAACAGCATTTGAAGTTCAGAGATTGAAAAAAGTGAATTACCACTTTTCACAAAGTGTATGTTTTAAATAACTCTTGGATTAAAAGATGGCGTATGCTTGAAAATCCTATCAAAATGAACAGGAGGAGTGAGTAGCTCCCATAATTCTTTCATATTCTATCGTATTCGGGGATTCCCCATTACATCATATCTTGCATCATCTCCAATCAAATTGCAGGAATCGATCACATTTGAAATCGTGGGAATGGCGTTAACATCAGTTCAACATCATCATTTCAAACCTACGGTAATACTATTGGAGTTACTCGATCCATACTTGTAGAGAATACTCATAAAACTACAGTGAACATTTGAAGATCCATTTCAACGGCAAATTAAAGCCTGTTTATAAAATTTGTTTTCGAACGTGCTAATATGATAGGGCATCTTTGCGAAATCCCCCCTGCAAAATGAATGGATAATTAATGCAAACAACAATGCCATCTTTCTATCGCATTGCTAAAAACTTGACATATAAAAATTGATAGATCAGAAATATTTTTTCATGATCTAGTGTCAATTCTGATGTGGTCTGTTTGAGCTGTTTTTGGTGTCAAATGAAAGATCAGGTACTTATTTATCCATTGGAAATACTATGAAGATTTAAAGTGAGACTTCATTTACGCATTGTTTTATAGGAAGGGTCATAACATTGACATATGCCCATTATGTAATAGTAGTATGATTGCATTGTTTTATAGGAAGGGTCATAGCATTGACCTATGCCCATTATGTAGTAGTAGTATGATTGCATTGTTTTATAGGAAGGGTCATAACATTGACATATGCCCATTATGTAATAGTAGTATGATTGCATTGTTTTATAGGAAGGGTCATAACATTGACATATGCCCATTATGTAGTAGTAGTATGATTGCATTGCTTGAAAGGAAGGGTCATAACATTGACATATGCCCATTATGTAATAGTAGTATGATTGCATTGTTTTATAGGAAGGGTCATAACATTGACATATGCCCATTATGTAATAGCAGTATGATTGCATTGTTTTATAGGAAGGGTCATAACATTGACCTATGCCCATTATGTAATAGTAGTATGATTGCATTGTTTTATAGGAAGGGTCATAACATTGACATATGCCAATTATGTAATAGCAGTATGATTGCATTGTTTTATAGGAAGGGTCATAACATTGACCTATGCCCATTATGTAATAGTAGTATGATTGCATTGTTTTATAGGAAGGGTCATAACATTGACCTATGCCCATTATGTAAAAGCAGTATGATTGCATTGTTTTATAGGAAGGGTCATAACATTGACCTATGCCCATTATGTAATAGTAGTATGATTGCATTGTTTTATAGTAGGAATCATAACATTGACCTATTCCCATTATGTAATAGTAGTATAATTGTATTGTTTTATAGGAAGGGTCATAACATTGACATATGCCCATTATGTAATAGTAGTATGATTGCATTGTTTTATAGGAAGGGTCATAGCATTGACCTATTCCCATTATGTAGTAGTAGTATGATTGCATTGTTTTATAGGAAGGGTCATAACATTGACATATGCCCATTATGTAATAATAGTATGATTGCATTGTTTTATAGGAAGGGTCATAACATTGACCTATGGCCATTATGTAATAATAGTATGATTGCATTGTTTTATAGGAAGGGTCATAACATTGACCTATGCCCATTGTGTAATAGTAGTATGATTGCATTGTTTTATAGGAAGGGTCATAACATTGACCTATGCCCATTGTGTAATAGTAGTATGAATGCATTGTTTTATAGGAGGAATCATAACATTGACATATGCCCATTATGTAATAGTAGTATGATTGCATTGTTTTATAGGAAGGGTCATAACATTGACATATGCCCATTATGTAGTAGTAGTATGATTGCATTGTTTTATATGAAGGGTCATAACATTGACATATGCCCATTATGTAATAGTAGTATGATTGCATTGTTTTATAGGAGGGGTCATAACATTGACCTATGCCCATTATGTAATAGTAGTATGATTGCATTGTTTTATAGGAGGAATCATAACATTGACCTATGCCCATTATGTAATAGTAGTATGATTGCATTGTTTTATAGGAGGAATCATAACATTGACCTATGCCCATTATGTAAATAGTAGTATGATTGCATTGTTTTATATGAAGGGTCATAACATTGACCTATGCCCATTATGTAATAGTAGTATGATTGCATTGTTTTATAGGAGGGGTCATAACATTGACATATGCCCATTATGTAATAGTAGTATGATTGCATTGTTTTATAGGAAGGGTCATAACATTGACCTATGCCCATTATGTAATAGTAGTATGATTGCATTGTTTTATATGAAGGGTCATAACATTGACATATGCCCATTATGTAATAGTAGTATGATTGCATTGTCTTATAGGATGAATCATAACATTGACATATGCCCATTATGTAAATAGTAGTATAATTGTATTGTTTTATAGGAGGAATCATAACATTGATCTATGTCCATTATGTGACAAGCCATATGTACAACCAGAGTCCCAAGATTCATCAGAGAAATGCAAGTGCGTTATTCCAGCCTTATGTGCGGGTTGTAAAGACGACGATGTAATGAGCAGGGAGTCATCAGACAGCATCCCGCACATGTATGGTTGTCAGACTCATGGGAAATACAAACAATATCAAGACATATTGAGAAGTAAGTTCAAGAAAATAATGAAAATAGGAAACCATGAGAATTAAACGGTTTATTTAGTTATAAAAAAATAATTGAGAGTTGTACATGCTACACGAGCATAATATACTGCCATATAGGATAAATTCCGTATCCACTTATCACCAATTCAACGTATTTACGAATGTTTCCCAAAGCCTACAAAATATGTAACTAGCTTGTTAGTGTTACTATCAGTTTCACAAATCAACTACAGAATGTGTTTGTCTAATTAATAGAATAGATGTGTAGTTCATTAAATGTTGATCGTCCTACTAAGCATGGTTAAAATATATTTTTTGATTCCAGCATATTGGATGAGAAAAATGTCGTACATTGTTTATTTGTCTGCCATTACTTGTAAGACCGAGGTTTAATTTCGCTTTTGACATATGTCTGAAAACGATGGTTATATTTCAGGATATAAAACATGGGCAATTCTTGTTGTTACAATTATGATTGTTCCAATGGGAATGGTCATCAAAAAGACAACGATTGACTTGAACTGGGCATTTCAAACGGGAACTGTTTCATTGATTTGTTTTTATCCAACTGTTGTGCTATCCGTACTGTGGAGTAAAACATCTGGATATGGTGTCATTGCAGGTTAGTTTCAATTACAATCAGGATGTGTTCATAAATATATTAGCTCTAATGTCTGCAACTTTTTCTTATAACACGGAGTCGCATGCGGGGGGGGGGCATTTGAAACCCCATTGACGATTTTCATTACTTGTTTGATTTCATGTTCGTATGTTGTTTCATGTAATATTCGTATTGTTGTAAACCTAATTCAATTACCCCTTCAGAAAGTTTCTTTTAAAAATAGGCCAACGGAGGTCATATCAAGGTCAAAGTGACTTGAATATGTAAATTTAGAAATAAGGATACATTTCTCTGCGAATTTCTCTGCAGCTTTTAAATATGACTTGTGTAAAAATATTTCCCACAAACAACACAAACCAAAACAACCCGCTCCAACCCATTATCCAAATAGGACGATGACACCTCATGCTTATATATGCAAAATATAATGTTTGTTCGTACTTTCGGTAAGAAAAGGAGTGCTAAAACATGTTGGCACACTAATAATGAGTTTAAGTTGCAAAAATATATTACAAGATAATTTTGACGCGTATTTGTAGGTAATGGCCTTGGATTGACACTTGGCTGGTTCACTATGTTAGCCACAGCTAGCACATATGACGGTGGGATATCAACTATGGACAACTTTCTCAAAAACACAGTCCAAGAAAATAGGCAAGTAAAATTCGGACTCATATTCTGACTATATGATTGTGATTAACACCCCAGTCACATTTGTCGCACGGCGGCCGCAAGTCGACCGCAGAACAATTAAATCGGTGAATTTCTGCGGCGAGCGTAAAAGAACTACGCTCGCCTTGCGGCCTCCGTACGGCGTATGCAGATTTTTACAGGCCGCAGGGAAGGCGTAGAAATTATAACTCAGAGTTATAATATTTGTTCATTTTTGAGGTCCCCGTAGAAATCAACTGGCTCAACAAGATTGAATCATTATTTGTCAATGTTTCACGATCACTTTTCATTTGATATTACATCCTAGCACTTTGAATAACATTTATAAATTGTCCTGATGTAAATAAAATGAAAAAAACTATTATTTAGCAATAGAAATTTAAAATTCACCGTGCGGCTGCCGTGGGAAATGTGACTGCAAAAGTATGAGAGCGCAGAAATTCTGCGGCGAGCGTAGAAAAGCTACTGGCCGCAGAAATGATAGACCGCAAGGTCGCCGTAGGAAATGTGACTGGGGTGTAACTATTAAAGATACTCTACTATACCTAACCCTAGAAATGCATAAGATACTCTGTTTGTCTAATTATATTGTTTAGTATATTAATAAGGAACAAACAAATAAAAACGAATAACACAATCCTAACTAATGAGCCAAATGGGTTGATTATGAACAACAAATGCAAGGTATATTAGAGTGTAAGAGGCTTATTGAATTGTTCATACACGTTTGATAAAATTTATGTGAAGCATTGATAGAATTGGTGAGATTTTGTAATTGTTATGATGATTGATATTTGGTGTCAACAAATGGTAGGTATCTCAAACAAATGCTTCCAGTTTTGAAACAATATCCGACGGCACCTTTTTATATGTTATTGCCTGATGTGAATTGTTCTGTTCATTCAAGTGTGCTGGTCGGTTGTTGTATCAGCTTTGGCGTGAGTCTAATCACGTGTGTTCTTATCTCACTGGTGGCCAACTGGAGACAAACTCAACAGGAAGCGGAAGATGTCTGGAAACTAACTCTGGCTATTGACAACCCCATGTACCCATGGACTGAACAATACAGTCGACAACTAAAAGCAAGCGACATAGAGTTCAACCATCGACCCTCTTTTAAACAGATGCATTATATGTTCACAAAGGCTAGGAACACGGCAATTGCAGGATGCTCTATCGTCTTACTCTTTATCCTTGTTATCATTCCAGGGAGCCTAGCCTCTTTCCCCACTATGGATTACTCCACCTTTTACAACTGGATAACTTTCACTCATGTATACTTGTTCATTATGTCTTTCTTTGTTGTACTTGGACCTCCTGTACAAGAGGTAATGAAAGTGTTGCGTCATCGAAAGATGACTTTGAAATCTAAACAACAATCTGTGGAGTCGACATAAGGGGAAAGCTGTGATAACACTGGCGGATACAGGGTGGGGGCAAATGTTTGGTAGTGCTTCAATTAGTGGGCCTTTTTGGGCATTACTTGACTTTTTGGGCTTTTTAAGGCCAAATCATTTAAAAACGGGCCTACCATTTCGAACATTTGGGCCCAAATTTTGGTTTTAGGAGCCCAAAACTTTTTTCTCATTTGGAATTTCGGCCCCCTCCCTTGTTAGCTTCTGGATCCGCCATTGATTATTTAGTTACATCAATATCAATATAACATATTAATTATGGGGTATTGGGTATACTTTAGATAATAAAACATAAAGGCTCAAGTAAACAAAGAAGACATTCGTCGTTCCACGTTTTTCCATACAATGGGAAGTTTAAGCTTGCATATAGAATCGAAACGCCAACATATAAACATATACGTATGACCAATCGCCCATACAGATGTATCGCTCAAATATTTTCCGCTCGCGTTTAGGTTGTGAAAAACATTGTGAATAGTACCAAAGGACAAACTAAGGATAGATAAGAGTAATAAATATGCATCAATTACACATTTGCACGGTATTGGAATAATGAAATATGCTTTAAGTTGTTTTGAAGTTGAAATCAGTATGTGCTGACTTCATATCCCCGATAAATATTAAAATTAATTTTGGGACTTTTAGTTGTCCACTATCGTAGAGTTTGACCTTCATACGGTAAGGTAGCATAAGCATAAATATAATCCAAATAGAGTAAAACGGTTTTCATAGCATCTTTAAAAAATGACGGCACACGTGAAATTAGCGCTGTATTTTGGATCAGTTTTGACCATATCAAAACAATTTTTCATGTTTTTCTTAAGTCTGTAAGTATAGACAGTTCATATATCGATATATAAATGATTATAACTACAAAACCAGGGAAATGGGATTGCAAGCGATATTCATAATTATTATCCTGGAATTATTCTGGAACTATTCCTCAATATATTTCCGTTTTCCAATAAAGGCCTTTTCATTTGGAGGTGCAAACCACACATCCAATGAACAGAACAGAACAGAACAGTACAATTTAATTTGTTACATTTAAGTTTTTAATTTATTCAAATGCAACTTAAACTTAAATTCAATTACATTCAATCTTTCAAAATATATCAATTTACTTTAAATGTAATGAGTTGTTCATTATTATCATGTTGTATCCGCTTTGTTTTTCTCGTCGTGATTGATCAGTCCTAGTCCATCGAAGGGGTGGCTTTTCTTATGAATAATAGCAGTTATAACAATGGTAGTATGACCAACCGCTAGGTCCTCTCCACCAGCACCAACTGTTGCAAGTCCAATGCAGTCAAGGGTGTGGATATGTATAGAAACACCACCAACACCTATATAAAAGTTACAAAGGGAAACATTAGCAATAATATTAAGATCTCTATGGCAAATGAATCACTAGAGGCATATAGAACTATATCTTAATGAATAATTAAAACAATTTGGCCAAAAGCTTACACTAGCAAAATTACCCAGCTACTCATTTAAAACTCTCAATTCGTTAAAACAGGAAATCATTTCTAAATATTAATTACAAGTTATGACAGCCCCACCAGCCACGCCAACATGCGTAACAGCGCCATTTAAGCCTGCTGCCTAATCCAACTACCCCTGGAAGTGTTTGAACACATAATAAAACGGCAATCTGATGACAGGTTGATGCTTAGGTCACATTTGCTCCGATTCATCGGCCAGCGCCCGGCCAATTGCATTATTTTGTTTAAAACTGATTTCAACTTGTAATTCCGTTTAGATAAAGTGGAAAACAATATTTTCCATGTTATTTCCCCATAGGGAAAACACGTGCGATCCATTGCTTTCTTTAAAACCCCTGAACGAATAACTCATTCCTTTAAAAGGGTTAACTGTATGTCAAAACGCAACATATTGATGCAACAAAAATTGAAAAAGCAGGGGTGGAAGGGATTGAAAATCAGGACAACATTCAGAAAAAAACATATGGGTGTCTAAAATCATCTCTATGAATGCCTTTCCTGGAGGAAATGCATTGGCCTAACATATGCACCTGTTTAAATCCTCAGAAAAAATGCAACATATGACTGTCAGAAATCTGTTGCGAAACGTTCCGTCCTCCTTTGAGATTTTACAGTCAATTTTGAAAAAAATTCGAAATCGTCCGGGCGCCGGCCGATGAATCTGAGCAGGCATTATCAAAGCTCAAGATTATACCATTTTACACTTAGAAGTAAGAAACAGAGATGAAGTATGCGAGACAATCCGATATTTGTTATCAGTGAGAAGTAATCATGATAAGAATTGAACTTTTAAGTCTTACGTACTGGCACTTGCAGCTTTTCCTTCCCTATTAGCTTTAGCAATCGCTTGGTCATTAGGTTCTCTGAGTGCTCCCCGTCTATCTCGATCAATGCCCCGATCGTCTGGTTCGGCTCTTAGAAGTTGTGTTATCACACACAGAACAATAGCGACTAAAATATTATGACATTTTATGCCCATTTTTGATAATTTAGCCCAAAAAGACCTAAAAAGACCAAATTATGCCCAAAAAGAACCATTTTTGAGGCCCTACAAAATTAATATTTTTTCTTGGCCCACGAATGTCTGGGTCACATTTGCCCCGATCCATCGGCCGATTGAGTGTTTTGCTCAATATTGTATTCAATTTTGAACAAAATACTCAATCGGCCGGGCGCCGTAGTGAAAATCGGAGCAAATGTGACCAAGGCATAAGGGGGGGGGGGATCCGTCACTTGCATTCAACTCCTATAAGAAAATTTCTTTTTAAACATTGATAATTCCAGAAAAGAATGTTGCAAATATCATACAAGTTTATTGAGATGTAAGTTACAAATAATTAACGTACAATACAAATATTTTTGAAAATAATCTGCATTTATGTAATAAACATACCTGCTAGAAGCCTTAGTGCCAGCATTGTTGATGCCTAAAGTATACCCGGCAAATAGTTACACTCAACAGCACGGATGCAAAACGAGTGCTGAAAAAACACATCGAGTTGCCCATTTTATAGTGAACACCGAGCAATATACGTCTGACTCCTCCCTTTCTTCTTAGGATGATGACTAGATCCAATCAGTGTAGCCTTCTCCTCATTATGTGATGAGATATCATTGAATTCAATGTGCTCGAAAACTGTCAATTATTGAAAATTTATCTTACGAACTGTAGCGTTATTTACCTGTAAATGAAGTGGAATTAAAACCCTTGTCAGATAAATAATGAAGTTGTGTGTGAATCTGAATAATTTGACAGGATAGAATGGCTATACGCATGAATCTACATTGTGAAGAAGGAAAGCAAACGCTCGATTCACATTTTCAGAGAAAAATCATGTAAAATTAATATTACTTGAGAGATATTATAGCAATACTAGTGTTGATATTGTTTTTATAGTATACTTGAAAAGGTACTTTATCGCAATCGGCTTAGTGGAAGGGGTCTAGGGATATATTTAAAACCCTTTGACCATCGACCAGCAATTTCAACAAATGCATGTAGTTTTCTCACATTAAATCATCGCTCGGTTACAGTGCCAGCATAGTATTCAATAGACATGAGTATAATGATTCCCGTTGACACCAACGCGAAATTGCAAATCTCCCGTTCTAAACACAGCTCTGAAGCTGGTCGGGTGGACTAAGTAGCGCTTGTTTTGTAAGCGCGCTCGATTCATTGGCTTTGCGTACACGGTTACGTTGTGAAAAATATCGCAAGCTTAAACCTCAATTGTCAAATAAGCACGGTATTAGAAGCCGAGACTGGATATGTCACCCCTCTATTTTTCTAAATTTTTACGTAATAAATTTTATACGTACAGGTTTCCCGTTCGATTTTGTATGGCATTGCTTAAACTGTTAAATATTTTGTTTTCTTGGACTTGCACAAAACAAGGACCCTCTCCCTGTGAGAAACAACAGTCTACAAGGAGCAGGTTTTACTGTATAAAATAGGTTCCATACATCATACTAGTATATTCTAGGATTTGCTTGTACTGTTTTGGTGCTATCTTGTTCACCGCGTGACTTGTTTTGCTATATGGTCCTATTTATTGGCTTATTACTAACAACTGACAGACATTATTAAAAAGCAACCAATATGATAGTCAGTAAAACATATTGAAGCAATTGAAAGGAGTAAAAAGTGCAAAATGTTGGAATCAGTATTTTCAAAAAGCATTTAAGCGCCCCCTGCAATCCTAATTTTATTTTACGAAATCAAACTTGATTAGTTTTTAAATGTTATTGCATTCTTAGAACATAACTCTGAGAAGTGCGAAAGTGACAGCAACAAATGTTGAAACAACCTTTTCAAAACCATGACTATCCTGATTTATCATTTAGATCACAAAAGCATATGCATTCTTAGAACATAATTCACAGAAGTGCGAAAGTGACAGCAACAAATGTTGAAACAACCTTTTCAAAACCATGACTATCCTGATTTATCATTTAGATCACAAAGCATATGCATTCTTAGAACATAATACACATAAGTGCAAGAGTGGTAGCAAAAAATGTTGAAAGCAAACTTTTCAAAATCATGACTATCTTGATTTATCATTTAGATCACAAAGCATTTGCATTCTTAGAACATAATTCAGAGAAGTCTGAAAGTGGTAGCAAAAATGTTAGAAGCAAACTTCTAAAAACCATGACTATTTTGATTTATCATTTAAATCACAAAGCATATGCATCCTTAGAACATAATTCACAGAAGTGCGAAAGTGACAGCAACAAATGTTGAAGCAACCTTTTCAAAACCATGACTATCTTGATTTATCATTTAAATCACAAAGCATATGCATTCTTAGAACATAATTCACAGAAGTGCGAAAGTGGCAGCAACAAATGTTGAAGCAACCTTTTCAAAACCATGACTATCTTGATTTATCATTTAAATCACAAAGCATATGCATTCTTAGAACAAGACAAGTGCAAATTGCTATTGTCCAAATACAAAGTGGTATTGGCAAACTACATAGTGCTATTGTCTAACTACCAAGTGCTATTATCCAAATACAAAGTGATATTGTCCGACGAAAGAGTGGTATTGTCCCTCTACAAAGGACTATTGTCAAACTGCAATATGCTATTCTTGACCATACAGCGCTATTGTCCCAGACCGAGTCGATGTCCTAACTTTGCCATATATAGAAAAAATCATCGGTCATTTATTGCTCCATGAATTGTAGAATCTCGGTCCTTATGAGACAACACAAATTAATATAAGATTTATAGATATATTAACTTCTATTCCTAAATAAATTACAACATAACCTAATTTGAAAGAAAAAGTATAACACATAAGCAAAGAAATCAGCTGATTAAAAAGATAAAATTTTTTAGTCGACTAACTTATTAACTATCATTTTAGAAAATACTGTTCTAGACTGATTTTGAATTTGGGAGAGACATTTAATAAAACGAGAATCAGCTGGGTTATTTTTACGAGAGGGCAACTATGTTTAATCGGCCATTTTCAGAGCAAGATTCACCCTTCGGCAATTGTAGGCAGTATATCAGTTACTGAGATTGTTAATTAAACACATTACGTAAATCAGTACGACAGGTAAGACCGGAGTTTTCACTCTTAACTTGTAAGTAAAAATTGTGTAGGCCTAATCTGTACAAAATTGGGATATTACTAAAATATGCGTGGATTAGTTGATGATCTCACTCAAAGGCTGTAGAGTCGCCGAAGATAACACGCAGTTATAACTGTTCTGATCACCGTCGAAGTTAACAAGTCGAGCCTAACCTAAAAGGTTCCAGGATGGGCTTATGTCGGACGGTCGATTTGTGAATTGTGAACCGCAATTACAATTAAGGGGCCGATTCGGCTTCCTTGTTTTTGCCTTGGTATCTGTCAAAATACTAGGCCTTTTGTGGGGGGGGGAGTAAGATAACTGCGTGTCATCATACAACGATAGTTTTTTCTATTTTTACTATCTGAAAATACTCGATACGGCTACTTTAGCAAATGTGAATGCTAAAAGTAGAATCTTCAAAGCAGCTGTATCATTACTATTTACCGTAGAGATAATAGACCGTAAAGTCGCCATGGCAAATGTGTAGTATTGTATAAAGCTTTTGAAGAATGGAAAGTTATGTTGATGACATCATTGCCACATGTGCGAAATAACCAACTAGATGATGATATCACACCCCAGCTAACAATTTTACGTTGTGATAACGTCGTCAGAATATATGTCTCAAGTTGTAGCAACGTCAAATATGGAACGTTGTAGGTACAGGAAGGTGTGGACTCGCACAGATGTTTAAAGAACGTTACATCTGACTTAAATATCACGTGTCAGGAACGTAGTAGCGACCTTAACAATTACGTCGCCAAAATAACGAAACTGTAACGTACTTACATTACGTCATAAATACGTGGCCAATCTAAATTTCTGGTAACGTTGATATGGAACGTTGTAGGTACAGGAAGGTGTGGACTCGCACAGATGTTTAAAGAACGTTACATTTGACTTAAATATCACGTGTCGGGAACGTAGTAGCGACCTTAACAATAACGTCGCCAAAATAACGAAACTGTAACGTACTTACATTACGTCATATATACGTGGCCAATCTAAATTTCTGGTAACGTTGATATGGAACGTTGTAGGTACAGGAAGGTGTGGACTCGCATAGATGTTTAAAGAACGTTACATTTGACTTAAATATCACGTGTCAGGAACGTAGTAGCGACCTTAACAATTACGTCACCAAAATAACGAAAATGTAACGTACTTACATTACGTCATAAATACGTGGCCAATCTAAATTTCTGGTAACGTTGATATGGAACGTTGTAGGAACAGGAAGGTGTGGACTCGCACAGATGTTTAAAGAACGTTACATTTGACTTAAATATCACGTGTCAGGAACGTAGTAGCGACCTTAACAATAACGTCGCCAAAATAACGAAACTGTAACGTACTTACATTACGTCATATATACGTGGCCAATCTAAATTTCTGGTAACGTTGATATGGAACGTTGTAGGTACAGGAAGGTGTGGACTCGCATAGATGTTTAAAGAACGTTACATTTGACTTAAAAATCACGTGTCAGGAACGTTGTAGCGACCTTAACAATTACGTCACCAAAATAACGAAAATGTAACGTACTTACATTACGTCATAAATACGTGGCCAATCTAAATTTCTGGTAACGTTGATATGGAACGTTGTAGGTACAGGAAGGTGTGGACTCGCATAGATGTTTAAAGAACGTTACATTTGACTTAAATATCACGTGTCAGGAACGTCGTAGCGACCTTAACAATTACGTCACCAAAATAACGAAAATGTAACGTACTTACATTACGTCATATATACGTGGCCAATCTAAATTTCTGGTAACGTTGATATGGAACGTTGTAGGTACAGGAAGGTGTGGACTCGCACAGATGTTTAAAGAACGTTACATTTGACTTAAATATCACGTGCCAGGAACGTGGAACCAACCTAAACGATGACTTCGCCAAAATAACGAAAATGTAACGTACTTACATTACGTCATAAATACGTGGCCAATCTAAATTTCTGATACGTTAATTATGGAACGTTGTAGGTACAGGAAGTTGTGGACTCGCACAGATGTTCAAAGAACGTTACATTTGACTTAAATATCACGTGCCACGAACGTAGAACCAACCTAAACGATAACTTCGCAAAAATAACGAGACTGTAATGTGCTTATGCAACGTCACATATACGTGGCCAGTTTTAAGTTCTGGTACGCTAATTATGGAACGTTGTAGGTACAGGAAGGTGTGGACTCGCACAGATGTTTAAAGAACGTTACATTTGACTTAAATATCACGTGCAAGGAATGTAGAACCAACCTTAACAATGACTTCGCAAAAATAGTGAGACTGTAATGTGCTTATGCAACGTAACATATACCTGGCCAGTTTAAAGTTCTGGTAACGTTTGTCTTGGACCGATGTAGGCACAGGAAGGTCTGGACTCGCACAGATGTTTATACAACGTTACATTTTATACTTAAATATCATGTGCTAGGAATGTAGTAGCAACCTTAACAATGACTGCAAAAATAAAATAACAGACTGTAACGTGCTAATGCAACGTCACATATACGTGGCCAAGTTAAAGTTCTGGTAACATTAACTATAGAACGTTGTAGGCAAAGGAAAGTGTGGACACGCATAAATGAGTATACAAGTTACGTTCGACTTAGATATCACAGGCCAGGAATGTAGTACCAACCTTAACAACGACTTTGCCAAAATAAAGAGACTGTAACGTGCTTGTCACATACATGGCAAATTCATAACTTCTGGTTACATCAAGTTAGGACAACACATGCAAGGAATGTTCTAGTAACCTTAATTATGCCATCAACAAGATATAGTGATAGTAATGACTAACGTCCAGTTAAATGAATCATTACATGAACATAATTTAAAGTTCCTGTACAGGAAGATGTAGACACCGATGTTCAGTAAAATTATATATAACACACTAAGCCTAACATTTTCACATGTGAAGGTAAAACACAACTAACTTATGCTTTGACTTATTAACAAATGTATATTGTTTTTCCAATAATTAATGAGTTAATACACAAGAACTTTTTTGAGCATCCAAATAGAGAATATTGACACACAGAATTGAACTTAAATATAATTACAGTCTCGTATGTCATCTATCAAAAATCTATCCTATCGTTAATAAGTTTTATTAAGTATTTTATAAACCCCTAAACGGTTAAGGGGTTGGGGAGATTTGCCGTTCTGGCTTGTCTTAAAATTGAATTAGGCATATTTTAACTAATAAATCGTGACTATATTGTATTTACTGAGGGATATACACTGTATCAAAAATCGAGCATTTAATAACTGATTTATCCTATACTTAGTAGATTATGAGAATTAAATATGCATTGAAATTTCCCATTTTTCCCCAAATTTTTTTTCACATTTTTTTCAAATTTTATTTTTCAAAATATGAGTTAGGCTATATGAGTTTGATAATCTCAGAAACTTAAAAAACAACTTTAAAACACCAAGAAAATGTGTATCTTAAGTATATTTTTGAATTTTGGAACTTTATAAGGTATATGACGTACTAAGAACATCAGTAGGTATGAAATACATCTGTTATGTACGGTCGGTTTTGGATACAGGGTTTATCCCTCGGGAAATATGTGTATATCCCTTGGTCCCTGCGGTCCCTCGGGATATACACATATTTCCCTTGGGATAAAACCTGTATCCAAAACCTCCCAGTACATAACCCTTATATATCTCCCGCTCAACTCAGATATCAATTATATTCCCGCATGTTATTTACCTATAACACTACTAAGTATGGGATTAACCTTTGATGATATTTCGATATTTCATTTCCGAGATTGTGCCCAGATCTCGGCAGATCTATTCACCCCCTTTACTATGAATGTAATTATCTATAGCCTAACTGTTTAGGGGTTATATTGTTATTTTTCTGAACGGGAATGAATAAATATTCTAATTTGAGCTTGAACAAATGCTCTATTAGTTAACATGGTATTGATTTTCAAAAAGCAATAATGACCATTTTAAGTTGGGAATAAATCTAGAAAAATTGCATGTTTCAGATATGAAGCCATTATATCTATGCAATCTTAAAAGTACTGTCCCGTTACTTGTTATAGAGATAAAAATTTAATTCAAACTGGCTTGCTTATCGGAACAGATATTGTTTATGCTAAGTGTTCATTTTTCCTTGAAAGCATGAGCTCTCATTGGTCCTCATCACTTTCCAAATGTTTTTTCAAATGACTTGTACAGCTCAGTCGTTGTTTCCCTGGTTGCATGTTTAACACATTGCCATTTCTGCTTGTTTTTGGACATTTTCCTGGAAAAAATCAATCTATTGAAAAGTATGAAATGTAACCTGTATACCCATACCCACTCTGTATATTTTGCAGTGTCATTTTCAACCAAAATTGAGCTAGCGATCTATTCTTTACAATCTCAGATACAATATGTCTCAAAGGTCTACAATGTGTTGTAAATCAGTAAGTTATTGAGGATTAAAAGTGCGAAAATCGGGAAATTTTTTAAATTCTTCCAAATATAAATATGGAAGCCATATATATAAATTAAAATACATAATTGTAAAATTCTTTGGTAAAATACTCTAGTATTCCTGAAGTAAAGTCTGCACTTTATATTTTTAGAATAGAATGACAAGGATCTTGCTAGATTTGATTCTGCTGTAAACTTAATATATATAAAATACTTCTATAATGAATAATAGATTAACCTGGACTTACCGAAGTCACTTTCCTTGCAACTCCCCAAGCTCAGAGGACTCTAGACTGCCTAACTTCCAAACTGTCAAATGTTCCATTCTGCTTGTACTGCTAGTTTGTCTGAAATATTTTAGACTTGTAGTATAAACATTTTATTAGTTGGTTATCTGAAAATGCACCTGAGGGTGTAATCTTTCTTCCACCAGATCTGATCTTTGTCTCAGGAGACTTTTTGGGACTACTCTGGGGTAAAACAATCCCTTTGCTCATCTGTTTATAGATCCCTAGTAGCTTTTTGTACTATCCTTTTGTATTTCTACAGTAGAATCATATAGCCAAAACATTCCTTCGTTGACTCTCATAATCTTCATCCAATGATCTAACTAGAGATCTATTTATTAAAATATTATATTGGATAATAATTTGAAATGTTGGAACGGTAGGAAAGTAGATACCTGAGAATGACTCTTAACTTTCTGAGATAAAGTATGGCAGGTCAACTTCGGGTCAGTGTGACACCTCTAGAAATAATATAGGCCTACCTGATTAGCATAACACCACTCATCTCAACACAGCCAAAATCATCTCAGGGTTATCATGGGTGAAGGCTACAACAATCCTGAAAACAGAATAGGTAGATGGGAAAATAGAGGACAATAGTAGTACTTTAAAAGACTGTTACTTTATTTTATACTTTTATTTCAAATTGTATTGATTAAAATAAGACCTTTAAATTGTGAATATGATGAGTAAATCTACTGAGATGTTTTAACATTGTGTCAATCAGGATTAAGTTCAAACCTTTTAAAAGAACTTAATTATATAGCAGTCATACTTTTAAAATTTGCACAGGGCGCCAAATTAAATAGCACCAAATTAAAGCAATTTACAGTATCTCATTTGCTGTGAAACTGTGAAAGTTAAATAATAACTGCATTAAATACAAATGAATACTTTCTGTAGCAAGGAGCCACAAATGATGCAAGTTAATTAAATCAAACGATGAAATAATATACCTGATTAGTATGAAACACCATCATCTAAACACAACCAACAAGGTCTCAGGGTTATCATGGATGAAAGCTACAAAAATCTGGTTCATCTCCTACTTCTGAAAACAGAGTAGAGAACTATTGTACACTAAGATGGAAAAACAGATGACAATAGTAGTTTTTTAAAGGCTGATAAAAGTTAACTTAACTTAAAAGAAATTAACTTTCATTGAATTCGATCAATAAAAACAAAGCTTAATTTCAGATTTGCTGAAGATGAAATACACTTTTCAGTCTCTATCAATTGTTAAAAGGCGTGTGCTTATAACAAACACCATTTCGATTAAAAAATTTAATATCAATAATCAGGCCCGTAGCCAGGATTTGCCAAGGGGGGTTAATTTTTCCAAAATTTCCAGGGGGGGTTCACATTTGACAATTTTGGCCCAAATATGGACAAAATCACTTGAGAAGTGCTCAAAATGGTGAAAACTGCATGATTTTGAAAGAATTTTTGGCCAGGGGGGGAGGGGTTCGCCCGAACCCTGCGAACCCCCCCTGGCTACGGGCCTGATAATCATACAGTTTCAAGGAAGGTTGAAGTTCACCTTTCAGTCTCCGTAAATTGGTAAAGGGTGTATGCTTAATAACAGACACATTTCCACATCAAAAACTGTCAAAGGCGAACCTAAATCATAATGGATAATGTTTGATTTTAAATTAAATTCACAAAATTTTGCCAGGCATATGTTATATACATATTAATACTAGCCTAAATAAATTTCACCCTATGCAGACAGAGCCTGTGGGAAATATTGGGTGCGGCGCAAATGAGCGGAGGATGCGGAGCTAACGGTCATTTTTGAATTTAAAATTGGGATATTTCTGAAACTAAGCCATTCTGGGACTTCAAATATACCAAGATATGTGTATTTGACACCAAATATCAATAAAATTGTGAAAATAGTAGTGCAATTCATTTTATAGCGACGCAGTATGCCTTAAACATTTCCCAGACCTATATATTTTGAGACTATCCTTTTAATACTGCGTCCCCAGCATTCATAAAAAATGGTGTTCAAGATACACTACCCATGCAAATTATTTAATAAATAATTTCAAAATATATAGGTCTGGGAAAGGTTTAAGGCACACTGCGTCGCTACAGACATGACAGAATGAATTGCGCTACTATTTTCACAATTGTATTGATATTTGGTGTCAAATACACATATCTTGGTATATTTGAAGTCCCAAAACGGCTTAGTTTCAGAAATATCCCAAATTTAAATTCAAAAATGACCGTTAGCTCCGCACCCTCCGCTCATTTGCTCCGCACCCAATATTTCCCACAGGCTCTGTCTGCATAGGGTGAATTTTGGAACATAAATAAATGACATGTGAATTTGCTGAAGTGACGATTTCCCATGTTAAAAATAAGAGAATTTTAGAGAGACCATACATCATGTGATTTATCGCATTCTACCCCCATTTTAACAAAAACCCGTATGGCCCAGTTATCTACGCCTGACGTTGTTGGTCTACGACATTTCAGAATCAGGGAGTGGATAACAGGGCCAGACGAGTTTGGTTACCCCCACTTATGTTTTTTACAAATTTAAGTGGGGGTCGTAGAGTAGATGAGATTACAGTAAAATTTTGAATGTTTGGAACTTCTCTGAATCTAAAAAATAAGCAATTAAAGGACCACATTGAAACAGAACATGTAAAAATAGAAACATTTATACATGTTCTTTTGTTTATTTTAGTTTGTTTTGTAGTTTAGCTATCATATCTGTGACCTCATATTTCAATGCTTCTCTGCCATGTTATTTTCAAAAAAAATATAGAACTCCCTAAATATAGTATGCTGACCCCTGGACCCCTTGTAATTGACCTAACGAAAATTATGAACCGGGAATTATGATTGAAAATCGTGATGAAATTGAAAATCAATAACATCGATTCAAATATCAGAATATTCAAAAGTTCATTTCAAAAATTATGAAAATTGAAACGATCCCAACTTTCACATGAGATTATTTGTGTTCTCGCTGCAAGTACCGGCCATGGAATGCTTTCATTTTAACCTTTGGTGATTGTGTAACATGCATGCATCATTCTTACCTTCGAAAGCTGGCAGTACGGCTCCCAAGTTGCTTTTAAGTAGCAATATCTTGAACTTGGAACTGTCCTCCATGTTGATTTCGACGCGGGAATTCCTCTATTTCTATTGGTTGATAGAACAGAATACGATAAAAAGCCGAACGAGAAATACATCAAATTTGCGAACGATGTACTTTCCGTTTGTAACGCTCGCCCTTGTTGAAAGGGACTAAAACCGCAAACTTTAGTCCCGGTGTAAAAGGGTAGGAGGTCCTAAAGAAAGGGGACCATAATCCCCAGGGGACCATAATTTCTTTTACACCGGCAAGCTCCACAGGAAGTCGACATGGACATCTATGAAGTTCAGAGGAAGAAAATATGGAATTTTATAACTCTGAGAGGAATAATACATGGAAACTTCCAATTTTGAGAGGAAAATGACATGGAAAAAATGCTCAAAAAGGGGGTCTTTGGCGCGGCACATAGGTGTTAAGAGTTATATTGGAGTGAACCCCCCGGGACAGAACGTCAGACTTTTGTCAGCAATAACCCATGGCAAAATTACAACGTCGGAGAAACGTTTTCTTTACATCATATTTCCACTCTCACTCTCAATTACCACGTTAAGTTCATCTGTGTGAGCCAACATATGCCTGTGCCTCCACCGATCAGTATTTAAAGTTACCACAACTCGAGGCATAAATGTATATTCGTTATATATTGAACATTTACTTCACGTCACAAATTAAACGAATTTGTTGAGACCACAACGTCTTTGTCACGTTCTTTTTCACATACATGTATATGTATTTTTCACGTTTAAAACCCGTTTCGTCAACGTCAAAATTAACTATTTCGACAACGTTGCAAATAAACCAATTTCGTGAGGACATAGCGTCTTTTTGTAACGTTTCCTGCACTTCAGATATTTTTTTACATTTCAATTGAAAACACGTTTCGACAACGTTGAAATTAACCGTTTGCACTACGTTGAAAATGAACCATTTTGGTCAGAAAATGACGTCTTTGTAACGTGTTTTACAATTACAAATATTTTTCACATTCAAACCATGTTTTGACAACGTTACAATTAGCCATTTTCCCTACGTTGCAAATGAACCAATTTGGTGGGAAAACAAGGACTTTGTAACGTTTCCTAGACTTACAATTATCTTTCACATTTAAAACACGTTACGACAACGTCAAATTTTACTGTTTATATTACGTAGCAAATGAAACAATTTGGTGAGAAGTGCAACGTCTTTGTAACGTTTTCTACACTTACAAATATCTTTCACATTTAAAACACGTTACGACAACGTCAAATTTAACCGTTTACATTACGTAGCAAATGTACCAAATTTGGTGAGAACACAACGTCTTTGTAACGTTTTTTACACTTACAAATATCTTTCACATTTAGAACACGTTACGACAACATCAAATTTTACCGTTTATATTACGTAGCAAATGAAACAATTTGGTGAGAAGTGCAACGTCTTTGTAACGTTTTCTACACTTACAAATATCTTTCACGTTTAAAACACGTTACGACAACGTCAAATTTTGCCGTTTACATCACGTAGCAAATGTACCAAATTTGGTGAGAACACAACGTCTTTGTAACGTTTTCTACACTTACAAATATCTTTCACATTTAAAACACGTTACGACAACGTCAAATTTTACCGTTTATATTACGTAGCAAATGAAACAATTTGGTGAGAACTGCAACGTCTTTGTAATGTTTCCTGCACTTACAAATATTTTACACATTTAAAAAACGTTACGACAACGTTAAATTTTGCCGTTTATATTACGTTGCAAATGAACCAAACTGGTAAAAATTCAACGTCATTGTTACGTTTTTCACACCAGCACAAATTTCGAACTTTACTAACACATTACTACAACGTCATTTTTTAACCATCCACCGACGTTTTGCTGAATGTCACAATTTTACGTTGCTTTGACGTTTATATAACGGAAATATACAACGTCTCCAGTGAACTTATATACCACATATGTGTGACGTTACATGGACGTCACTGTTTGCTGGGTAATTGCTGATGTCATGCCCATATGCGTGGAATAAGCAACTAGTTGCTGATAATACATCCCTATGCGTTTAATCACCAACTAGTTGATGGTATCACACATATATGCGTGGAATAATCAACCAATTGCTGATTTCACACCCATATGCGGGGAATAACCAATTTGTTACTGACATAATACCAATATGCTTGGAAGTAAAAACTAGTTGATGGCATCAGTCCCATATGCGTGGAAAAGCAAATTAAACCAGTTGATGATATCACACCCATTTGCGCGGAATAACCAATAACATTGAATTAGTATATTATATTATATATATTATAAGTCGTATATTATAGTGAAGGCCTATCGATATCAATATTATCAAATCTAATACTTACACTGATATTGGTATCCCATATAAACCGAAAAACCAATTAGTCGCTGACATCATTCCCATAAGCGTGGAATAAAAAAACAGTTACTTATATCACACCAATATGCGTCGTATAACCAACTAGTTCAAGATATCACACCTATCGATGATATCACACCCATATGCGTCGTATAACCAACTAGTTCAAGATATCACACCTATCGATGATATCACACCCATATGAGTCGTATAACCAACAAGTTCAAGATATCGATGATATCACACCAATATGCGTGGTATAACCAACTAGTTCAAGATATCACACCTATCGATGATATCACACCCATATGAGTCGTATAACCAACTAGTTCAAGATATCACACCTATCGATAATATCACATCCATATGCGTCGTATAAGTAACTAGTTCAAGATATCACACCTATCGATGATATCACACCCATATGCGTCGTATAACCAACTAGTTCAAGATATCACACCTATCGATGATATCACACCCATATGCGTCGTATAACCAACCAGTTCAAGATATCACACCGATCGATGATATCACACCCATATGCGTCGTATAACCAACCAGTTCAAGATATCACACCTATCGATGATATCACACCCATATGCGAGGAAAAAACCAACTAGTTGCTGACATCAGGCCCAAATGCGAGAAAGGAACGCTATGTACTAGCTATAAATATAGGTTATTCACTGGGAGGGATTGAATATGGGTTTTATTCCGAGGGACAATATATTGACCGAAGGGTGATATGAAATTGACCGAGGGGGTGCAGCGACCGAGTGTCAATATGATATTACCCAAGGTCAATATCATATTTTCCGAGGAATAAACTCATATTCAATCCCGACCAGAAATAACCTATTTATTCCATAAAACATCCCTCTAAAATGTTACATTTGGATAATGCAAAAATAAATGCACACTGTTTGAAAAACAAATAATAAAAAATAACCCAAAATAGGTGAATACGCTCCAATACGATTTTTCTTGGGGACAATACGATTTTTTCATGTAATACGCTGCAATACGATTTTTTCCCAGGGACAATACGATTTTTTCATGTAATACGGTTCAATACTATTTTTATTCCTTCATATTTCCCTGGGAAGACAGTAGTATTATGGAATAAAGTAATTGATGCTATAACACCCATATTAGAGGAGAAATCAACTACTTGTTACTGACATCAGTCCCATGCGTGGAAGTACAAATTAATTGATGATATCAACACGATAACATGAGGCCTATTAACATCAATATTATCAAATCTGATACTTACACTGATATTGGCAGAATCATAACACCGGACATATCTTTACAATTTAGGATTTTAGTTTTGGACTCAGTGCAATGTGGACTGAATCATACTTCAAATAAAAATGTGTTATTTCAACCTAAGCACGATATGCGCAGCATCGAGTGTGAAGTTTAGAAAATACTACGCATTGATAGAATAAATACAAAACAAAATAACAAAATTCATGTATAAAAATGTCCGTTGGTTGGTAAATAATCTTAGATGTACATATGTATAATGATATGTAACATCATTTATGACTATATCCGTTTCTTCAGCTCTGTCCCAATGTTGCCCTTTGTTCTCCTCTTCGCCACCGCTTTCGCTAGCGGTCCCCCTATTACCATTGACGACCCAACACAATGTCTTCCAAGCGGCTACATCTCAGGGGTAGACCTCGGCTTTGACTGTTGCACTTTCGTTGTATGCGACAACGCAAGACTCAACAAGACTGGATTCCAGGGAAAATGCATGGGAGGAACCGTATGGAACCAAGCTCTCCTGGTCTGCGATGATGCAAAATATGTTCCTGAGTGCGACCCAACTACATGCGACGGTACTAGAAATTTGATTTTGTGATAGATAATATCCGGGGGCGGTGAATTCGTACGATCCGCGATCCGATTCGGATAAATTTCGCCATGGTAATGATGCATTGAGGCATTAATCCAAGAACAAATTCAAAAAATCGTACGATCCTGGGATTAATCTCAGGATAAATCTCAATCGACTACTTTTTGGATAAATCTTATTCGAATTCCAATGCAAATTGAATAAATCTTGGGGATTCCCCCTCATAATCCTCGGATCATAGGAATTCACCAAATATTTATCGGATAAGTAATCCATTCCAAGATTCATCCCAAAAGATAACATTTATCCGATTGGATTGGGGATCGTACGAATTCTCGGCCCCAGATGTGATCCGAAACGACCTGTGAAGTCAAAATAAAGGTTGTGAAAAGAAGAAAATAATTTTGTGATTTAATCATCCAACCCGAAGAACATGTTTAAGAATATTAAAATTGTCGCTTTACCTTTTATGTTGTCATCAAAAAGGTATGAATACAAAAAACGGACAATGACACGTCAACACATGTTCTACAATTTCCATATCATCTGTCATTGCATCATTGCTTGTAGTTCCGAAGAGAACCAATGCCGAGTGCGCCGATCCTCAGCCAACTGGTACCACATGTTGTATTGGACAGAACAGAGAGGGAGGCAAAAACGGATACGAGCCAGTCTTCACCGCTGGATCATCACGTGGAAGTTTTATCCGTGGAAATGACCGCGAGGAACAATCATGTCCATTTCCATTTAGCCAGGTCTTCAATCTGGAATCATGCTGTTGTGAATACGAATGTGAGAGTTGAAGGACTTTGAAGTACATAATTCTATTGATACAATTAATTGACCTTGGTGATAAGAAATCTGAAGATATCTGCTCCAACTATTTTTCCATAGAATTCTCAGCTCGTTTTACCAATGGATCCTTTAATTTCAGACTACATGCGTCCGCCATGTGATGACACAAGCGCATATTTCTTCACCAACCCTGATGACGAATGTTGTTCATATCTTCAATGTTTTTACAACAGAAGCGGATATATCACCGTTCCATGTATGTCACCAAGTGTGTGGAATGACGACAACAAAACGTGTGACACTAAGTATAACGTCATGGATTGTATGAATGCTGATTGTGGAGTTGAGATGACTGATGAACCATGCCCAGATACATTCGAAGGTAAAAATTATGAAACTAAATATAAATGAGAAGAATTTGTCAATAGAGATTATCCAATATGCGGTTCAGGATATAGGGATAATCCTGTGGCCAATACTATAAGATACAAGATATGAGATACACTTGTATATCATATTAATTACCAAAGGGAAAGTCCCAATATCCTGAACTGACTCTAGGATGAGGTATCCATCCCATACCAATCATGTTCATCTGGCTCACAGATAGCTTAATTGGCCCCGCGGCGAGTCTAAGATTTCAACCACAGGAATTCTTTTAGAATTTTCATGTCCAGCTTTATTTTTTTGGCCATTGCCGGATTTTCCTGTGCTTTCAGACATTTCAGTCAAGCCGAGTAAGTAAGTCAACATTCGAAAATAAAAATCTCAAAAATCGTACATATTTGATTTCCAAAATAATTTGTGAGGTGGTTATTAAGACGATTATACACATTTTAACGTATTAATTTTGAGTACATCTCGAATCCATTCTCAACAAAGCGTTCTCGAAATAAGTATTCGAAATATTTAAGTTCGGGATGATAAAAGTACGTTAAGATATACTGTTCCTTAACAAACTCCTTTTTTGAACAAGATATAGAATCATATGCATATTCTTCTTGTTTACTCGCTGACACATGCCAACGAATGTTACATAAGTAAATATCTCTGTTTTAAATAATTTTGTAAACGTTGTTCTCTACAGGTGCCATTTTTATAATTGAAAAACAAAATTGAACATTTTGCATTTCTAAATTAATTAAGTTTCTTGGGATACAACTCAACTGTTAACGATTTAAGTCATTAATAATATTTCCCTAAGTGATCCCATGCTAAATAAACAGTAATTAGGTCATTGTTTTGTGTTCAACCTTGTTTGCATGACTTTTAAACATGAGTCGACAATTATGTAGGAAATTTCAATTCCAAATGTAAGCGTGTCAACTCCTGTTTTTGCACAAAATTTAGCCTTTTAGAATGATAGATCGCCAAAATCTGCATGTACCTCTCAATGAGGCGACACGTTTTTAAATTTATATATGCCCGGATATAAACTCAAACAAAAATTCAAACCACCCGCTATTATTTTGATTACACAAGACGAAATTTCTACTCCCGGGGAGCACTGTGGTAACACTTTGAAGGAGGATTCTTGAAAAATCGTTCAAATTTTCACAAAAGGTTTCACGCAATTTTATTGCTTTGTTTAAGCCTCGACTAATATCATACTCAAATCCGATACCATAATTATGAATTAAAATGAAACATTAAACTCACCAGGTTATTTGATAAACCGTTTCGAGAGTTGATGATTTGAGTTAACTGTGGATATTTATATAAATGTAAGTCGGCGTGCATTTGACAGTTAATGTACACACATGATGTATGCATCAACGTGTGACTTAGATATCAATTCGTGACTATCATATTTGGCTTTCAAAAATTAAGTTGGAAGTTACAGTGGTTGGAGATTAACAAAAACGTCAATCACATCCAAATATCCGAACGACGTCAAGTATTAGCAATACACTTTTCGTGCATCTCGAAAGAGGCAATGTTCTGTGATCCAGCAATGTGCATTCCGAAAGAAAAAATTCACAAATATCAACAAATTTCATTGAGTTGGATATTACATTCGAAATCACAACTTTCGAAATATTTGTTTTAACCAAGAATTGTAAGAACTTAAAACATGTTGTTAGTTTTTCAAACCGCACATCCTCATTTACGTTCTTTAACAAGGATGAATTCATTTGAAAACATGGATTTTCTTGATTATTCTTCAAAACTACCCTTGAAATATTAGTATTAGTATTTACAGTGTAAATTGACACGCATTTGTTTGCTCCATATCATGAAAAAATAGATGCAGTACCATCTTTCAATATTTGAAAACAGAAAGTTCATTCTGTATGTAAACAAGAAAAAATACATAATGGTTGATGCATAATGAAAAATGACCAATAACATACATCTTTTGAAGTAGGGGTATACAGGGACATAATGGAAATTCAGAAATTTAGGCCATATCCCCAAGATTGCTTCACCAATATGTAACAGAACATCAAATTTATCATTTACACGTTTGCTGATAGGTTTATTGAAAATAATTAAACAGAGGTTTACTTCAATTGTGGCACCATTCTTAGTTAATATTGATGAACATACGAATATCGAATGTTGACTAAGTTACTTGGCTTGACCGATTTATCCATATCTTTATTCTCTAATCTTTGATTATTAGCAGGGATTAATATGCTGCTGCTGCTTCAATTGTTTAAATAATCACTGGTCGTTATTTTCTGAACTTTTCTCCATTTTTGTTTACAGTAATTTTGCGAAAGTTACAAATATGAACCAATGTGCGAACAACGATTATGACGAAGCCCGAGTCGTAAAGCTATATGTGCCTGCTGATGAAAATATAAGTTATTACAGACATGCCTATTGTTACTATTAGGGCTGTATTTTTGTGGTGCTAGTGAATTGCGTAACATCTTTATGAGTTTTCGCCAAAGGTATCACTAAAAAGAACAATAATATAATAAGCCCTACAGTGCAAATAACATGCTCGTGTGTTTTCAACAAAAATAGCTCATCCAAGAGCACTTAGACTCACATTATTCTTTTGAATTGGTTTATTGCAATCGAACACCCGAGCACTAGCAACAAGCCGACGCGGTTCACACATGCGGTTAGCCGACACGATTGGCATTTCGTAATTAGCGATGTAAGTGCACTTGAATGAGCTGTTTTTCTTGAAAACATGTTACCATGTAATTTGCACCGAAAGGGTTAATTGTTCTTTTTCATGATACCTTTGGGGAAAACTTATGAAATATTATGCAATTGACTTGCACCGCGGGCAGTTCAAAACAACAGCCTGGGAGTATGCAGTATCTACTTATACCATTATACAATAACGTTTCAATATTTCTGACTTCAGGAGACTGTTGCCGAAACGGATTGTTCTACTCACTTGGCCCGGATAGCACCCAGTACACCATTGCTGGAGCAGAGGGAAATGACAATGATCGTCTACTTTGCTGCCCAGTAAACATGGATGGAGAGCAGATGATCTTCAACGCTGACCCAGAAGTGTGTTGTTGCGAAATAGAAGAATTCTAATTGTGTTGTTCGGATTTTAATAAACTTTTAAATATTAAAATATAATATTTTTAAAGTAATATACAACTTTAGAATAGGTTAATGTTTGTTGTTGCTATCAGGTCAAGTTATTTATTAACCTATTTTTGAGATTTCCACACCTGACACAATCTGCAAGCTATATACAACAGTTAAATAATTATTTACTTAGGGTTCCTTTCATGTTAACTGCAATTCGTGTTCAGTAATGTTTAAAAGTTCAAAATAAAAAGCAAAAAATACATACAGGTATACCTCATATAAAATGTAACATATTATTAACTGTTTTTATACCATATCAATTAAAAGTGTGTCAAAGTTAATCCGATCTGACTAAATATGCTTGTGCAAATAACTGTATATTGAATAACTTTCAAGCTTCTATATGTGCAAAGTCAAGAAATATACGCTTCATGGCAGGCTAAGTCACCCGACTTACCAAAACATTAAATATGAGTGGTTAGTCACATGATCCATGCTATGATCCGAACTCAAATGTGAAATTCTCGGCACGCCGGTGTAAAAGGTAGGTGGTCCTATCAAATTTATGTCCTACTCTCTATTGATTTATATGGTGACCTAATTACAATTATTTTCCTTATTGTTAATACACAGTCAGGGCCAGTAAGGGCCATAAGGAACTTTGTCAATCATAGAAATATGTATATACATATCATCTATATCTTCATTCAGTTTCTTTTTACCTCTTATACCTAACATAGAATGTGTCTTTATTTATACAGAATAAAATCCTGGTTTATATAAAACGTTGCACCCCATCTAAACAATGTAGCTATATTCGGATGTTATTTTGTGTTGTGTCGTTGTTATGTAAATCTCCACTCAATCTCGTGATTGTCCGTCAGTGGAAGGTTTAACTCCACAATTTCTAGTCTCTGAAATCAAACATTCAAGTATTAATGAAACATCCATATATTAATGAAACATCCACATATTTATGAAACATCCACATATTTATGAAACATCCACATTTTAATGGAACATCCACATATTTATGAAACATCAGCATATTTATGAAACATCCACATTTTAATGGAACATCCACATATTAATGAAACATCCACATTTAAGTGAAACATCCACATATTAATGAAACATCCACATATTAATGAAACATCCACATATTAATGAAACATCCACATATTAATGAAACATCCACATATTAATGAAACATCCACATTTATATGAAACATCCACATATTTATGAAACTTCAATATTTTAATGAAACATCCACATTTAAATGAAACATCCACATATTAATGAAACATCCACATTTTATTGAAACATCCACATATTAATGAAACATCCACATATTAATGAAACATCCACATATTTATGAAACTTCAATATTTTATTGAAACATTCACAATTAAATGAAACATCCACATATTTATGAAACATCCACATACTTATGAAACATCCACATTTAAATGAAACATCCACATATTAATGAAACATCCACATATTAATTGATGAAACATCCACATTTAAATGAAACATCCACATTTATATGAAACATCCACATATTAATTGATGAAACATCCACATTTAAATGAAACATCCACATTTATATGAAACATCCACATATTAATTGATGAAACATCCACATTTAAATGAAACATCCACATTTATATGAAACATCCACATTTATATGAAACATCCTCATATTAATTAAACATCCATATATTAATGAAACATCCACATATTAATGAAATCAAACATCTACATATTTATGAAACATCCACATTTAAATGAAACATCCACATATTAATGAAACATCCACACATTGATGAAACATCCACATATTTATAAAACATCCACATTTAAATGAAACATCCACATATTAATGAAACATCCACATTTTAATGGAACATCCACATTTAAATGAAACATCCACATATTAATGAAACATCCACACATTGATGAAACATCCACATATTTATAAAACATCCACATTTTAATAAAACATCCACATTTAAATGAAACATCCACATATTAATGAAACATCCACATTTTAATGGAACATCCACATTTAAATGAAACATCCACATATTTATAAAACATCCACATTTTAATAAAACATCCACATTTAAATGAAACATCCACATTTAAATGAAACATCCACATATTAATGAAACATCCACATTTATATGAAACATTCACATATTTTTGAAACATCCACAACTAAATGAAACATCCACATATTAATGAAACATCCACACATTGATGAAACATCCACATATTTATAAAACATCCACATTTAAATGAAACATCCACATATTAATGAAACATCCACATTTTAATGGAACATCCACATTTAAATGAAACATCCACATATTAATGAAACATCCACATTTATATGAAACATTCACATATTTATGAAACATCCACAACTAAATGAAACATCCACATATTAATGAAACATCCACACATTGATGAAACATCCACATATTTATAAAACATCCACATTTAAATGAAACATCCACATATTAATGAAACATCCACATTTATATGAAACATCCACATATTTATGAAACTTCAATATTTTAATGAAACATTCACAATTAAATGAAACATCCACATATTAATGAAACATCCACATATTAATTGATGAAACATCCACATTTTAATGAAACATCCACATTTATATGAAACATCCACATCTTGATGAAACATCCACATATTAATGAAACATCCACATATTAATGAAACGTCCAAATATTAATGAAACTTCCACATTTTAATGAAACATCCACATTTAAATGAAACATCCAAATATTAATGAAACTTCCACATATTTATGAAACATCCACATATTAATGAAACATCCACATATTAATGAAACTTCCACATTTTAATGAAACATCCACATATAAATAAAACATTGACAGTGTGTATCAATTAATTAATCATTTCTTGAAACAGTCCTACGAATCTGTTAAATTATTTTTATTATGTCACTGTGAGAATTTTTATTAATGATATGGATATTGTTCTAAACCAACTGACACACTAGAACATAGGCAGGATACTAGAAGTGCATGATTTTAATGACTGTTTAGGTGAAAAATATAACTCGAAATATTTGAGTCACGTTTACGGCCAATAGATCAAGACATATGTTAACGAATAGTAATAACTATATAAGATTGTTTGAAGAGATAGGGGCTACAAACCTTTGTTTGAGAATCGTATTGAATCTGACTGCCAGCGATGGGATTCCCGTCTTGTAAAACATATGTAGGTTTCCCTTGAAGTCCGAAGATAACTATTGTGTTATAGTGCAGACTCGTTGATTCTGTGTACCCGTTATGCTCCACATCGAGGCTTAACTTCATCTTGAATAATATGAATATTTCATATCTCAGGATTTAAAGAGAGTACAAAGAGACAAAAACGATTTGTGTTTTGCCTATTTTCAGTTTGCCTGTTTTAATTTGATTTCTGGATAGTTATACTGCGACAGCCGATTAAATCGGCCCTGACGTCACCGTTGGGTATGCGAGAGCCGATTAAATCGGCTTGTAAAGACTCTTGCTAAACCTCAAACTCTAGTTAACTTGATAGTTTTGAAAAAAGGATTGTAAGCGAAACATGGTTCGCATCATAAAGACTGCTACCAGCATTTAAGACTACTCTGCTCATTCTACCTTTTTTGCTTTAGTGTAACATCCATATATAAATTAAAATCACAACTCATAATTTAAAAAACAGAGTTAAACATGTAATTCTTGTAATTTATTTAATATATTATACGGAACTTTAAATGCCTTTATTGTATCTTACCATTTTAACACTATACTTGATGAGTGTGTACTTTCCACTTGAAAACGTTTCTAAAATATAAAAATGATAAAAATAAGATTGTTTCACTTCCTATATCGAATAATAATATAATCCGTGAGTGAATCGATGTTCTTTTTACATCAGATTAGTAGGGAGATTAAGCTCGCATATAAAATCGAATCGCCAACCTATATAATAAATAAATAAATAAAAAAAAATATATACAGGGTGGGCCAAAAAAAACAATACCCAACTTTAAATCAGAATAAAAATAGCTATGTTCAACATGATACTTTGATTTATATATCATTTTAAAGGTAATTCATTTTCGAACAATTTGGTATATAACACTATGTCATGAAATCAATATTAAAGTTTTATTATGCTTATTTGGGAGGCCGGGTCGGTATTTAAGGTATCCAGATTTTAGGGAGGAAATAGTAAATCTGCGGAATAATGTTAATTTTTTATTTATAGAATATCATTTTGTTAGGTGATTACATGCTTGTATATTTGCATATTGTGTGACTAAACTTATTGTTTATGAATTTTGGTGTTGTTTATTATCAATAAGTACTCAAAGGGGGTCTGTTAAAAGACATTAAACGTATATGTGACACAGATTTTATTTTCCAACAAGACATTGCCTCGTACCATAGATCAAAGGAGACATTGGGATTTCTTTGCAAACAAGGTGCCAATTTGATTGATCTCGATGCTTGGCCACCCAACAGCCCCGATGGTAATTGTGTTTGATTACCATACATGGAGCCATCTCGAGGAAATGGTACAATCAAAAGCATCCAATAAACAGCATTGATGAGCTGAAACAGAATCCTAAAGTGCTGAAATGAATTGTAACAGAAATCTCTCAATAAGGCTATTGATAGATTGCGCTACCACTTGAAGCTTATATTTGATGCAGAGGAGAGGGGGTGGGGGTATATTGAGCAATTGTTAAAATTGTTTAATTAAATAAAGTGTAAAATGTTATTAAACAACACTGAAATTCATAAACAATAAATTTAGTCACACAATGATGCAAATATCAATATCCAAGCATGTATTCACCTAACAAAAGAATGATATTCTATAAATAAAAAATTAACATAATTCTGCAGATTTACTATTTTCTCCCTTAAATATGGAGACCTTAAATAGCAACCCGGCCTCCCAAATAAGTATAATAAAACTTTACTATTGATTTCATGACATATTGTTATATACCAAATTGTTTGAAATTGTATAACCTTTAAAATGATATATAAGTCAATGTACCATATTGGATGTAACTATTTTTATCCTGATTTGAAGTTGGGTATTGGTTTTTTTGGCCCACCCTGTATATGACCAATCACCCATACAAATGCATCGCTTAAATAGTTTCCGTTCACGTTAAGGTCGTGGAAAACATTGCAAGCTTAAACTCCCTATTGTTTGGGTGTTATGGGTTTCTTTAATAAATAACAGGATGTACTAATAAACATATTGTTTTTATCTGTTTGGCACTTTCGCTTAAAGAACGCATTAATTCTTATATCTTACCAAAGGACTCCCCGTCATCCCAGAATAGACTCCCAGAAGCAGTCTCGTTTTCATTCAAAGCAACAATCAAACCAAACGGCTTAGTACGGCTAAAATATACAATAAAGTACAGAGAAACCTTTAAAGTGCAACACACCTTTCAGAATCTCAAGGTCAATTGACGTCATGTTAAATATACTCAATCGACCGGTGACTCATCAGGCATTAAATAAAATATTTCCGTCCGATTTCAAAATATAGGGTCAATACATTAAAGTCTCTCCACGAGGTTCAGTTACAAGGGTAATTGTAGAAAGCCTATATGGACACCATGTGGTTTTCAATGTTACCTAAAGTGAGTTGTATTTGCAGGCTCCTGATAGGGTATCACGTGACCTCCTCTGACGTGTAGATTAATGCTATCCAATGGTGTATCTAATTTATGGTTCTTTTCGACTCCCATCATCTCATGTCCGTTGTAATAGTTGTACCATCTTGCATTTGGAAAGTAAACATCGATCTCAGTCACCCCCTCTTCCATAACTGGGGAGATCATGAACCCCGCGCCCCAGAGAAATTGTCGATCAATCGACCATGCTTTGCGATCGGTGGGAAACCTTAAATCAATATTGCGTTTGAATAAATAGGAATTTGCATTTATTCACTGCTACCCAACTAGTTACACAGACGTATCGTCAGTGTATCATGGCGGAACTACTTCCGGGACTAGGTTTCGGTAAGATTTTTTTATTTCCCGATTTACGTGAAATGCGTCTTCGTTGACATACCAAACCTAAAACCATCGACACATTCTCAAACTAGACTATCCCCATAACTTCGAGCCAAATTATAATCCACATCGTGACTTATAGATGTAAATCAAGAAATAAAAATATCTTACCGAATTCAAATCCCGGAAGTAGTTCCGCCATGATACACTGACGATACGTCTGTGAAACTAGGTGGGTAGCAGTGTTATTGGCGTGATGTAATAATGTATAAAGTTACCGGAGCATCTCACACCAGTAACAGCGTAAGAGCAATTCGTTCCCAGGTGTGATACCATTATACTGTACATTGTATTTAAACTTACTCATGAAGTAGCGCTCTAACGACAGTAGAACCCTCAGTATGGGCGTAATGGAACAGTGTATAAAGGTACGGGAGCAACTTATAGTGTGTGAGCAATACATTCGTAGGTGACGTTACCATGCTATTATACATTATATTTAAACTTACTCATGAAGTAGTGCTCTAACGACAGTAGAACCCTCAGTATGGGCGTAATGGAACAGTGTATAAAGGTACGGGAGCAACTTATGTCGTGAGAGCAATACATTCGTGGGTTCCGTTATCATGCTATTATACATTATATTTAATCTTACTCATGAAGTAGCGCTCTAACGACAGTAGAACCCTCAGTATGGGCGTAATGGAACAGTGTATAAAGGTACGGGAGCAACTTAAAGCGTGTGAGCAATACATTCGTAGGTGCCGTTATCATGCTATTATACATTGTATTTAAACTTACTCATAAAGTAGCACTCTAACGACAGTAGAACCCTTAGTATGGGCGTAATGGGGCAGGGTATAAAGGTACGGGAGCAACTTATAGTGTGTGAGCAATACATTCGTAGGTGCTGTTATCATGCTATTATACATTATATTTAAACTTACTCATGAAGTAGCGCTCTAACGACAGTAGAACCCTCAGTATGGGCGTAATGGAACAGTGTATAAAGGTATGGGAGCAACTTATAGTGTGTGAGCAATACATTTGCAGGTGCCGTTATCATGATTTTATACATTATATTTAAACTTACTCATGAAGTAGAGCTTTAACGACAGAAGAACCCTCAGTATGGGCGTAATGGAACAGTGTATAAAGGTACGGGAGCAACTTATAGCGTGTGAGCAATACATTCGTAGAAGCCATATCATGCTATTATACATTATATTTAAACTTATTCATGAAGTAGCGCTCTAACGACAGTATAACCCTCAGCAATGGAACAGTAGTATATAGAGGTACAGGAGCAATTTAAAGCGTGTGAGCAATACATTCGTAGGTGACGTTACCATGCTATTATACATTACATTTAAACTTACTCATGAAGTAGCGCTCTAACGACAGTAGAACCCTCAGTATGGGCGTAATGGAACAGTGTATAAAGGTACGGGAGCAACTTATGTCGTGTGAGCAATACATTCGTGGGTTCCGTTATCATGCTATTATACATTATATTTAAACTTACTCATGAAGTAGCGCTCTAACGACAGTAGAACCCTCAGTATGGGCATAATGGAACAGTGTATAAAGGTACGGGAGCAACTTATAGTGTGTGAGCAATACATTTGCAGGTGCCATTATCGTGCTATTATACATTATATTTAAACGTACTCATGAAGTAGTGCTCTAACGACAGTAGAACCCTCAGTATGGGCGTAATGGAACAGTGTATAAAGGTACGGGAGCAACTTATGTCGTGTGAGCAATACATTCGTAGGTGACGTTACCATGCTATTATACATTGCGTTTAAACTTACTCATGAAGTAGTGCTCTAACGACAGTAGAACCCTCAGTATGGGCGTAATGGAACAGTGTATAAAGGTACGGGAGCAACTTATAGCGTGTGAGCAATACATTCCTGGATGACGCTATCATGCTGTCACTGAAGGCAGCTGGATCTTGACTCTGAAAAGCAATAACGGTTCACACAACTGATCTTCCATTACTAAACAATAGGAGCTGAAGGTCTCCAGAACATGAAAAACACGTTAGGAAGACACATGTGATGTCAATACATACCCTTAATGACTTATTGGTGTGTCATAAACCAAAATTAGGCAGTTGACGAATTTGTCTGCAGAAATCAATACATGGAATTTGCAACAAGCATTTTGATAAACTATATGAAGCGGGGATCAGTCAGTCATACGTACTTATATATACCCATGTTTAAACAGTTTCACAAGCTACCCCAGGTTGATAACTAATGTCTTGGTCACATAGACTCCGATTTTCACTACGGCGCCCGGCCGATGAGTATTTTGTTCAAAATCGGCCGGCGAGCCCGGGCATCGTACGGGCGCCGGGCGATGATCGCCACTCATCGGCAGATTTTTTGACATCGTACGGGCGAGTTTTATCGCGGAGATAAAAGTTGCCGATGTCTTGGCGATTTTTTCTCAACCAAACTCATCGGTACCTACCCGGCCGTGTCCCGTCCGATCATCGTACAATTATCTTACGGCGCCCGGTGGCATCGCACGGTCATCTTGGGATTTTGCGTGCTGATTTGTTAGATAAATCTTAATAATGATTACTTATAAAGTGATATAAATGTTTTAAAAATAATGAGGTAAGGAATTATGCTTACTACACACTGTCAGAGATTTTTTATAAAACATAAATGGAACGATTAGGCTTACTGTAAAACAGTGACACACATTTGAATGGCTGGGTGGGTTGATCTAGTCGTTCTTATATTGACATTAATCGTGTATGTCTGTCATACACATTGAATAGAGTGAAACATTTCTATGCGTATATTCACTCATGCATATACCATTACAAATCATTTATTTTAAAAATCTTCTGAATGTTTTTGTGAGTACAGTATTTTCAAGGGTCACAATTTCAATACGAAAGTTCACTGTCTCAATTACAGTTAATATGCCAAAGGCTAAGGGTAGAGGGGATAAGGCCAATGGGCCATATATCAGGAAGGCCTTGGAAAGAGAGGTGGAAAAAGACAATAACAATGCTAGTGAGCTGATGGATGATGAAGATTAAGATGTGTCTAGGGAAGAGGGTACTCCACTTGAAATAGAAGAAAAAATCGCCAATTTCTTTGAAGATATGCCATATTTTTATGACCAAACAAATTCTCTTTGAGAGAACAGACAAAAGAAAGATGCAGAAATATGGAATTTTGCTAATAGCATCGGATGGACAGGTAGACATAGTATTTGTTTATATGAAAGATCTAAAAATGAATTAAGGTCAGGGTTCACTTTGATGAAAAGACCACGTGCAGTATGGCAAGTGATTTTAGACGGTCATATATTTTACCAAGAGTACTTTCTGGGCATAATACAGTGTTTTTATTAAAACAATATGTTTTCTTTCAATTGAAGTACCCATGATAGTAAAAATGTCAATCAAACAATTTGAAATACTATGAATAGGGAACCCATGTCAGCGTTTTTTTCTAAATATTGAACCTATTTACTCAAAAGAGGATCTTTCTGATTTTTATTGCATGAAAACATTATTATCCCGGAAGTCCTGTTTATCGAAGTATTTCGTTTTCAAATCTTGCATTCACTCCATGTGGAACAGTCATACCGGGCCATACAAGAATTTAGTATAAATCTAGAGGCCTGTAGATCGACCGATGTCCTGGCGGTTGCTGTACGGCCATCGGCAGATAGCCTTGCGATACCCGTGCGATGTCTTTCAGATTCAATTGATTGCGGGCGCCGTACGATGCCTATACTAATGTGACCATACCCACGATTAGATCAAGACATCGTTGAAAAGTCACCGGCACCCGGTCGATTTAGAAATCGGCCGATGACTACTCATCGGCCGGCGCCCGGCGGCTATGTGACCTAGGCATAATACAGGTTTTAACACTTACAGGCCAGCCTTTGGCATTGTGATTACGGGCGAATGGATAAAATGCTCCAAGCTGCATCCATCTCTGGCACATTTCCTCAGTGGCCTCAAACCAGAAGCCACAGATGTCTGCTCCTATCTGAAAAAGTTGTTACATACCATTTTGTTATGTACATGTACCATCTGATATTACAAATAATTGGGAATGAAATGCATTTGTCCTTGTATGTAACTAAAGCTTATAATGATGCATTTCTCCAAGAATAAATTGTTGCCGTCTATTCTTTTCTTTTTTCATTTCATTAAAATAATTAGGTTGATTATAATTTGTTTCATAATGTTGACTTCATAACTTCGGAATTGGCACTAAAATATCTCTATATTTCCAAAGGTTAATCACTCTTTTTTAAATTCTTGGAATATTATTGTGAAGTTGATTATGCAGGTCAATAGTTTCACCAAGGGAAAGATCAATACCCGGTGATTTCCGCGGGAAGTGGCGTTTCGTTCAGTGGATGAGCTGCGCGCGCACGCATAAATGTGATTATCCAATATATTTAGGGGAGGGCTATTTGAAATAGTTTTTGGTCTCAGGCACGACCCAGGGCTGTTGTCTTAAGGACATTTCGTTGAAAATGAGCCATTCGGCTGATAATTAGTAAGAGTTTGCGATATAATAATGTATAACTGTTACTCAGACACATATTTTGACACGATTCTGTTGGAAATAAGCTTTGAACCGAGAGATATTCACGATTGATATGCACATTTTTGATTGTGCCATTGCTTTTCCATTGCACAATCCATGTATTGATAGAAGTAACATTAATAATGCAGATTGGTTTACCTTCAATACATGGTAGACACTACATATAGGTCTATTAAATACCAGTTTGCGCCTTAAATAGTTTTATATTTCCATCCATGGCCAGGAGCCTGGGTGTGTTTGTCTCTTATATGTATGCTTGTGCATGGACTTCTAATCATTAGCAGAATTTAACACGATGCAAACTCGACATTATAACTCATGCTGTAATATTTTGACTTCGCTGGAAAACAATAGGAATTATTTTTCTTGCCAATCAATCATGAATCACAATCAAAATTCAGAATGATCAATCAGGCAATGGTCCAAATCAAGTTATAATATTATATGATATTCAGCAAGAAGTCCGGTAGAAATACAGAATATTTAAACATCAAAGCTGAAAGTTAAAAGCTAATCTGTCAATTTTCTGTCTGCAAAAGAGCGTTTACATTTGGCACAATAACAGACTGAGGCTTTGAAATCTAGGATTCCCCAGGAAAATATGACGTCATACTAATCAGCATAAGGATTTCCCTATTGGTCTGGGTCGAGCCTTCTTCGAAAACACAATCCATAAATACATGCTAATTTCTAAGGAGATAGGAAGTGTATAACGTGTTTATCGATTTTGTTTAAAGATTTAATCAATTATCAAATTGTTTAAGTGGATAAAGTGGTCACACTTGCTTCAATTCATAGCGTAATCGACGGATAGAAACTGACCGAATTCACGATATTCCACCCCGTATTACTGTAGGCTATTAAGCACAGTGACCTACAGAGGGCGCTATCACAAACAAGTACTGCACGAACCGATAAATTCCTGGGTATTGTAACGCCCTTGGTTTCACGTTATAAACAATGTTACAAAGCTAAAGAGAGCACGTGACTCACATATGGAAATCCAAACAGTCCATATTCCAGCATTCCGGGAATAGACCATGGCATTTGTCGCCACTGGCTCTGATTGTCACCCAACCAATGGGATGCGTACTTTCCACTTCCGGCAAACTGAGATCTCGTGAGAACGAGAGGTCGTTTCTTTGGAAATAGTGTCCTCATGGATCTGGAATTGATTTGAATGTTATGCATGATCAGAATGCTATACTAAATAAAAATATAAAATCAAAAATATTAGTTTTTTAATAACTCACTCATATGTAACTTGTGACATGCTATGTCCGTACAAACTGTGTACGTCATAATGAGATCCCCACTTCTGCTTAGCGTCCATGCAAATTGTCTTGTCATATAACATGTTGTCTCTGTGGCCACCGAGAATGTCTAAAATGCAACCAGAAAATAGTGACAGTTTTACTTTGAATATGTATGCATAAGTGTCATTATATTGGGAAAGACTAAAAAAGGTCACAAATTATCCCAAGTTATGTTAAATGTAAAAAAACAATCCCATCATTTAGGAACAATTATTACAACCAAAACATTTCATTCATTATTTAAATTATTACAATGCATGTTGAACTATAAAAAGATGGAAACTGATGTTTTTATCATCAAGAATAGTTGTAGATGCTAGTTTTTATACAGATAGAGTATTCGGTCTCAAATGATACGGGACATACGATCTCCAGGCTCGTATGAAGTAAAGTACCGAACGATCAACATTGGTCTATATCATCAATCCGCAATTTCGACTAAATAGTAGCAGGTGCGTAACTTTTCAACTTACTTACGTATATGTGGGCACTTAAACATACTTGACGTGTTGTTTAATGCATTATTTTGTGAACAGTCCGGATACTTTAAATTTACTCGGTGGCTATGGTATTGCGGATACTTAAAACTTACTTGGCAAATATGGTGGATAGTTCAAACTATTTTTCTGACATCCATCAGTTGAACCCGGAGGCTCAAAATTAGACGGTTCGTTCATATCCTAGAATCACACATATTTGATAAGGAAATGTATGGTAAGCATTGATGTTTACAATGGTATATCAAGATGACAAAACTACTTCTCAAGAAGAAATTAATTTCATAGTTACGTTTTGTTGCAGAGCACAAAATGTTGCAATAAAACATCCACTATATTTAAGCCTAGTAAAATGTGTGTTTCAGCAATAGGACCTTGTATGATGTTTATATATATGCACGTACAATCCAAAGAGCGTCGTACTCAATGCCTTGATCTTCGTAGAACTCCCGACATTGTTCTGTCCACCATCTTGTAGCGTTCTCCAGCAGGGTGAAGTCCGGGTAATAGGATATGCCCGGCCAAACCTATCAAGAAGATTACACTATTGAAAATATTTTCTAGAAATAGCATTATTTCGAAAAAATCCTTTAAATTCGTTTTTCTGGGGAAAATGGGGATCATATGTTATCTTGTTCATGGATAATATGCGAACAATGTATCTTGCGATTGCCTTCCATATAATACGGACTTCCGAGCAAACTACATAGTGTATCCGTATTTATTGAAATAAAGGAACACAAGCATATGCTAATGACACAATATATAGGTAAACACACTTGCGATAATAAGGAGTTTCAGCTTGCATATAAAATCGAAACGTCAACCTATACGTACAACCTATACCAATCGCCCATACAAATACATCGCTAAAATATTACTTATTTAGGCTGTGAAAAACAGTGCATGCTTAAAATCTCTGATGTTTCGTTTTGACACATTTAACACGTTTAACGAATAGCGTCTCTCAGAGCATATACGTACTTAATGGAATATACCCCCAGAATGTGAATATGGATATTTACCTCCCCTTGAAGGTATTCTCCAGAAGCATTTCTGATGAATACATCCTCCGCAAGACCATCTTGCAACGCTTTGTATGGTTTCCCTAGTTTCTCTAGGTGCATCGTCTCATTGTTACTTATAATGTGGTCCTACAAGTGTTAAACACAATGAGATAGCAACAAAAGATGAATATAATACAATAACTATAAAAGCATTAGACTAGGGTTCAGTCTGTCATGTTGATTGCTTCAATGCTTCAAGATCACTCACACGTCTAATGAATTTGAGAAAACACAAGTGACATGCAGGTCAACAATTTCCAACATTAAGTATTGGATGCGGTCCACTGTCTCGTTGTATCCCCATGTGCCATCAGTCGCCCATGCACATTCTGTATATAGTCAGGCCCATAGCCAGGGACAGGGGGGGGGGTCCGGAGCCAAGTTTTTTTCTAAATCATGCAGTTTGTCACGGTTCTATGTCCTTTGTTAAATCTTCGCAATAGTTTTAAAATGCGTTTTGAATTATATGACTATGGGCCTGATGGTCTCGCCTTTTACCAAAAACAAGAATGGTAGAGTTTGCTACTATTGAGAAAGATGTCACTTATGATTGTTCCTTAACACAAGTGACATCTATCTCAACAATGTCGAGCAGTAAGTGTTGGATGAAGTCCGCTGCCCCGCTTAACAATTGCAGGAAACAAAATCATAAACCACTCAAATATACTCCAATATTAATGAGAATTGTACAATGAAAAGATATACATATTTATAAAGACTTACACTATATTCTCACAGCATCTTAACATTACGATTGCAATTGTACTGATTGCATACGTACTGTCCCCTACAACACCTCTCAGCCAAAAAATCTAATGTTACAACGACTTATTTACCTGAGTAAAGATAAGTACAAGACAACTTGCCAGTATAATTATGTATCTCATTCCTTTATTATGCATTTCGTCTACAAATTCTTTCAGACCTGCGTACTTTACAGGGTCAATGGTGAAGTCCATCTTAGATTCCATGTAATCAATGTCACCGTACTGGACGTCCTGGAAACAAAATGGCGGACAAGTTAATACTGTATACAATTATTGACCTCTCCAGAGGTTTACTGTCAAAATTATATCCCGAGACTGTAAACCTCGACCTACGGTCTCGGTTTACAGTCTCGGGATATAATTTTGACAGTAAACCGAATGGAGAGGTCTATAATTGTTTTGTTAGTCCGAAGAATATCTTAGATTTTTCTGACCCTTGAAGTTGACTTGAAGTTGGATCCAGACCCTCGAGACGTTCATGTTGTATTTCAGTACTAGTATATCGGCAGTAAGTTCACTCAATGGAGTCAAATTACTCTCCTGGGCGAAGTCCACTAAAAGCTTTGTACAAAGTTTTAGACTTTTCTTCGTATTTTGACTGTCTTTACTCTCTAAAAGACTAATAATATCCTCATCTTCAACATTTTTGAAACGGCTAGTGCTAGCGGCGGCCATTTTATCGTCTGATATTGACGTCATTTTAGTGGAATGCTGGGAATATTATTCACCGGCAATGCATTGCGCGGTGTACAGTTAAAATCATTCACCGCTCGTTGACCAATCAAAATCGAGTATTTCAACTGAGGTACTAACAATATAAATAGTAGCTAATAGTTTTGGAAATTAATATTGATAGATTCTTTTAGACATGAGGCTAGAAATGACAAATGTTCAAATGTTCACCAAATGTTCCTGGATTGATTAAAAAGATAGCAAAGTGCGACTTTTAACTCACCAAGGGTATTCCAGCTTGAATATTCCTCTCAACGACTTCCTTTACACGAGTTATATTGTTGTAGTCCCATCTACTCAATTGAAAGCCCAATGCCCAGTATGGCGGCATTGGAGCTCTACCGACAGCCTGTAATATTAAAGCAAAGGTCCATTGCATGTATAATGAAAGCTCACCTTAATGAAATACTGGTTATTGTTCCACTTTCCATTACTATCTGATCAAAATTAAATATCGAGACTGTGTCTCAAATCTAACGAATAAAATGAAAAACTTGTACCATCGTATACTGTTGTACTATATTTTCTGGTGTTGGACCCAAAAAGATGTAGAAGTCCAATACGCCACCTATCGTCCTAAAGGATACACCAGGTGTCGGATCTGGCTGTAGAATAATGTCTGAAAGATATATACAAACATGGCTAGGCAAGACAGTGGCGTAGCCAGGATTTGGTGACCGGGGGTTCTATTTTTATGTTATTCACAAATCCCCCCCCCCCTTCATCAGGGTTCCTCACATAATGCAATATGTACAATTACACTCCCTCCAAAAGTTTAGCAATCCTAACTAACCCATTGGATTATGTATTAAAGCATCTTTAAGTTTGAATTCTTATGCATAATTTGTAAAAAAAAAAACTATTTTGGATGGGGAAATATAATTCATTTTAATACCTTCATTAGGTTAAGTGACAATTAAATTTGAATTTTATTTAACAAAAATGATGTCTTTATTTACGTTAAGCAAAGTCTAAAAGTAATAGGCTTTATCAAGAAACCTCTCCCATTGAAATGACACAGGACGTAAAAATGATTTTTAAAAATGACCTTGTAGCTTTGTAACTTTAATGTTCACAAAGTAAAATAAACAGGCAACGTGCAAAAAAGTCAGAAAACTTAGAATTAAATTTCTGCATCAAAATATATTTCGGTGAATCTTTTACTCTGAAATCTAAAATAAATACTGAACAAATGAAAGAATGAATAAATTTGAACAAATGCTTGTGTTTATAAATGATATACGCTTTTAAATAATTCATTTCACAACTTTTTTAATTATTTAACGCAAAAAATTGGTTTCGGGGACTTGCCAGCCCCAGGGACGTCCCAAGAAATATTTTAAATTTTAATTGAAATAAAACAAAACAGGGATGTACACATTTGAAAGAACATGTGTTTCATCAATATTACGACTATTCCAGATATTTATTCGTCAATGTTGTAAAAATCATTCGGAGTATGGGACGTCTGCATTGTTTTCAATAACTTCGTATTGGACCTGAACTGGCTTAAAACAAAATTCCTACAAAGGACTGATTTAGCCATTGCCCAAGATGGGTTATTATGTCCGATAAGAAGTAGACTAGCTTTTAAGTTAATTGTGCTAAATTATTGTTATTTCTAAATGTAAAATCTCATGCTCTGGGGTCTTGCCAAAATTATATCTCACCCCGTGCCTAAGGTTGCCTAACGTTTTGAGGGAAGTGTAACTTCACTATGACATGTTTTTAACAAAATAAGGTTTGAATCGTGTTCACCATAACAAATACCAATTCATTTACTGCTCATATATGTAGTTTTCAAATAGCACACAGTTATTTAATGTTTCTGGTTATATGCATCTTTCAGCAAATGATATTTTGGGAAATCCTGACCGGGGGTTCGTTCGAACCCACCGAACCCCCGCTGCCTACGGCTATGCAAGATATATCAAAATCCAGCCAACAAGAATTAATCTCCATACTTTAAAATTCCAAAACAAGCATAGCTCTTTTTACAGTTTCAGTGAAATTGATTTACCTCGTCAATTTCATTATTTCAAGTTTATCATTACAATTTATGGCTATATAAGACTGGACAGGAATATCAGGCATTGTTTAAAGAACAGATTTTGTTCCATATGGGTACATAAAATAATTAACTGGAAGTTAAAGCTTGCATTTAAAATCGAAACGCCAACCTATACGTATGACCGATCGCTCATACAAATGCATCGCTTAAATATTTTCCGTTCACGTTTAGAATGTGAAATATATTGCAGCTTTATCTCCCCATTGACCTTCCCATTGACCTAATACGTATATACTTACCCATAGCGTTGCTATTTTTAAGTAATAGTGCATTGGCGTTACCATCCTCCTCCAAGTTCATGTACATCGGCTGTGCCCCATATAAGTTCCACTCGTCTACTGGTGCCACATCCCGGGTGAATATCGTCCATTTCTTCCAGTTCATGTTATGTTTGAACTGTCTGTGGTTGTGCTCCCCCAGACCGTACAAGTGTGCTGATGCCAGCCTTGTCGTCAGCTGGATATATTGATCAGAGAATATAAACCCCGGGATGTCGCTTGTATCGAAACTGAAATAAGAAACAAGCCCACACAATTGAGTACATTTTGAGAGGGATGTGATTTAGCTCTCTCCTAAACTTTTAATTCTGTATTTCCTCATAAGACAATATACGAGGGGTGATCCAAAAGTCTTGGACGCCCTGCTCTAACTTTGTTGGTTTTTGATAAAATTACTTTAAACTTCCCAATAATAAAGACCAACAACTTAACTACTTTGTGTATTAATTTCATGGAGAAATTATATATTTTATGTAGTTTTCTAGATAGTTTTTAATAGAGAGACCCTGCCACCCGGAACGGTATTCACATATGGCAACTTTCAGCCTAAAATGTTGCCGCCATTTGACGTGTTTCGCAAGTCTTGACCACTATCTTTCTTTGAATTTTGAATGTTAAACCATGTTGGTTTACTTCCTTTGTTACTAGACAACCAATTAATTGTGTTTTAATTATAATGTCACATATGACAATGGCCATATATGTCAAATTCAAAGAAAATGACATCAGACAAGCAACCCTCATTCTGGTATCATTTATGCTCCAAGATGGCTGCTGAAATGCAGAACATGAAAAATCAAAGTGGAACAAAGAATACTACAAATATATTCTCACTATTATTGACCTTGAGCAGCTCCCATATGCACGATGCAGTCTAGATATGGCTCTGTGTGATTTTCTTCCTTTTCTCCAAGTTGAAAAGGAGGGTTGAAAGAAAACGTTGAAAGAAAACGTTTTTATATTCATTGGATAAGGTTTAGAGTGGCACTCCAGCAGCATTTGTATCACATAAGCAATGGCAGTTTCATGAATGTCTTCCACTCATTGGTAAACGGTACGAAAAATGTGTTCAAATTCGTTTAAAATATTAGAAAAGTAGGTCTTAATATGTGAAGATGATGATGGCAGATGACAATCAGATTGAAAATCGGAAAATCTCTCATATCATGACTGGCATTAGGCTGTGCACCTGCACTGGTATTTGCCATATTAACAGTTGTGACGTGATTTGCTATATTTAAATACCGTTCCGGGTGGCAGGGACCCGGTATTTAAAAATATTTAGAAAAGTAGCTAAAATATATTATTTTCTGATGAAACTTATACACAAAGTTGTTAAGATGTTGATCTTAATTATCTGAAAGTTTCATGTAATTATATTAGAAAATAGCAAAGTTAGAGCGAGGCGTCCAAGACTTTTGGATCACCCCTCGTACTGTATAAGTGTTTGTAATCCAAGTGCTTAATTTGCCGAATGGTCAAATTTTATCATTTTCCTAATTTTAATTTTCCTTATAACAAGAAACTTCCCATTGGATAACATAATGAAGATAATGTTTCCAACATTTAATATTCCGAACCTGGCAAAAATCAGACAATCGGCCGCATATTAAATGATTAGGCAAAATTACCACTATACAGTACTAGTAATAAAAACGTGTATTGAGGAGAGCAATTGATAGAGGCTGTTACCTTATCATGTTTGTAGTTAGCAATATTTCTATTATGCACATTCATTAATGAATATTTAAAACAATGAACAGAAAGGCCAAACACTGGCCAGAGGCTTTATGTGGTACAAGAACTAATGATTTTATTTTTGTTTGGCATTTTTGCCAGTGTGCTCCTGTTTGGGCGTTTTTGCTTTTTGTATTGGTTTAAGATTGAAGTTACAATAACAACAGTACTGTCGTTTAATAGCTTATTTTTTGTTGTTCTTCAAAATATCTACTCAGTTCTTACATGGTAGCATTTGTACTTTTCCTTGTAACCTTTACCCCAAAGTGAGGCTCAGTGGTGTATTGGAAATCGTAAAGTGTGGACTCTGGTTTAGTACTTGGTACTTCTATATCCAATGCCTCTCGCGGTACTTCAAATCTTGCCGTGTCCTTATCATAGAACTACAATAAAATGAGAAACTGTAATATAACTTCCTGTATAAGTAGGAATCTTAAAGGAACATTGCTGGCCAAACCTTTTCTATCCTGATGTGATAGCTATAATCATATATATACTTTCCATATTTAGCAAAACATTGATAATCTAAAAATGTAGTGCTCATTTCCAGTAAGCTGCCATCTTTTAAGATTTTACTCAGGAAGTGATGTCATTGACTCTCAATTTTCATGACCTTGCATATAACAGTATAGGAAAATAGCACAATATCACTTCTAGACGAGTGATCCTTACTTTATGCGCAAAAATATGTTCAGAGCTTGTCAGCTTAAAATAAAAAAGAGACTTTTAGAGGGATTAAATCATAGACAAAATTGAAAAAGAATATTCAGCTGGTTTTGTAATTCTTAATAGCTCCTTATAGTGTTATATACAAAGTAAGAGGAGGGAAAGCCCCAGAGTTTCAAGATGACAGACATAATTACCTCTCTTGCTTACCACCTTCGTTCGTTCGAATTTTCATCGGCTAGTTATCAAATACTACACTTCGATGGGATGTTATAATTGATATAGGCATATTCCGTACACCTCTCTTTATCTTGATGTGAAATGAGAAGCTATGATATTGGTTAACACGCCAGAAATGAACATAATATTATTCGAAGCGTATTTCGAAAATTTTGAAACCGCCATTGATGACGTCATTTGTTTGTCGACTTTTGACCAATCAGCGACCGTGTCATCTCAATACAGATTTACATTATAAGCGTATGTCATCTTTGAACCCTGGTGTTTCTCCCCCTCTGATACAAAGTTGAGAGTCGATGACATCACTTCCTGAGTGAAATATTAAAAGATGGCAGCCTACTGGAATTCGGCACTACATTTTCAAGTGATCAATATTGACATATCTAAATATGTCTGACTTTATGAGTTAAAAGGAATTTCGGTTTGTCTAACTGCATTATAGTCTTTAGTAATGGGCAAACTGTCATTATTACAAAGTCTAGGAATATGCTTACTCGTATTCTCAATCTATGGTCATTATGAAACTCGACATCTACACCGAGATTGATGACGTCATCACCAAACCCAAGGTTCGGACTATCGATCTTCTTTAGAGTGAATTGATGCCCGATTTGTGTGTCCTCCGGGTCCCCGTTGAGTAGATACCCGGATGACGCCTCTTTGTATGTACACCAAGGGGCCTCGTCTGTTCCAGGCTTGGACCAAATACATCTACAGAGAAAGTACAACTACAGTGATCGTTTTTCAGATTTTTTCTTATTTTTCCATAAATTAAAATTCTGTTTCCTGGGATCTTTTGAGAAATAATTCAAGAATTCCATAAACAAATTGAAAAAATAATTAAATCAGAGGATAGTGCTTATTTCATTCTCTGCTTTATTGTGAAACTTTTGCAATGGAGAGCTCTGACACCAGGCCCCTACGAAAACGAGTAACATGGAAGACAGACGATATGAAGATACCAAGTACAATATAGCCTTACCCTCTTGCTTCACAAGTATCCTTATTAGGTTCGTCAATTGGGAAACCAACAGGGTTGCAGTCTACAAGGGGTACTATATGAGCTACGGGTGCTACATCCTTCGGTTTCGTAAAGTGCAACACAAGGCCAATCGTACCAGCTGCCACCAATGATACAACAGCTACTATAAGCAGCACCAACCTGCCTTTGTGCTCCATCGTTGTGGATAAATGTCAAAACAGGTGTATTCCGGATGCTAAACTAATAGCACTATCATAGAATAGTACAGCTATGGTCCGTATATTTGTATTTCTTACAGTATTTAGTCAATTCTTTAAAGGAGGAGGGAAGTTAGCGCAACAGATTTTGGACAGTCATATGTTTGATTTTGGCCATTTCCTGGGGATTTAAACAGGTGCACATGTTATGGGAATGCATTACCTCCGGGAAAATCACTTTGAGAGATGATAAAATAATTTTGACTTTGAGACAGGGTAGATGCAAACAACCCACCCACACGTTTTTTCTGAAATGTTTTCCTAATTTTCAACCCCTTCCATCCCTGCTTTTTTAATTTTTCTTGCATCAATTTGTTGCGTTTTGACACACAGTTAATCCCTTAAAAGGAATAAATGATTCCTTTTAGATAAAGTGGAAAACAATATTTCCCATGTTATTTTCCCATAGGAAAAATTATTGCTTTCAGCTAAGTTTGGTCACCCATAATGGATATCTTTAAAACCCCTGAAGGAATCACTTATTCCTTTAAAGTGGTTAGTTATGTGTCAAAATGCAACATATTGATGCAAGAAAAATTAAAAAAGCAGGGATGGAAGGAGTCGAAAATTAGGAAAACATTTCAGAAAAAGCATGTGGGTGGGTTGTTTGCATCTACCCTGTCTCAAAGTTGAAATTATTTTATCATCTCTTGAAGTGATTTTCCCGGAGGTAATGCATTCCCATAACATATGCACCTGTTTAAATCCTCAGAAAATGGCCAAAATCCAACATATGACTGTCCAAAATCTGTTGCGCTAATTTCCCTCCTCCTTTCTATATACCTTTATTTTATTTTGTTGTATGAATTATGTACATGTATATATTACATCTGAAATTCGTTGAATATATTGCAGATTTACATACGTTCTGGTCATACAGGTTTGTGTTGCCCTTTGTTGTTTATGCAGCAGCACATACGATTGAGTAATTTAATGTATATCACATGTAGTTTCCTGTTCCTACCGTTTCTCTATATTAAGATTCTTATTTCTGTCAGAGATGTATTTAGTATATGCTATATCATCTCCCTTTTACGTAAATCCGACTAAGACAAGCTAAATTCAATCCAGCTTATTAAAGTTCAACTTAAACTCTGGGACAAGTTGATTGTGATTTTCCTATAAATCATGTATAATTCATCATTCTCTTTGACTTTTATAACGTATACATATATCATATATTACCCAAATAGCTGTGTTATATCCTTCGTATATCTATTCAAATATCGTGCCTATGCATCAAGATCCTCGTTTGAATTTATTTTAGGTGTTCAGATTTGTAACGCTTCATGTTCCGTCGGATCACTATGAGGGTGCCATTTCATTATTTGCAAATTAGAAAACACACTTATGTTAGAACATAAACCCTTGTTTAACCCTTTTACATGATATACGCATGTTTACAGGTCATATATCTAATGGTAAGTTTATTTGCGCATCAAAGTCCTTTTTCATATTTATAACTAAGTCAGGAAGATGTATAGAATATGTGTTTACGTCTTATAAATCTATTCATATTTGATATAGTTGTAATTCTATGAATTTCATTTCCACGATCTTTATTTTTCTTTCCTAATGTGCGACTCGTAACGAACTTTAATTCACGGGAGGGATATACAGACATTCTATCACTGACTGAAGGTGTCAAGTCTCAAGATATTTACTTTTAAAATCTACAATATCATAAACTGAGTGTTAAATATTAACCATCCAAGGTAAAACACAGAGCTTGTAAATTTCAATTCTTCAAAGGAATAGTTGCTTTAGCAGTTTATGCCATAAGGATCTGAAAGCTTTTGGTAAAAATGGCCTTAGGGACCAGTTGCAATGTTATTTTCCTGAACATTGTGGTAAAAATCAACTGGTCCGTATCAAAAGTAACCTGGTAACGACCAATGTACCAGTTGACCGTTGACCCGGAGTATGAATTACAATAACTTATTACTTGGACTTGTGTACCCTTTAAGGGAATTGATGGATGGATGGAAAGTCCTTTGACATTTGATGTAAAATAAGATATTTCTAAAATGTTTTGTCAATAGATGGCGACCATATGCTCTTCTCATTCGTATCAAACATCTCAAAAGTATTGTAACATATTTCCAAAGAACTTATTTATTCTCTATAATGAAAGTATACTTTTTCACAACGCCATGCATTCAAGTTATATTGCAGAATTATTTAGACGACTGGTTTTTGATTAGCCCAATTGTGAAAAGTCATGTTTACACTTTTATTTATATCGCTCCCGGGTATCGCTCAAATATTTCTCTTCACATATTCATCTTCGTTCTTAAAGTATTGCTTTTTTGAGATATGATATAGGGATACTGTTCACATTTTTCAAAACATCAAAACCTCCCCCCTCTCTAGTCTCAAAAGGTATCATATATCATTTACTTCATCTATTCTTAACAAAAAATGAGATTTTTAGACCTTAGTGAGTATTGCTTAAGACATAGACCTAATAATGTTGTTCACCTGATTCTGGTTCGAAAATATTTCGACTATATCTTGAAGAAAAACTGAATAACTAATATAGGCAAAATGTCGATACCGTATTAACGTTTGATCTCTTAGAAATATGTTTTATATTGAATGTGTACAAAAGAAAAAGTACAGTATGTTTATCTCTTTTATTGCGTTTGTGCACATGTTGATATTTTGAAATTTACAATATAATACAATCTACTAGCCTAAAAGGATAACACCTTATACTCTCTAATATCTACAATAGACAAAAATGCTTGTTAATTGGTTTTGATAACAAAATGTTTGCAATTGGATGAATATTATTGAAGATATTTGTTTGTGTTACATGTTCTCTCATTGATCTTATTATTCAAGAGTTTAAACAAACTATTTCCTATTGGTATCCATTATTACGTATCAATTTCAAATATGCTATTACAATATAGTACTAAGGAATAGAGAGTCTAAGCTTGTATTCGCAAATGCCTGTCGGCTACCGGATTAACCTACTATTTTATTGGCAACTCATTTAAATATGAATAGTACCTGCCACTATTCATATTTAAATGAGATGGTCATAAAATAGGAGGTTAATCCGGTAGCCGAGATGCGTTAGTTGCAAAAGGTTAGTTTGTTATATTATGGTTTACACAACACGTACAACAAATATTGATAAGATCAGAATGTTATATGATTTCATGTTATATTCCATTTTAGCTTGTATTCGCAAATGCAACTAACGCCTGACGGCGACCGTATTAACCTGATATCTTATGGGCAACTCATTTAAATATGAATAGTACCTGCCACTATTCCATTCTATTCTATAAAAGAATGTTATATGATTTCATGTTATATTCCATTCAAGATCCTTATCATTCTATTGTACCTTATTGAGTATTGTAGTTACTGAACTGTGAAACTATTTGGAAAGTGTTCTTAAGTTAGGCCAGAGTTGGTGATGATTTTGGTCTACACCTAAGAATTATCATTCTAAAAATTCAGGATCGAACCTGAGAACGTACGTACGCCAATGCTCATGTGTTCAAAGTGTCCTACACTACGTAGTATGATAAAATATCTCGAATAGGTGTCTGTGATAACAGCTTCGTTCGTTTTTCAAATCATCTTAAATATAATTGCAAAAAGGTACGACATACATGTACAATATTGACAGGCAACACTATCACGTTATTGTAGAGTTCTCAAACTTTAACATTGTCTCAGAAATATAAAACAATAAAAATTGCAGGCGTTTTCCAAAACTTGAACGTCCTGTAATTAAATCGTTGGTGCTGATTTACAATTATGTCACCGCCATAAGTGGTGACATATTGTTACGGTATTTGGCGTCCGGTGATAAGTGTTCGGCGCTTGGTGTTTGGTGATATAGTCTAACACATGGCTGGTGGTGACATTTTGCATGTCAATGTCTTTTTTTACTGTTTTGACATAGGGATCACGAGCACAGGGATGTTAGCATGGTGCAACACATAATCCGATACTGAGCCTAGAATTGTTCGTCTAGCTTTTCCTTGACCTCTTGACCCCATGACCACAACGTCAGCGTTTAATGACGTAACAAAGTCACATATTGTCTGTCCTGGTTGGGTGCTAACCTTATCATGGACAGAACACTTTATCTGAAAAAAAAACATGTAGCTAATGTACTTATATTATTGTTCATATTAGTATTTCATTTCAATTTGAATATTCATAGCATAGACAAAGAAACTTTCGGAGAATCTCGTTTTGGTGATATTATGAACATACATGGAAATGATGCAAAAAATTGACCTAACCCAACTACCATGTCATATCTGAATGTACCCCGACAATTCAATAGCTTACAATTTATATATTTAAATTAAGCATATAACAGTCATACATGTGCGAAAATAAACAATAGTTTAAGTATATGAAATAAAACAGATTTGAAAAATTTGGCTTACATTTCGTTTGTGCAATTGTTGTGTGAATGTTTTGAAAAGCTGCTGGACCCTTTTCTCTTCCTCATCGACGAGTCTCTGCATATCTGGATGAATAAATGTGATGATATTAGGAATAAACAGATTATCCTATATGAGGATCTGGTTATTCGGTTTATCCCGAGGCAAATATAATATACCTGCCTTGGGGTCAAAGGGGTAGAAGGTAAAGGGGTAATGGTATAGAAGTAGATAGCGGCCAATGGGATCTAGGAAATGTTGATGAACCGAAATATCCAGTAGCTCTAGCCAATCAAAGGGCGTGATTAACTTAGATATATTATGGTTATTCGGTTTATCCCGAGGCAAATATAATATATCTGCCTGAGGGCCAAAGGGGTAGAAGGTAAAGAGGTAATGGTAGAAGTAGATAGCGGCCAATGGAATCTAGGAAATGTTGATGAACCGAAATATCCAGTAGCTCCAGCCAATCAAAGGACGTAATTAACTTAGATATATTATGGTTATTCGGTTTATCCCGAGGCAAATATAATATATCTGCCTGAGAGTCGAAGGGGTAGAAGGTAAAGAGGTAATGGTAGAAGTAGATACCGGCCAACGGGATCCAGGGAATGTTGATGAACCGAAATATCCAGTAGCACCAGCCAATCAAAGGACATGATTTAACTTAGATATATAAACTATGCTACCTCGTTGGTGTTGAGTTATAACTTTCTCCTACCTAATCAAATGACATGATTTAACTTAAAGATATATGATAAACTATGCGACCTTTTTACCTCGTTGGTGCTGGGTTATAACTTTCTTATAGCTAATTAAATGACATGATTTAATTTAAAGATATATGATAAACTATGCAACCTTTTTACCTCGTTGGTGTTGGGTTATAACTTTCTCATAGCTAATTAAATGACATGATTTAATTTAAAGATATATGATAAACTATGCAACCTTTTTACCTCGTTGGTGTTGGGTTATAACTTTCTCATAGCTAATTAAATGACATGATTTAATTTAAAGATATATGATAAACTATGCAACCTTTTTACCTCGTTGGTGTTGGGTTATAACTTTCTCCTGGCTTGGGTTAAAATCTGGAGTCATAAAACAGCTCAGTGAAGCCTCACCCATGAGGCGTGGTGTTGCACTAGGCTTAGCAGCAGCAGGGTAGTCTTTATCTATATAGCAGTCAAGGAGAGAGCCATTTCCTTTCATAATGTTCGATTTGAGAATCGGAGGTTCGTGAATATGAACTAAATGTACCAAGTGGTCTTGTCTGTAGATTGTGTCAACGTACCCTGAAATATAATTTATTGTTGTTTTTATCTGTGTGTCATTTTAATTAATTAATTCAGGATACAGTATAGTATTCTAGTTCTTCGTCCTCTTTAAGTACAATGTATGTATAATTCGATACAACCAGGACGTGCCCATGCGTTATAGTATTCCTTTCGTCAAAATTCAAAAGTCAAGCTGTCATAGTAAATATAAACCTGATGTTGATACTTTTAAGATATTAAGTGATGAATATTAAATAGTTATAAACAACTCTTGAAAAGTGAGAAAAACTTTTGGGCATATCTTACCGACCATTGTTTAACTTTATTTCAATAAAGTGATGGCTCAGACATAATTATCAAGTAATTGCCCCTTCTGATACTAATTTCTTTCAAAAATCAACAAAGGTCCGACACTTCTATCTGAGAAAACTCAATGTTTCTTTCAAGTGCATATCACACCTTTATTACTCAAAACAAGGGAACAACGGTTCATTATATTATAAAAAACAAATCATGATATCTCATATAAATAATATCCTAAAACATATCCTTGTTGTAGTCAACCGTGCATTTTCGACATTTCCCGTTTTCTTTAAGACAAAGCATGACTTCCAATTCATAGCTATTTTATTTCATCCAAAAACATTAATTTGAAAAATACGTTGAAATAGCATGTAAACATGCACTTACTTTTCACAATGAACTCTAGAAATAATTACAAAGAAAAGAGATATGTCATAATGATCACCATGGTTACATGTTATTTATAAACACAAGCACAAATGATCAATTAGTAGACATTATATGGTAATCTAGGAAACCAATATATTATATTATCTTAATGTGTAAATAATCTTAAGCCAACAACATAATACTTCTCTTAAGGTGCTTATTTACATTGAAAAGCATGTTGAGCATTTTGTGATCTGTCCAGGGGCAGGATGACCACCGTTGTGGTGACCTCTTCCCGACCTGACATCCTCCTTGACACCTCTGACATCGTTGATTAATGTACACCGTGGGGCAAACGTATTGAGACAGCCAGTAAGCTGACTATAGTGTCCTGTAATTTAAAAAGAATACATTTTCATATTGATTACCATCAATTCTCTTGTGATTTGCCGAATATGTATTTTTCTTTTGCTAGTTTAGCCATATAATAAATAGTAGCCCAGACAGAATTATTCAAGGGTCACTTTTTCTATAATAACTCTTTTAATATTCAGTATTATCAAAAACCAATTGCATATTTGAAAACTAGAGTATACAGACTTGGTAAGTTATTGGAGAAGTGTAACCCCGGGAGTGTAACATTTTGTTACATATGCCGAACTCTGACGCCTAAATTATAAATCGATGCATATAACATATGGTTTGCCATCATAGTTGAGTGCATCATTTGATAAATACACAATGCACAAGAAGACACCTCTTTGTTTTCAAGATTATTTTTTTAGTTATATTGGAATCTTCTCCAAACTTCAGTAGTAAGTACCAAGTAGTTTAGGTTTAAAATATTATTTTTCACTGGAGGGTGAACGAATGGTCTGTGTCTCATTGTACACGGCGCCCATGAAGTATTTTTTACATCTTACACAAACTTTATTTTGTCATTTTAGAGACTTTATGGACACCGTGTATATTCTGGTCACTACGGATTCGTGACGGGGATATGTCATATTGCAGAGATGGTCAGAGTATCAGAATGGGGATATGTGTATACAGGCAATGCTCATTATTAAATCGGCATTCAAATTGGACATACATAATCGTTAGTGCATCTTAGTACGTTATCTGATATAAAATATTACTGTGTTAATAAATTACCATGGCCTTGAAAATGTTAAATCACATGTGTACTATTAGATAATCTAGATATTATTCATGCTAACTCTGAGTTTGTGGCATACTTATATGTTTCATGTTTAGTTTGAGATTATTTTCATGTTGCCCATTGTCGTACTTTTCAATATACCCCATTTCTTATTAAGTTCCCTTCGTAATGTTTGCCCCCCCAGTGGCCATTTTGCTTGCCTATTTTATCAAATATATGCATTTGCTAGACTATGAACGAGGCACTGACAGTTTGTCACTACCTGAAAAATAAAAATTATAACAGTAAACTACTACAGTAAACTAAAATATGTATTTTTTCTTGGTGGCTTAAAATGTAATAATTATTATAAATGGTAATAGTTACTTACATATCACTGCCTGTTAAGGTCGATTCTACGTCAGTCGCATCCAAACAGAATTCACTATATGACTACCTTTTGTAACCCCCTAACGGATCTTGCGTATGTATGAATATATATGATGCACTTGTTTACAGCAATACTCCCGGTAACCTGTATCCTTTATAAACGATAGACTGTGTTTGACAAAATACTGAATGTTTACAAGTTAAAGAATTGTACATGTTTAAAGGCATACATTTAAATCAATGTTGTATTTTAACGTACAGTTAAATCAGAAGTAGTTAAACATTAAACCGAACAGGGCCAACCTTCTAAGACTAGAGGACGTACAATGTATACGGATTGTTGACTTAAAAATATCCAATGACCAGTCACAAATGGCACGTATTGATAATTATATGAGGAAATGATGAGTCCGTCATAAGACCAGTTGAAGAGCATCTTCAACACTTATCAACAAAATAGTTAAGTGTGGGGCATACGAGGGTATATCATAAAGTTCTCATAATATCTCTCTAATTTTTTTATTTTTCAATATATTCTGATGAATTTTTCACAGAATGTGTAGTATAGAATGCTGTATTAATCTATCAAAAAATATTTGGTACAACAGAAATATCATTTAAGAAATGGTTGCCATAGTAACCCGAAATCAAGGCACCCGGGGCAAATAAAAAATTGTGCAAGAATAGCCCCAACTAACCATGTTTAAATGCATAATAAGTTATCAAATAAGCTATGAAACACATCAAATTTTTAAATGCCATGTATTCTTGACCGCTGCTTTTGAACAATTATAATGGCCATGTGAATTGTGTGATCTCATAATGGATGATTGTAATGCATCATTAGAAGTGTTGTTAGGCACTACAACTGTTTTGTCAAATATTCCAAGGAAAGTCGATTTTCCCCCTTTAGTTTATCTTAAATATGTTTAGACCACAAATAGGGGGGTAATTTTGTTGATAACTTTGCAACATATTTGTTTTAGATCATCTTTAGTATGATCAAAGGACTTTTCGAACTTAACCAAACTTTTTGTTAGTATGAATTTTATTTTTCTGATGATCTCTGCATCTATGCATTATCTTACTCTGTCATTTCTGATCATTATCATTATCATCATGATCATTAAGCTTTGATTCCCAGAGTCTGGTATCACATCTAATGAAGCATGTAAGCATCCCCTAAGACATCACATAATTCACATGATCAATTTATTTTATAGTAAAAGCATTTAACATATTTAACATAACATTTTAATGTGTTTGATAATTTATGAGAGTTTCTTATATGTATGTAAACATGGTTAATTAAGCTCATTTTCTCAATTATTTTTATTTGCCCCGGGTGCCTTGATTTCCGGTTACTATGGCAACCATTACTTATTTAATTTTTCTGTTATATCAAATATTTTTTGATAGATTAATACAGTGTTCTATACTGCAGATTTCCTGAAAATTTCATTAGAATATATTGAAAAATAAAAAAATTAGAGAGATATTATGAGAACTTTATGATATACCCTCGTATGTTCATTTGGGAGAAAATAAAGATACAAAAACATCAATAATCCCGGTCTATATCATACATTTATTAAGCATTTCAATGAGTCGTCAAGTATATTTAAATAAATTTATTGTTACCATTACACATCGTTTAGACCTAATATGTAAATATATCACAAACACTTGATGTATATATCATACATTTTTAAAATATATCGCTCGTTTGCAATATGTTATACCATAGATCTTTTTAATATAATACAATCATAGCTTTACATTTATATCGTCGGCAAATACGTGTTCTAAAAGTAGGTGTTTAATGTTTACCTTTACTGTGTAAATAACCTTGTTTTATTCGCTAGAATAAGGGCATAGTGATATACTCGTATTTACACGTATCATAAATTATCATTCGTATGTCATTAGATATTTTCACGACCAACTATTTTCTCAATAATACTTATTCTTAAACCGTTATACATTAATTGCTAAATGATGCGTATAGGTTACCTACACTGAATATTCATTTATTTTTCTGTCTTGAAGCAGCATTCAAAACTAATTTTTTCTTTAAAAAGATCTCACCCATACCAATATGGTAATCTTACATATTCTATCTTATTATAGGCTGTATTTTTGTATGACCGCGGTGTAAGTGAATTGCATAATATTTTAATGAGTGTCCTCCCTAGGTATCACTATAAAGAACAATAAGCCTTGTAGTGCAAATGCTACCGTGCAAATTACACGCTCATGTGTTTTCAACAAATAATTTTTATAATTTTTTTGATGTCTAATTTCAGTATAGATCCAAGCGGCGACGCAGCCAGCGATCATTATAAAAACATGTACACATGTAATATAAATTAAAGGACAGACTTAGCACGCTGTCGCAGAGCCATATTTTGAAAAATGTGATGTCTTATTATTGAAAAAAATAAAAATTGAAAATAATACATAAATACAACAATGGTAGAAGCTTTTATTTAAAGCGCGCATGTTTATTAATGGGTATTTCCTTACTGCTGTATTGCCGCTAATTGACTATATTACAAATCAGGGAGTAATATTTGCCGATGCGGCTATTTTACTTATAAGGTAATAACGTTTCTTTGGAATCAAAAGGCTATCCAGACTTTTTGAATTCATGATCATCACTGACAGCAGTTATGACATGTAATATGACATGATGCGAAGCTTTCTCTGACATTGCGTGACTGACTGAAGGACAAGTTGTTAAAGCGTGACTGTACACATGCCACTCAAACGAGAACAGATTGTTGTAATTACTGTAACATGACAAAAAATCTGACATCCAGACAATTTCTTCACAGTTCAATAATCACACATGAAAAGGTGCAGAACGTTCGATTGTATTGATTAAGAAATATAGACCGAAGAGCAGGGGTAATATTGTCGAATACACCCCGCAGGGGTAGCCACAAGCGTTTTCTGTACCCCGGACGACCGAAGGGAGTGAGGGGATCGAAAGCTTTTGTTCCTAGCCCTAAGGGGTGTATTCAACGATATTACCTCTGCTCAGTCTGAGGTCTATATTACGATTCGAACATGAAAACTCACCAAAATGTTTCGGGTTTGCCATTACTACGACCCGCCGTTATGAAGTCACACATTGCACGTATTACCAGGGTTATTCTTCGCGAATATACCCCGGGTGAAATGTTGACTTACAGTTTACAGTTTATAGAAGGCGTGAACACAGTCATGTTCGAATATTCGTTGAATCGCGACAGAAGTGTTTGACAACGTTAATATTTCACTCTACTATACCTAACACCTAGAAAAGATATTCTCTTTGTCTAATTGTATTGTATAGTATCATTTTGAAAGTACCTTATTAATATCTAACAGTCATCCAATAAACCATTCATAAGCAGCAGACATATAAAAGCAAATAACATTACCATTACTAATAAGCCAAATGGGTTGCTCATGAACACCAAATGCAAGGAATAGTAGAGTGTATTTGTATCTAACAGGGAACCTCTTTGACATTTTATGCAACACGTGATATTGCATATATCTGAGTGGTCCGCAACTCGTACAAAAAGCTGTGTAGACTAGTGGTGTGTATTTGTATGTCTCTGTTTAAGTGCACATAAAAGGACACAGGGCTCCTCCAGGGAGGGGTTTCTTGGTCTATCGTCCAGGTTAATTACGTAAATTACGACCGTATATATACGGGATATACCCAAGAGGTATTGCTTACCTTCATTGGTGGTAAACAAAATACAATACAATACAAACGAACATCAAATTGCAGTTTACGTTTATCTTGTACATTACCCGATGAAGAAGGAATTATTTATTTTCTTGTTATTTTCTAGGTTTTTATAACGTGGCATTCATTGAGGAAAAAAGTGTTTGATACAACAAAATAAATGATGAAGGCGGTAAAACCGCTCAAGTAGAACTAGGTTGTTAGTGAAACACTTTTGACTGTTTCATGGTCTAATGATTTGATGTTTATCTAACCCTTTGAAGCGGAACAACGCCTTGATAGTGGAACACTTTTCAGATGAACCATGGGTCACATTTGCTCCGATTTATCGGGCGGCGGTTCAAAATTGTGTTCAGTTTTAAACAAATACTCAAGCAGCCGGGCGCCGGCCGAATCTGGGGAAATGTGACCCAGGCATTACAGAGGTTGTTCCGTATTGCCTTGGTCACATTTTCCCCGATTTTCACTACGGCGTCCGGCCGATTGAGTATTTTGTTCAAAATTGAATACAATATTGAACAAAACACTCAATCGGCCGGGCCCCGGTCGATGAATCGGAGCATATGTGACCCAGGCATATCTCAAATACCCCCCCCCTTATAAACAATTGCACTCAAAAAACAAAAAATGTTAATAAAAACAGTTATATAAAATATACAGGGTGTCCGAAAAGTAAAGATACAAATACTCTAATTTTAAGAGATTTAGGAGTTTTGCAATGAAATTGCTACAGATTGTAGAGGAACATTATTACAGTACCAGATCATAGCTAAAATCTGATTAATTGCTGAAATATAACCATTTGATACAGTCTTCATCATTGTGTTTTCTACCAGTGTTTTGTTTTCTTGAATATTATATTATTGTTGCTATTTTGTTCTCTTATGTATAATGGTGTCATTGATACATGTCAGAACTATGTTATATGTCATCAGTGTAATCAAAGAAATATTATAGAAGTGCTTAAAATATAAGTTCCCTGGGTTAATAAGGAAAGTCAATATTCCACCTCCACAAAAATGCACCAGTTCACAAAGCAAAGCCAACAAATCTCAAAATGGAGTGTCTTGACACTAAACCTTTTTTACAATGTCCCATATTTACCTGAAAAGGCCCCTTTAGACTTTTACCTTAATGAGCATCTCAAAGCGATATTTAATCTGTTAGAATTTCAGTATTCAAATGAGACTCAACTAGTAGCGAATGTTATCAGCAATCTGAAGACAAACAGCAGCGGTTTTGTCCGGTCTTTGAATCTCTGGTCAAGATGCACCATGAACATATAGATAATGTGGGGAAAACATAATACTGGATAATAGTAGTCATGTTAAATGATAAAATAACAGAGTACTAATCTTCATGCTGTTGTGGGACATAATTTGATGTTTTATAGGAACAAATGAGTTAAGTGCCAAGATGATAGGAATAGGAAAAAGATTTATAAAAGACAATAAAAATGAATTGTGACGCTGCTCCACATACCCCCAACTCCCGTTACCATAACGACCATAACCTTTTCATTTTGAATCTATATGTCATGACAGTTACATGATATATTGTTGAAATGTCATTTTACAATCTGTAGCAATTATATCTCACAACAGGTAAATCTATTGAAGTTAGAGCATTTGTATCTTTACTTTCCGGACACCCTGTATACTGTGAATAATTTTCGCATTAAATTGTTGTCAATGAGTCAACATTGCATAAAGGACCGTGTTTTTACAGAATGTTTTTAATGGTTGGTTTAAGTGAAATAAATTGTGAAATTCAGTTCACCATATCGATACTCATCCTTTGATGAATTTTCGAAAAATTTCATTACCATGTTAACCAATGGTTGGTTTGGGGCTAATCAGATTTCTGGATATCTATTCAGTAAATGCTTCATCAAAAATACGTTTATACAGAAAATTATGTTAAGTGTTAAGTGTTAAGTTTACTTAGTGAACATTAAAATTACAGATCTTCAAAGTCAATTTTGAAAATCATTTTTTGTCTCTTGTCTTATTTCAGTGGGAGAGGTTTCTTGAAAAATAATTCTGACTTTGGAGACCTGTAACTTTGTTGAACGTGTAGAACGTATAGTTTTTTTATTAAACAAAGTTTGCAAATTGGATAGATGGATACATTGCATACATTGACACATAATTATTATTTTGGGAACATCTCGAATTGTGTCCTCTTATGGTTTGACCCTTTACCCCAAGACCAAAAGTATATCAATAACTCATTACAACGGAGTATCCATATATCATTCGGGAAAATATCAAGGAGATAAAAATAAATCCGTTTCTAGCGGATCGGGATTATACGATTCAATATAGGTAAAAACAAAGATAGAAATATAATATATCACAATGCGAGGTAAGAAGAAGAACAACAGGTTGCGGCCAAACCCACCTGTTCTCGTTCAGTTTTGAAGAAATTACCCGATGTTAAAGTAAACTTAAAATAAATTAACTATACATGCATTTTGTAGGTAGTGTAGTTAAATTTTTTCTCGAATATTTATAATATTAGCGATAAGATTCTTTGGAAATTTGAGATGATCGATCGATGTGCGAAAGGTATAAGTCCTGTTAAAAGTTGAATAAATTAAAAAGGCCACGAACAGAACCAACGATGCATCCAACATTTGAAAATGCAAGATAGAAAGTTAAATTAAATTCAGGTGAAAGAAGAAAACGCGATATCTGAATGACAAATGACGTTTAGATACATGTATTCACTTTGTATTACAGAGATTAAAGATACATACGAGCAAAATCTATAAACGCTACATCAAATAAGTGAATCATAAACGACAAATGAAGGTATCAATTGCACAATTGTTTGCAATTTATCAGTTGAAGCTCTATTGTAATGAAGACATCAGATTGATGCGTTGTTCCCTGTGGAACGTCATTATGACCCAATGATGATCAAAGGCCTTAGCAAGCTCGATAATGTCAACATCTATTGCATCAGTACTATATAAATTGAAAAACTGGATGAAAATTGCCATCGCAGTTTCAAGAACTTGGGTTTTTGCGGTAGCAGTTTGTATGAATGTGCAATATATGCAAATTTCTTGATGATATCGGCTATAATATACCCTGCACTGGTTAACTATTTATGAGCGATTGATAAATCATCATAACTCAATATCGATATAGAAATAGAAAGGCGTGCAGCTCTCTGGTATTTCTGCAGGATCGTTCAAAGGCATTTCTACTCAGAGGATGAGGAAATTATTAATTGCGATTTTCGGAAGTGTTTTCCTGACAACTGTGAGGTCAGTAGGTAAGTGGATCATAGTTGAACACATTTTTTAAAAATAGGCCTTCGTGGTATCCTTGAAATTGTGCAATTGACCCGTGCTTACATATCAGTCGTTCTTCAAAGATTATTAGAGCCTTTTTGAACATAGTTTCATATTTTAAATCAATGCATTAATAAACATGCTTTCAAATTCTTTATTGTTCCGTCTCTTTATTGATGTCTACTTTTTATTTTCGAAATTTTTTTTCTAAAAAGTATCTGTAACTTCGTATGTGATATTCGCCATCGAACTTGATGTGAACGTAAATTTGGAAAACTAATATTAAAACATGAAAGCACATAATATTGTTTTGATCAAAACTGTGAAATATGGATATATGGAAATGAATATGACACATTTTCAACGCCCTATTTGATTATTATAGTAAGTTAATTTTCGGATAATTTACTTTTTGGTATTAGGTTACCTGGAATAGATACTCGATTTTAATTTTGTGAAAAGAAAACAACAATTGATAAAAACCCGATCGATCGGCAATGATCGCATTGACTCTAACCTTATAAATTAAAAAAACAATATTTGGCATGTCAATTGTGTTATAATCGCACTTTACACTTTGTACTTCATTTAGTAAGTGTAGTCGATGTATGGAAAATGGCATTAGAATGAAAATAAATAGTGACAACCTGTTGGAAGGATTATCACAGTTTTATGACTTTTTGCATGAGGTATTTTATCATGATTATCATTTTACAAAAATTAGTCTCCTTCTGACTTGATTTAATTATTAGGGTCGTACAAGCTTCTCAAAAGAAGAGGTTTTATCATTTTACAATAAAATCCGACAGATGTATTTCTTCCCCTTCCCCTATATGCTTGTATAACATTTCAGGACCTCAGACCTATATTGTTCTTCCCGACGTATTTAATCTATTGACCGTGATATAAGAAACTTCAAATGATTCTATAAATGTCAAAATTCGTTTTGTCCATTGATTTTTGTTTCAAGTGTTAATTCTGCTATCTTAAAATGTATTATACACGTATATTTAATCAAAATACTGTCATTTGCAACGACCGGCCAAAATGTGAAGATTTGTGAGGATAGATGTGATAGTATTAGCATCAAATCGCCAGCATGCATAGGGCAATTAGATATCAATTTGATTATCATTATTGCATGCGATTAACTCTACAATGTAAAATAAATATAAGATTGACCTGGTTTTTGACCTTTGATCTAGATAGAAATTTAAAATAATTTCCCGTGATGCCAGGTAGATGTCCTAGCTTCATCTATAATATCCTTATCGTGTATCCTCCATCGTGGTTCATAACTATTTGTTCAACTATATCATGTCTGGGTGAAAACCATGAGTAGGTTGTCTGTCTGAGAGGAACGCCACCATGGGAAATCTACAGGGTGGGCCAAAAAACAATACCCAAGTTTAAAGACAAATGATTCATATGTTAAATGTTAAACCATGCCATGTATTATGTATAATTTTGAAGATAAATCATTTTTGAACAAAATGACACCATCCAAGTGAAAACCCCTTGTTTTTGTTAAAAAATGATTTATCTTCAAAATTATACATAATGCATGGCATGGTTTAACATTTAACAAATGAATCATTCATCTTTAAACTTGAGTATTGTTTTTTGGCCCACCCTGTAAATTTCAAGTGCCCAAAACACGTCATATTAAATCCATTAAATTTCACGTAGATGAAGTGTATCCATATCTTTTAATGTGCATGATTACATAAATTATATATTATCTCTGTAGACATAATTTATAGTCGTATTATACATACTTTTGACTTCGAAACATGTAACTACATGATATGGCTAATCATATTCTACTGACATTGGTAGTCAGGTTTTACCGAAAGTGAAACTTTTTGTAGTTATATTTCTAATTTACTAAATGCGTTTGTTCTCACCAGGCACAAAGGATCAATTAAACAAGATAAAATCCTTCATTGATTCATATAGTGCTCTTCAAACGAAGAGGTAAAGGTTCTGAGAGGACTTTGCTTGTATTCTTCGGCAGTCGGCAACCGGATTAACCTATCAATTTTCCAAAATTAATCAGTCAATTACGGAATTATTGAATCAGGATACACGGCAGGATCTATTCATATTTAAATTAGTTAGTTCAATTAAATTAGTAAATATTTAATATTCAAATATATCTGTCGCGTCTTTTCACCGATTTCATTTTGGCCGACCTGTATACATAGTGTCATAGTATACTGGTCGACTATATTTAAAATCGTTTAATACAAATTAGACGTTTTAAAGTACAACAAATTTATATCCTTGGCAAATATTAAATATTTATAGCATACGAGCAGATAATACATTATATACCTACATTATGAAATTATATAATCACACTTTGTAAACTAGTACAACAGATAAATTCCCGAGGAAATATTTTAAGATTTATCGCATGCGTGTTGACTAGATGGAGTTGACATTGTATAATCAGAAACATATTGTTTGCCTCTGGTATGATATAATGAGATTGATCGGTCATATATTGATGAGTAATCAATAGGTTTAACAATAAGACTGACAATACACGGAACGTAAAGTTAATTGCAAATCGCTAAGATAAACTTAAAGAATAAAATTGCAATGAACTCTTTGTGATCCTCATCATCTCTATTGTTCAAACAAAAAATATCGTAGGTCATAAAAACTTTTTCTCGTCTCGATCAGTCTTGAAAAAAACCTTGATTAATTATCTTTTTAATAAGTTTTTATTTCAAGTTAGCAGTTTTTCAATTACAATAGATACACAGTGCAATTAAACAAAATTCAATAAGTTGCAGATTATTTCTGCTAAGAGCACTATCCGAAATACATCATATTATTGACTTGATAATTTCTACATTTTATGCGCATGTAGATTATTTGGAGTGTGTTATAAGAGATGTTATAATAAGTGTTTGATCTCGTCCCACTTTTCCCCTTTCTCTAACTTTACATCTAACTTAAAGTATTGTAAGTTTTACATTACTTTTAAAACCTACAAAATTTGGTCGTACATTTTTTACATTTGCATTGATAATATATATCTTTTATATATACAGAAAATTGTGTTTAATAGGATAGAATTTTCGTCCATGATTACTTGACCCAAATATTATATAAAGTTCTCGTATGACTGAAAATAGAAAGTCCCTCTGGCAACCATTTCTTAATATCACTTCGTAATTTGTTTGCCAATTCACAATGATAAAATAAGTGCCCAAGAGTTTCAAAGTGGTTTTCGAAAAAACGGCAAAAGGCAGATTCTTCGAGACCACACATATACGAGCGTATGTAGATATTTATTTGGAGGCAAAAATCTGTGAGGAGCTATTTATATTTAAAGTATACAAGCTTTGGCTCAAAATAACTCACTTTGTTCATGGTATTTAATTATGATATGCCCTTCATGATTATTGAGATCGATGTTCACTTCATTATTCCATTTTGAAATGTTGCTTTTATTAAAAGTTCCTTGATAAATTCCCAATATATTGTTCTCGAGATATTTTTCTTTTCTTAGAAAAGTTGATTAATTAATTGATCAACATATCGTTGATACTCACGGGATGTTAATTGCGTGTCATTTTCATCATACCTTGATGTAGAAAAATATAATTTATATGTTGAATTAAAGTTATCGTGAAGTTATTGTAAAGTGTTTTGCGCCTTCGTTTAAAAATCTGTAAAATTAGTGTAATTTAGATCATTCGGTACACTTTGCTTCGTCTTAGTTTAAAACTAGACTCTGCACGCAGGGTACTATTATATAGGTATACGTCTTTTTAATCTCTTTTATTGAGAACATTAAAGAGTGTATAATAGACGGATCATCATTTAATCGTTTCAGGATGTTGGAACTATCCCTTTGGACAATATATTATATTTGCCCACGAGTTCATCTTATCTACAATTGAATTCTCCAGCCATTGCTCTTGGACGGGTGTTTCATATTTGGCTCGGGATGATCTTAGTAATCTCAATATCCCGAACGTCATGATAATCTCTGGATAATGTACCAGCGGCTAGACAAAAGGACATTATTGCGGAAATAGGAAATTAAATCAGCTATCACTTTTCTCAGAATTAATCATCGTCGAACTCGGATAATGTTGCAATTTGATTGTAGATGAGAGAATAAATAATTTTTAACAATGATTTACAACATTAAAACGTCATAAAATGGTTTAAAGATATTCCATTTCTATCTAAGATTAGTATCCTTGACATGCTATTGTATTCTCCTTGAATCATTAGCGCTGTATTAGCATTGAGAAGATGAATACGAAGGAAATAAATGGGTTTACATAATAATTCACCCAAGTTCCTCAGATGTATTGCATAGGCCAGTCCGTAGCTTACGATACAGTTACACAGAGCTAGGCAAGGTGTGTCCGATTCCAGCCAATCATAACACATTAGTTCATATAACTGCATGGCATTATACCAGCAATCACAGCATCCAAGGTCACTCCTAATGTGGTTGTCAAGGTGACAGTTGGATTAAAATTGATGCTTTGCGACCTTGACCCTCGCAAAAAGTTTCATTGAAAATATGTTATTTTTAGTGATTTCGCATCTTTTAGGTAATTTCGGAGAAAGTATTTTGCAATGAGTGAAAAGAATTTAAGCCCAAGACTTGATGCATTGTGGATGATTCATTCCACCCAGGCATTGTTTCCTAAACTTTGCATTCCTGCTGCGCGCTCATGTAAAGATCTAAAAATAATACCTTCAAAAGGAATGATTCAGCGCACTGAGCGCACTACACTGAGTCTAGGGCTTAAATCTTTGAAATTACGTATCCACTATTGTAAATTGTTTAATTAGTTGTGTTCTAAATGAATTGATTCACTGTATTTTATACTTAGAGTTTATTTGGTGACAGGATAACATAAACACAATGGTTGATCACAGAATGAATTAGTAACAAATCTTTTCTTTGTATTGTCTAGAGAATATAAGGCTGGTAGGGGGCACCACTGAAAATGAAGGTCGTGTTGAAATACAAGTCGATGGCGTCTGGGGAACTATTTGTGACGATCACTGGGACCTAAGAGACGCCATAGTTGTCTGCAGAGAACTCGGCCTTGGAATATCTAGGCAAGTCCTCATTGTATTCGTATATAATGTTCAGTATTTTGTTGACAAATTAAGATATGAAACGTTTCGATACTTCTCAAGTCTTTAATTGAGTACTTTTTACACCATCACTCAAAAGTTTGGCAATAGAAGTTTTCTATCGGACCACTTTTAAGTAAAGCCGGTACATAAGAATGCGTTGCAATCCTTAGAGATCCAACTGTACATGAGAATTGCGTTGCAATCCTTTGTAGAGATCCAATTGTACATAAAAATTGCGTTGCAATCCTTTGTAGAGTTCCAACTGTACATAAGAATGCGTTGCAATCCATTGTAGAGATCCAACTGTACATGAGAATGCGTTGCAATCCTTTGTAGAGATCCAATTGTACATAAGAATGCTTACTTCGGGGAAGGCAGTGGGCCGATTCATATCAGAAGTCTGAAGTGTAAAGGAACAGAGAACAGCTTTGAAGAATGTGAAGAGGAGAAAACTGAACCGTGTAAACACGTTGAAGATGCCGGAGTGACTTGCATGCCAGATGAGCCAACCAGTGAGCGAATTAGAAGTTCCAATATGAATTATACTTTTAATGCTCTGTAAAGATGTCGCCTAAAACCGTTAACACTTTTTTTCTAAAAATAAGGAAATAATACGCTCTTGTTTCAAGCTTTTCGCAATTATAATTTTAAAATATCATATTATGCATGCACATTTATGATCAACGAACATATAATTCATTCCCTTCACTACTTGATGGCGAAAGGAAGGACATATTTATTTTCTGTTTTTAATATTCTTGTACATCGAAGCATGGGCATCCAAAATAATTCTGTGCATAAATGATCATCGGTCTGCCTTTCCGGACAGATGAAGTTTATTATCAACACACCAATGTTGATATATAAACAGTTCAAACTTTTCCATATTTTAGTCAAATCGCGTCTTGTCTATGGTAACCCTAACTATGGCCAGCTAGAAATATACCGTGGCGGCAAGTGGAACGGCGTTTGTGCTAGGACTGGTGACGACGAATTCACCCAAGAAGACGCTAGTGTCGTTTGCAAAGAGCTTGGATTCAGTGGGACAGCAGCCGCGTCGACCAGCGATGTCTTCCCAATACTACGCTCTTCTGGACTCGATATAGAGTATTTCATGCAGGAATTCGATGTTCTCCGCCAGGTGACTCTGTCGGCTGGGTGTCAAGGTAAAATCTTCAAATGGTATTTTGGTTCTGATCGTGACATTGATCCCTGAAATGTTTGGGAACGTAAATATTTTTATGTTTTTATGTTATTGTTATCGTCTCCACCTTTTGTTGATGGTGTTCTTTGGTTGGTGTTCGGCGTCTGTAACAGCGGTTGCTGTCTGTAATAAATGGCAGATGGTGACACTTTGCTTGTTAATGTCTTGTTTCTATATGCGTTAATGGTTTGTTAACAAGATGGAGTTTATTTTCACATTTCAAAAGTCCTTTTTTCTACTTGTGGAAGTCCTAACTTCACCGTATAGCATCTCAAATATCCCTTATCTTAGCTCTGTATCCAATCGAGATAATGTCATTCCCCGTAGCGACTTCTCCAAAGAATACGTTCATAATTTAGTGGACTTTATTTATAAAAAACCTAACGTTAAAGACTTATTGCAATACTGTGTACGTTATATCTTTAGGTGACGAGGATACATTAGATGAATGCAATCCGACAGTCAATGAAGAACTTGAAAAATGCAGTGAAAGAATAGTGATAACATGTGGAGAGGTCAAACAAGAGGACACAGGTACTGTGTGGCATCAAATATAGCTATATAGAGTTATGGCTATTGTGACTATTATGATAATGTAGAGTTGTGAGATAAATATAATAATTTTTGTGGGGTATTAGTTGCAAAGGAGCATAATGTTAACATCTTAGAACTTATTAATCGAATTAAACTATAAACAAACATTCTTCGAGTTGAGCGAAATGTTTTCAATGTTTTATCATTTTGTTATTTTTAAGAAATGTGACGTAAAATGTTACGAACTTCTGATAAGAATATAATTTGCTTAAAATTCGTAATGATTTATTCAATCGTTACAAGACGTTAATGCATGAATATTTTAGCCTATATTTGTATACGTATCGAAATTATCGAAAATTATGTAATATTTTTGGCTTATTAATTCAGTACATATGTAGGCTAATGAAATTAAATATTATTCATACAAATAAAATCTAACTGTATTTGTTATTTATTTTCATTTTATTTTATATTTTTATTTTATTCATTTTTATGGTATATTCATATATTTCACGCTTCACCGACGAATCAGTGGTTAACGAGCAATTAATATAAGAAATATGTTGCAATTTTTTGAAAAACGGACATTAAAAATGAGAAATTAAAAAGAGAACTCACTATGTAAGTACACTTCATTTGTCTACCGAAAGTCTAATTCTGGTACACGTAAAACTCTACTAATGTTTAGCGATTTAAAAGGATTCATCAACGTCAATTAAAGAGGCTCCTAAAGTTAATGTAGTGCCAAAATAATAAATGAATGTGTGCTTTTAGTTAAGCTCGTTGGAGGTGACACTCAGGAACGGGGAAACTTGCTGGTGTTAAAACAAGGTATATGGTTGCCACTCTTGGACTACTTGTTCAATGAGGATATGGCGAAGATAGTCTGCAGACAACTTGGCAATTCCGTCACAGAGGCGCCATATGGCTACAGCACCGGCTACTTCGGGAAGAGTGAAAGTTTACTATTCTGGGCTACTGCAGGAACACGAATGTGTGATGCAAATGTGAGATTTATATATAATTATACAATTTTCATGAAAAGAGAAGAGGGGAGAGGTTTACGGATAAGTTCCTTTGAGTTAAACTCAATGTAGAATCGACACTCACTTCACTTCATAACCATCGGTCCATTAATTAAAGGAGTGTGCCGCGATCATTTCCCAGATGAACATTTTGAATTCTGATCATGATTCGCAGAACCAACAAAAGTCTAGCGATATGAATTGCGTATCAAAAACGCACAAATAAACAAATTGTAAAATCACAAAACCAATGTACCACAAAGTAAAGTTTTTCCTCTTTCCAATGATATGTCATTTATTTGAACCACCGGACCGAGTCTTGGTTGACTGCTCGATCCTACAGATGACTGAGAGTCATGCATGACATGGATAAATGAGTCCATCTCATACACTCCCCTCCATAAGTTTGGCAACCTTTTTTCCCCCATCGAACTACGTGTTAAAGCCTCTTTACCTTTGAATTTTTATTTACTTAACCTGCGATGAAAATACTTATACTATTAATGGAAACGTAATTTCTCTAATTCCAATACCTCCAAAGTTTATCAATTTTTTTCCTCAATTACATTTAGTCGAAAATCGATGATAAATTTGATGAATTTTTAAAAATCGACATTCCCATGTTAACCAATTGGAAATGGTAGGTTTGCCGCAAGTCATATGACAGAAAATCCATCCATCCGAGTCCTTGCAAAAAATACGAGTTAGGCAGACAATTGAATTTGCTAACTTTATTTAACAAAAAATGATATGTTTCTTCAGGTTCAACAAAGTTATAAGGCTTTAAAGTCAAAATTGTTTTTCAAAAAACCTCTCCCATTGAAATAACACAGGAGGCGAAAAATTATTTTCTAAAATGACTTTGAAGCGCCGTAACTTTAATATTCATCAAATAAAATAAACACTTAGTGTTTATAAAAGTTAGACAATTCAATTTTCTATATAAAAATATTTTTTTGCTGAATCTTTTACTAAAAAGATATCCTGATTTCTGATTTGCCCCGAACCCTCCATTTCCCATTGGATTACATGGGAATGACGATTTTCAAAAATTCATCAAATTTATCATCAATTTTTGACCTATTGTAATTGAGGAAAAAAATTGAGAAAATTTGGAGGTATTGGAAATAAAGTCAAGTTACGCCTTCATCAATATTGGTTGCCAAACTTATGGAGGGGAGTGTATGTGTGCAAAGAAATGGTGGTCATTCGGAGGGGTGTGATGTATAATCTTGTATGAGTATGAACACGCTGCAGCTGTTTGATCGACACCTGCCACACCTTCTTCCAAAGGGACCTGACCAAATGCACTGGTTTTTGCAATGGCTAAAACATCCCTAACCTAAGCTTTACGTGTGAATAAATGACATAAAGGAGAAGAAACATGGCTTCATGGTTCATAGAATGAAATCGATGCAGTCATCAACAGTGTTATGGTTTCGCGATATATTCATTGTTGCGTTTTTGATACGCACTGTATTATAGAAACAAATGAACTGTTAATACCAGTGTCAAAAACAACTTATTCCAGGACGCCGAGATTCAAAGCTGTATCTGGGGAGACACAAATCGAGAAAGTTACTATCGTCATGGTGCTGGTGTTGATTGTAATCCGACCGGAAATGGTAGGTATTGTGGGAGACACCTTGGTTTGTGATGTTCCGGTTTTGTTTTTCGAATATATTGAATTGAAGGAACATACGATAGAACGATTAAAATAGCCAGTTTAATTCATTATATCATAGTCAAGATCCTACGGTTAATATAACAAAATTAAAAAAATTAAGGGACTTAAGGTCTTATTTGATGACATATTCCTTTAAGATTTTAACATGCTTTAATGTGCTTTCCAATTTAAAGTCTCTAGTTCCAATATTTATGGAGAGATGTCCTTTTTAGCTCAGTATAGGTTAGTAGGCGGGAATGACGATTCTGCTGGTATATTGGAGGTCCTGCATGATGGAGAATGGGGAACGATTTGTAATAACTCCCGGCTACCGGTGAAATCCGGAGTGTGCTCAAGTCTTGGATACAAAGATGAAGACATTAGATTTGTTGAAAGCCAAGGTAATGACCATATCAACACTATTACTGACCAACAAAATCCTCATTGTGATTACTTGTTTACTCCTCCAGTTGTACGCCGAATGCAATGATAAAATGTGTTGAAAGCCCAGGTAATGACCATATTTTAACACTATTACAGACCAACAAAATCCTCATTATGATTACTTGTTTACTCCTCCAGTTGTACGCCGAATGCAATGATAAAATTTGTTGAAAGCCCAGGTAATGACCATATCAACACTATTACAGACCAACAAAATCCTCATTGTGATTACTTGTTTACTCCTCCAGTTGTACGCCGAATGCAATGATAAAATTTTATTGAAAGCCCAGGTAATGACCATATTTTAACACTATTACAGACTAACAAAATCCTCATTGTGATTACTGGTTTACTCCTCCAGTTGTACGCCGAATGCAATGACTTTTTGCAGCTAGTCTCTGGGTTGTAGGGTCCCAATGCACTCCAGTAAAACGTAATTGGGGTGCCCTATCTAGCTGTACTATGTATAAAGAAAGTTGTTCAAATGATCATAAAAATCTCACTCATATACATACGAGTACACGCAAATATTCGTATACAGTGTACCTGTACTGAAGAAATGAATTTTTTAATTGCCCAATGATACAGCAAACATTTTTCAACATTCTTCACCATTTTTTCAAGAGGTCACTTAAAACGGGGAGGGTATTGTGCAAATCCCTTGAATCTTACCCTCTCGAAAGATAAGGCAGGTGTAAAAGGGTAGGAGGTCCTGTCAAATTATGGTCCTACTCTCCATTGATTTATATGGTGACCTAAATACAACTCTTTCTCTCATTATCTTATACACAACCAGGGCCAGTAAGGGCCGTTAAGAAAGGGGACCACAATCCCTGGGGGACCATCATTTCTTTCACACCGGTCTGAACTATGAGAGTCAAAGTTCACAACAAATAGGTTTTTCTCGAAATGTAAGTCATGTGTAATCGGGAGGTTGTGAGTTCGATTCCCATCGAGGTGGATCGATTTTTTTTACACAATCCATTAGCATCGGATCTGATCGTATGCTTCATATTACACGAGTAGCCTACAATAAGAGATCTAGGGAATTTTGCACTTCTCTGATGTATTCAGATTAATATCATCCTGTCTACCTTATAGGGTTCGCCAATTCCGGTTCAAAAGTTTGGCTCTCTGGAATGTTCTGCTTCGGTGATGCGCCGTTACGTTGGTGTGCACACAATGGTTGGGGAGTCACCGAGGGTTGTGACAAGAACCAGAATTCCCCGATTGCCGTGTCATGTAGCTCTTTATTAAAAGATGGTAGGTATCTATATATTATATCTTTTAAAATAAATTTATTTTGAAAACAATGATAAATAGTAGTATATTGATACAAAATTTGAAAAATGCAAGTAATGCAACCGGTAGGTTTGATTGGAATTAGTGGCATATTTAAAGGTTTCTCATCAAAAAACGTTTTCCAGAAAGAACATGCGTATTGCCCTGTAATTTGGCCTATTAGTATAAAGAATGCATGCGTTGTTTACGGGTGTGTAGGCGTTAATTACGCTCGTGTAGATGTAAAATTACGCCCGTGCTGACGAAAAATTACGCCTGTGTAGGCGTAAATAACGCCCGTGAAGAAGTAAATTCTACGGGCGTTCAGAATATATTTACAGGCGTGAACTTACGGCGTTAAAATTATTAATTACGGGCGTTAAGACTGTTATTTTACACGCGCTGAGAAACATCTTCACGCCCGTGGAGTTTATTTTTAGCGCGCGTAAATTATGAACCAATCAGAACCTTACTTACATGATGATTTAATGGATCCTTGCTAAAAGAGCAACTCCGAGATACTTGCGCTAGTAAACAACAATCAGAAGCCTGCTTACATTTTAGTGTATTGCATTGAGGTCCTTAAATATTCGTTCAAGATTGAACTAGATTTAACCAAAGAAGTATTCATTTTTTAGAGCAAATTATATTAAAAGGCAAATTGAAGAGACATGTACTGTGTTGGCAGTTATCAACACCCATTGTAGAAACGACAAAATTGCAGAGTATTTTGAGAAGGTATACATGTTTGGTTTCTAAATACGATGATTTTTGGATAATTCTCCAATCTAGGCGTCGGCTTCAGAGGTAGGCTAGGTAGGGACTTATTAAGCTCACACGCATTGCAGCTTACAGTCTCATTATACAGTCAGATCGCTAATGTATCCCTCTAAAGGATGTGTCCAGATACTAGAATTATAGTATCTGATCAACTGCAAATTGACTCTAGACTATATCCTGCAGATCTGGCATTCTTTGAAAATGTACTGAAAATGTCAAATGAGCCTATATACCTAGTATACCTAGCCAACATATGTTCAAATTTGGTGTTAGGGAGATGTGTACTTTTTGGAATCTTTATGCAGCCGTCTTTATATGTCACATGTTATTTCCAGGAATACATAACTCATTTAATATACGATGTAAATCTTTCACATTTGCACAAATAGTGCACCGAGATACCCAGAAAAGAAATAATATTTCATATGCCTCCAATTGCAACAGTTGTTCCTGGCACAATAATGAGTATGTTATTAACTTGCACAAGGATCTTGGAGTTGTACTTTTAGCTATAATGCATCGTATCATCATGTAAGCAAGATGCTGATTGGTTCATAATTCACGGCGCTAAAATGAACTCGACGGGCGTGAAGATGTTTCTCAGCGCGTGTAAAATAACAGTCTTAACGCCCGTAATTAATAATTTTAACGCCGTAAGTTCACGCCTGTAAATGTATTCTGAACGCCCGTAGAATTTACTTCTTCACGGGCGTAATTTACGCCTACACAGGCGTAATTTTTCGTCAGCACGGGCGTAATTTTACATCTACACGAGCGTAATTAACGCCTACACACCCGTAAACAACGCATGCACTCTTTATACTAATAGGCCAACCATAATATGGTTGCCATAATATGTAATTAGACGGTTATTATATAGGAACAGTAACTTTAGAAGACAAGATTAATCAAGAAGATAAAAACAGTAGTGGAACGGTCAAAATTTTTTTCAAAATCATGCAGTTTTCACCATTTTTAGCACTTTTCAATTGATTTTTGGTCAAAATTGTCTATGAGCCCCCTCCAGATTTAGAAAAAACTGAACCTTCCTAGGATGTGTTGATACCCCTTTGTCATGTTGGTACAGGGCGACACTATCGTTCTTCTTGTCTATTTTAAACGTCATAGAAAAATATTATTCAGCGTGAAATGAACAAGAAAAGCGAGGAGGATTTTAAAGATATAATGATATTATAAGCAGAATTGATTATTTACATTTAGATATTGAGTCGAAATGTGCCAAGGCTCTGTCACAGGACTACAAACAAGTTGGAACATGTACAAATGAAGCTGATGACCTGACAGTCTGTATGTTGAGGTGTCGAGGTCCATCCACGTTTACCACCGCTTTACAAGGGAAAACATTTGCATGCGGCAAATCTGTCAACTATGAATGGTTTAAATATGATAATGGTGTAGTGGATAACGATTTCAAACTTCCCGAATGCACTCGGATAAGAAAGAAAAAACGCTCCAAGAAGACTCGATATCAAGGATGAAGTGGTCAAAGATGACTAATTCTGTAAAAACATGCACAGGGAGACGATCCAAAAGCCACAAAATTTACAAGAATGTCTTGAGGAAAATGACCAGTTATTCAATGTACTGATAAACGCATGTTAATAAAATGAAATAAAATTTAGATCAAATAGTATGATGTTAAGATCAAAGGCGGTCTCGTATTAAAATACATTGATTACCATGCTGGAACATTCGACTCTATTCCTGGAAAATTATTTGAGTTCGACTTTAGCCGTGCGACCTTGGTACAGATTAATCTAATACTGTTTCTTTTCCAACTACCTTTTATATGTCTCTCTCTTTTTAATAAGATTATGTCTGTATCGATATGATGTTTGTTTCATTAATTTGAGGACGAGGTGACATTTTTATATTGTCCTTCAAATGATATATTTTATATTTGATGCAATCGTTTCTTTTAATCGAATAATCTGTGTGATTACTATCATTGTCAAACTTTCAGTAGTACGATCGGTCAAAATCTGAAAAAATTACATTTCATCAAAAATTAGGCGTACCATTGTTTATTGAATTATACTCGTACAGTGCGTCCCAAAAAAACACACAAAAACATTGTAAAGCCTTGGGTGAAAAGGCCTTTGTGCCAAGTTTTGAAATATGCTCAGTCAACTGATTCTATTGTGCAATCAGGTAAACCATTATGTAATTGGGGGTGGGGATTAACTTCTGGCCACAAGAGTTAAAAAGTTCCAGATTTAGATTCACTAAGAAAAAATGTTGATATTAATTTTAAGTGGTCATCATTATCGTTGATGTTTCAGTTAACGTTAAAAACATGAAAAAAGAAGTGGCATAAACAGTTAAGTCAGTGTAATCAATGCCAATCTCTGTCATATTATGAAAGATTACTCATGAACGATTACATTTCATGCATCTTCACGACCATTTCTCTATACACATAGATTGGCTAGTCCCTCGATGTCACGAATACATCTTGAATCATCTGTAGGCTCTGGCGGAGAGCAGGCAGCCTCATTTGTGATTCTCTGTTAACTGTTGTAATGTCTAAAACTTGGTCCAGAGCAGATTTTGGCCCGTTGTGAAAAAGTAACAATTATTCAGTGGTCTGTGGTCATACAGAGTGGGCCAAAACGCCACTTTTTCATCACACTACAACTTTTTTATTTTCCAACCTACATACCCCAAATTTTGCAGTTATACAGGGTGGGCCAAAAAAACGCCACTTTTTTTCAAGACACTATAACTTTTTTATTTTCCAACCTATATACCCCAAATTTTGCAGTTATTTAGTGCAAGGGTTCTTAGTAATAATATAATGTAACAAGTCCTTCAACTTGGATTATACTTGAACTAAAAGGGGAGTTCAATTGTATGAATATGAATAAATAGCATACCATTGGAAAGAAGAGACACGTGGCTTCATGGTAAAATAAATGACATTGATGTTATCATCACCGGTTTTGTGGTTTTGCAATGTTTTTGGTTGTTTGGACGCACTGTATAACTGGTGAATAACTAAGCGGTACATTGCAAGGCGTGTTAAACCATGTGAGGAAAGCTAATGGGAATCCCCTGCTGCCAAGTAATAGCACAGAATTATACGAGCTACTCACGTCTTCTGCCTTACCCTACTATCACACCAAACTAGTTCTCACTACGTTCTCGAAACGGGCTTAAACTGTGCACGAACGGATTTGACGTATTAAGAACCCGCTAAGAACCGTTTGGGATCTGTTTACAAACTTCATGAAACTACTCAAACAAGAAGGTCCTCCAGAACTCAGAGCATGCTCAAAATTTTCTGGTGATCGTCACGTTCTGCAATCAGAACGAGTGACAACGTACTTAAGACGACCTGGACGCACTGGGGACACACTACGAACGGAAGTGTCGTACTTCAATCCTACTAAAGACGTATTACGACGTTTTGTATTCAGGCGTAAATTGCAGCCGTGAGTACCCCAGGAAAATAGGTGATTATAAATGCGTTCTGCACGGATTAGGGACACGATGTTTACTATTTTAGAACGAGTTCAACCGTATGGAAATTTGGTGGATAATTCAGTAACATATTAGGACGTAATGAGAACGAGGACGGTATAACTAATTGTCAACTGGTTTAAACTGATTACAATTGAACTGCTTGGATACGTTGTGTAGACGAGACGAACGCACAATTTAACCCGACAGAAACTTGATACCAACGTAGTGCAGACGGGATAAAGACGAGATGAACGTATTAAAAACTGCTTATGAACGGATTAAGAAAAATAGCTATCACACTAGAACCAGTTGTCACTGCGTTCTTCAAAACGTTGCCGAATCGGTTTTAAACTGTGTGCGAACTGAATGAACGTACCTACAACGTTCTATGGTCTGTTTACGATCTTCATGGACTTTCCCGGACGGGGAATGTGATTTAGAATTTTGAATCGATTCAAAATTCGATGGCGACCATACCGTTCTGTAATCAGGTCATGATGACCTTCTAGACTAAGGGACGCGCTATACGACGTTGCACACCGACGTGGTGCGACCTGAACGAACTGCGAATGAGATGGACGTATTGAAGACTGTTTATGAACGAAGTAGCTAATTATTTTAGACATGTTTCCCGACCACAGCCAGATTTTCGTAGGATTCGTAGGATTTCCGTTTTCGTAGGACTGGCAAGAACGGGTAAGAACTAGTTTGGTGTGATAGGGGGGTTATTGCCAATAATCTAACCACGGCACAGACCCAGACGGTGGTTTGAACATATATACATGTGTTTAATAATATATTCACATATAGTGAAATTGTATCGTCAGTAACCCCCCTATCACACCAAACTAGTTCATAGACAGTTGAAGTCCGTTTTCGAGAACGTAGTGAGAACTAGTTTGGTGTGATAGTCAAATATTTGTGAAGCATTTTGTGTAGTATAATCTGAAAAATTAATATTGAAAATTGAAGATTATTGCAACGATATTCAGAAATCATATCAGCATCGAAACACCATTGTTGAATTAAATGATTTTTATCTTGTGAAACATCAGATGCATATCATACAAGTTATATAATAGTGCATATTAACATTTTGTCTTATAATCTAGAGATATAAGTCGGGGGGAGGGGTTAAGCAAGGCAAACACTATTTACATTCCATATTATTCTGAACTTTGAGTGTACCTCTACATATCGATACATATTTTGTCAATGTATTTACAATTGCCGCTAAACATGACTTGAGAAAATCATCGGTTTGCCTACTGTATCGTTAACTTAGCTTGTATTCGGGAATGCAACAGACGGCTATCGGCTACCGGATTAATGTACTATTTTATTGGGAACTCGTTTAAATATGAATAGTACCTGCCACTATTTCATTCATACTTAAATGAATTGGTCATACAATAGTAGGTTAATCCGCTAGCCGACAGGCGTTAGTTGCATTCGCGAATACAAGGTTAGTCTTCGATTTCACATTGCTTTGACTGCACTATGACAATGTACAGTTACCGTACAGTTATATTAGCATCTGCTATGATCAATCAGCTGTCTTATTAAACAATCCAATATCATCTGCGTTCATCAATACAATGATTCTGTTTTGAAGTTATTGAAAAGGGCGTAGATGTACTGCTAATCTAGTACTATACGTCAGGTCGTAACTTAAGGTAGGTTTCTAATAAATACATGCATCTAGGTTAGTCTACCAAATAAAATTGGCCTTTCATTCGATTCTACTATATGGTGTGACAACTTTAACAACTACTGTATGATAATGTACGATTGCGTAATTTTATTCTAAAGACAACTGGTATGATGGTTAGTAAGTGCTAGCTTTTTCAGATTTTGTTTGTTGCAGCTGATGATCACAATATAATAAAAAATTAAGTACCCTATGTATAACACTACTGTTTTTTCAGAATACTGAGAATTTGAGAATCCAACTTGCTTTCTATAAATAGTTTCAGAAAAAAACATACATGTAACTGTGGGGATCTTTTGTACACCCCTCCCCTAGGGCTTCTATAGGGTTAAAGGTATTTCAAAAGCAAGATAAAAACGATAACCCATGAGATATTTTCATTACAATGAACTAGAATAGGCCTAGGATGCATTTTATTGTAGCGTAAAAAATGAGTAATGATCAACAATCTCTTAGAGTCTTAGAGATTAATCGGGGTGAGGTGGATAATTCTCACGTAGAGGAAAACAGCATTGAAAAGAAGACTTGCACTGTTGGACACAAAGATCACAACCGTGCACAGACCAATAATATAATTCAACAAGTTGGCCCGACGAATTCGGAAATTACTGGTAAATAACATTGACCAAATGTATTTTAAACACAAACCAGACACCAACATTTCTTGGGCTGTACGTATCTCATAGAGTAGCACTGACTAGACTAATTTTACTTCTATATCCACGCGGTACTAACTCACCGGGGCGTATCGAAACCAAAACGCCCCGCAAAACCGTTAATTTGAATTTCAAATCTACTCTGTCTTTGGAAAATCAATGATTGTGAGTCTCACACAACACCGTTTTTCTTCAAACTTGTTTCATTAAAACTTTCACAGAAATACCTTTCAGTCGAGACATTGCTTTTGTTTACAAAGTCCCTCGTTTTAACGGCGTTTTGGTCCCAAGATGTGAGAAGTAGCAAATCTTCAGAGATTTCAACCACAATCCTTGATATCTCGCCAGTTCTTTTATCACTCTCCCCCATATTCGAATTCTGTGCAAGAAGTCCCATTTCAACCCTCCATCGCTGCATCAACATGTTTATTACATGAAACGCAGCAATTCTGAAAAGTCCTACGCAACTGTTCGAAATTGACCAAAACGCCCCGTTGTCTTCCAAAACGCCCCGCAGATTCTATGACTACAAACGTGTAGTTTCAAGGTGTATAGATCCAACGGGGCGTTTTGGAAGAGAACGGGGCGTTTTGATCAATTTCGAACAGATGCGTAGGACTTTTGGAAATTGCTGCGTTTAATGTAATAAATATGTTGATGCAGAGATGAAGGGTTGTAATGGGAGTCCTTGTGCAAAATATAGGGGAGAATAATAAAAGAACTGGCGATATATCGAGGCTTTTTGTTGAAATCTCTGAAGATTTGCATCTTCTCACATCTGGGGACCAAAACGCCTCTCTGTACACAAAAGCAATAACTCGAGTGAAAGGTATTTATTTGAAGATTTTAATGGAACAAGTTAAAAAAAAGTTTAAATGGAACAAGAAAAACGATGTACTATGAGACTCACAATCCTTGATTTTCCAAAGAAAGGGTAGGTTTAAAATTCAAAAAATTAACGGTTTTGCGGGGCGTTTTTTGGTTTCGATACGCCCCGGTGAGTTAGTACCGCGTGATATCTATATCAACAAAATACCTACTATAAACCACAATAACTTTGTTTCAATTAAAATTTTAATTAGCCACCTATATATTGCGTAGAGGAGTTTACGACGATATCATGTTCCTAAAATACTTTGCAGAGAGGCACTTTAAGTCAAAGAATGTTGAAGATACACGTATGGTATTAGAAACAAACCTTAAAATCCCATCATGTTCGGTTACCTTAGAAACATTGTCTCAACGCAGGATGCTCGATATGAAGCGTTGGTGAGAGAAATACTTTATCAAATGTAGTACTGATCTAAAGAAAATATCATTTTATTTGAAGTCAAACGAAAACTGAACACTTTCAGAATAGTGTCAAATATCTGACAGTCATACTACAAAAAAGAACATTTAATTTATCATTCATTTTAGGGGAGGATATAAACAGTATCGTTATTATTTTGCCCGATGTAAATTGCGTTGTTCTGGATAAAATGAAACAAAAACGAATAATTCCTTAACAATACAATCATTTTTCATTTTCGCTTTGTAGGTTCTGTATAAGTAGACCTCAGTACGTGGAATCTTGTGGAATATCATCTTTGGTATCTTGCTGGAACTACCTTTTCTCGACCTTAGGTACGATCTATCACCCCTCGAGTCTCGTCTGCTATGTTATAAACTCAGCCAAAATGCTCAGAAAATCGCAAGGAGGATTGGCTGCCAGAGTGAAACATCGATATTCAGTACCATATATGGGCATGTCGTGATACAACATTCGAATTCGAACAGCCGCCATTTTGTTCACTTCAACATTTGAATCGTGAATTTTAGTCTTATTTCCAAACGAAAAATTCCAAAACTCACAAGAAATGATCGAGATATTGGACCAGGTTCGAATCTTTTGAATTGTTTATTTTGAATTTAGAGTCGGTTATAACAACTAGGAGCCAATCCTCCTCTGAAGATCGATTTTTTTATAATAAGGGGTTGCCAGACAAAGCATAATGTTGCCTTCTCGTCTGCAAGAAATCTTGTATTTACCTTATCCTTGCTAATTTCACTCTCCCTTGGATTCAAAACATCACATCTTTTATGAATTCAAACTTACAATACCTAGAATTGTCTATCATGCCCTGCCATATTATGTGGCCGGATTTTTTGACCCGAAGTAGAAACCTAGTTGAATAGCTGGTACTACATATAAGGGTACCTAAGTGATTGTTGTCATATTTCCAATAGGTTCTGGAACGATGAAACCGATCACACAAGAAGAAGCACTTACAATACTAAATCATAAACCGCCATTCGAGGAAATAAACTTTGGTAAATTCACGGGCAATGTTACTTTAATGAGGTAAACTTGAAATCTTCACATTAAATCAACACAAAACAATATAGATAATGATGAATAAAAAACGAGATTATTTAAGTGCAAAGAATCGCCATTCAAACTTGATTGCACCCTTTGCAAATTGTCCATGGGTATTTCAATCTATGCCGTTTATGGGATGGGATAGTGATGCTCGATCTTGAAGGATGAATTGATTGTATGATCTAGTGACAATGTAACACTAGAGATGGGGTGATCACAATAGTATAAGTTATTGAATGATTTGAAGTGCAATGCGGGATATATTCTGCTCGAGAAATTCTGGAGTGGCATATGGTACATGGCTGCAAGGCTATATACAAGGGTCGTTCGAAAAGTCTTGCACGACAGTTTCTTAAGAGAAGATATTTTATTATTTTTATGTGAAATTTCATACAGATATAGTATTACACTTCTTACAAGCGTATATGAAATTTCAGGACCATGACCAATATACTTCTTGAGATACATTGACTTAAAAATGGTCTAATGGTACATATGACGTTATTAGATTGAATTGATTTTGTGAATGACTGAAATGACTCCGTCAATCTTTGTACTTTAAGCTGTTAATCAGCTGGTTATATTATAACTTATCTATATTTAATCTAAATATACAGTACTTAACATGTAGTCTTCTTTTTCAGTAATGCATTATACTTGTAGCATTACGTCCAGTCCATAAGCAAATGTCTGAACCATCCTATCCATAGAATACCAAGCCCTCTCATAACTACAGCTACCCTCAATACATTTCCCTTCTCTTATTCCATCTTGGAATACTTAGCAAACCCTATTGGAGTCATCATATGCAATATGTCTTAATCATGAATGAATATAACTTGTGTAATATTGTTTCCCCATTCTTTATCATGTATTCTATCAATGTTTTCTGCTCCAACTTTATTATTCCGAGCCATTATTCTCCAATATTTCCTGAATTCATGAGAACTTTGATAACGTCACAAAATCAGGTGATTTGTTCAAGATGTTTGAAGAGTATATTTACGGTCATTCTTTGACAAAACCAAAGAAAACAAGATGGGAAATATTGAGTTAAGATTCACATTTTCCATGAGAACAATACTAGAAATTGTTTAAATTTTAGCATGCTTTAAGTAACATTGATCTTTAAGTGTTACTAGTTATCTTTTACAAAATGATATGGACCAAAGTATGGAATGCAAATCCTGCCAAAAGTCTTCGGCGTCCTATAACTATGCTTATCTTAACGAAGAGTATTAATACGATTAACAACGTTTACGTTTAAAGGGACAAAGTGCGTAAATGAAGTCTCATTTTTGATCTTCATAGTATTTCCAATGGATTAATAAACACCTGATCTTTCATATGACACCAAAAAAAGCTCAAACAGACCTCATCAGCGTTGACACTAGCTCATGAAAAAATATTTTTGATCTATCAATTTATATATGTCAAGTTTTTAGCAATGCCATAGAAAGATGGCATTGTTGTTTGTATTAATTATCCATTCAGTTTTGACAGGATTTTCAAGCATACGCCATCTTTTAATCCAAAAGTTATTCAAAACATACACTATGTGAAAAGTGGTAATTCACTTTTTTCAATCTTTGAACTTCAAATGCTGTTTTCTATGCAAGTATTTTTTTTTCACTTCAGTATTATCCAAAATTAAAGTTTTTATCATATTTGATTGACTGTGTGAGTGACATGTCTCAAATAATATTTTGTCCTTTTTCCTTCAAAAATAGGCGCATTGCCTGTTTAATAAAATAGTGGTAAATTGTTGTATGGGTAAATTAAAATGTTAAGTAGTAGGCGTATATACATGAAAATTTGACAGTGTAAGGGAATAAGATATGGCCACATACATACTAACTATGAACAAGATTGGTCCATTATTCTCACAATAAGACATATTTGTGCAAAACTTTTTGAACGACCCTTGTATATGCGCTGTTGATCTGGCTAATTATAGTAGACCACTCACCCTGACAACAAGGGGACATAGGTTTTATCCCTCGTTCAGTGTACTGACTCTACAAACGGACAAATTTCCCCCTCCAGTTGACCGACGCCAAGCTTCCGCGTTAACATCGCCTATCTGTAACTGCGTCAGAACCATAATTAAATCGGATCTAACCCCTGGTTGGTCCTGGAGGTTAACATTTACCCATAGGTTATTACATTTTTTTTGAGAAAAGGATTGTCCTATTGTTTTCAATGTTCCATAGATTTACCTCATGTTCCAGATGGTTTCAAATATTGAATGATCATTTTGGTGTACAAGGAACTAGTTGTTTCTTTTACAAACTCAATGGAGAAAACAAAACTTTCGATCTGTCCTCACACGATGCTTTGCTGAAGCTGAAGAAATGCTTGAAGGAGAAAGACATGTCCTTTATCTATCATGCTGAGAATCATTACTTCTGTCCAATTGGCTTTGAGGATATGGCAGTAAATGAGATCGATGCATACAAGTGAGCATACGTATTTAACATCAGGGGGGCTACAAGCATATTTACGCATTAAGGATGTTCCCTGGTCAGATAGGAAAATATTCAATAGTATTTAACTTTTTCTCAAAAATGGTTTTCTGGGATTCTCACGGGCAACAAAGAATATTAAAACTTTAAAAACCATATGTTAGTGTGCTTTTTTCTGAGCAAGAGGCCTCTAAAGTGTCAATATTTGACAAAAGTGGGCGTGGCACTTTCTCATTGAAACCCATGTTAAAAATCAGGTTTTCACCCCAAAACACACTTTTGAATATTTAACTTTTTCTTAAACTCACAGAAACACTTAGTTATGCTATGTACTTCACATTTTGAAAAGAAAAATTAGGGGTTGGTGTTCATCGTTTTCAACTTCGTCCAGGGAACATCCTTAAACGAAAATGTCACACGTCAAATGGTTACTTCATGCAAGGGCGAACGTAATACCCGGAACGTTCGCAAATTGGCTTTCGGTTTTTTAACGCATCCGAGTTGAATAAGCCAATTAAGGGATAACTCCACAGAGGGCGCTCGTGAAAGGTAGAAGCAAAAAATCTAAATTTAAAATCGGGATGATGGTTGATTGAAATCAAGATTTATCAGTGCAATCACTAGTGAAAATGTACAGATTTTATATTTTATTTTGTTTATTTTCACACTATGTCCCGATCTCATGTACATTTACAGAATTACTAACACGTAATGGTACATCTATTTTCAGAAGACTCTTGAACAATGGTTTTAGCATAATATGTAACATGTTAGATATCAAAACATAGGTAATTGAAATAAAAATTATATGGTATGTTAATATATTATCTTTATTTTTTAATTTTTAGATAAGGGACGCTTAAACGACTCTATTGAGTTTTAAAGTGCACATTTTTACCATGTAAAACGTTGCATTTGATAATTTTGAAATATGGTAATTTGGTCATAACTTTTTTATTCCTTAATCAATTTAGTTCAAATTTGGTATGGGACAATTGCTGATGGGCATTTATGACGTTACATGATCTTGTGACGTCATCCACGCATATTCGCAATCTTGGATGCCCAAGAAATAGTAATAAAAATGTGTAAAACTCGAAAAACAAATGTTGGTAAGGACCTTAGGCCCTTATTATCTTATTTAAAGATCAAAATATGAAAATGATGTCATTAATACTCATTCTATATATGCTTAACTAGAACTTACCGTTAAAAACATATGTTTTGTATTCATTTTGTTTACATAGCAAACATTTTGCGACTTGTGTCTGTTTTGTACGAAGAAAAAAATTGATAGAAATATGGCGGGTTTCAAAGACTCTCGTCATTTCAATACACGAAATTATGTTTTTCTAGTGACATTCAACTAGATTTTTTATAATGTCATAAAAGCATTGCCCTTATACTACATAGTACGACTGTACTATAATTTTAAGTTCAGTTGCATTGCTTTGTATGTATTTGGACCAAGTAATATGACTAGGTCAAATTCAGCATTCTTTGTTCTAAAATATTTTGACGTTGTAAAAATTGACTAGGGTGTTTTAAATAGCAGTCTAAATGAAATCAGGAAAACAAATGATAACATATCTGGTATGTAGAGAATGCTCATAGCCCATATTTTATGATTCATCACGTTTAACATCTTTAGATCAAGCTAAGTCAGATATTTTCCTTTAAACGTGCGTGACAGAAAATTGTCCCATCTCGATTTTTTTCCTTTGAATTTTAGTAGGCTGAATCCAGGGAAGAAAAGAACGAATATAAAGAATAAATATATGATATTATATTATCATAAAAATGCTCATAAACTCAAGATTCCAATGATATATCACATGACTATCATCCCTTCTTAGATCTTTAGTTATTGTTTAATATGTGCGTGATATAATTTGACCCATCGACGATTTTTTTTACAAAAATAGAGAAATACGACGTCATATCAGCGCTACAGCAAATCGTGAAGAACAGAATGCTCTCAAGTCGTGGCATGATAGTATTTTGAACAAAATATTTTAAATGATCGGTTTTTGAGGACGATAGTGAATTAGACCATTCAAGGGGTTATATAGAAGATTCTTCACATGTAGTTCAGGCAATTTTAATTATTCTGAGTAGCGGATAGTCATTAATACTGATAGCGGAAAGTCATTAACGTGTTCATATTTAATTTCGTTATTTTATTTCAATTTGATACCCTATTAACACGCACAATCTAGCGTTCTTGTTAATTTAATGACTAAAATGCATATACGACTTGAAAGCCCGTGTCTAAATCTACAAAATAATGTTTACTTTATTTGGATTAAATAACAATTGATGACACCTCAAAGCATCAACAGGCGGCCGTTTTAGCATTATTTTCACTGTTTGCAACGTAAATGTACATGAGATCGGGACATATTATTATATTATATTATTATGAGCTTTATTATACTTGTATCCCACATTTGGGCAAAGTGTACAGCTTAAACAGAAAAAATGAAAAAGCTTAACTAATTATCTATATATTATATTAACTAATCAAAGGGTGCTTGATCATTGCAAGATTTTATTGGATGCATTCCGTGTTTTTTTCTCTCTCGATAAAGATATTTGATATATATTTTGCGAGTATATTTAATATTATTCCCTCTGAATTAAATAGAAACATTAATTTATGTTCCACGTTATTCATGGTTTCTAAATTTTGACAGTGTTTTTTTATTTTATCCATGTAACTTGACCGAACATATTTTTACTTATTGCATATTCTAATAGGAAATGGCATTCTGAACCGGTTTTCTTGTTACACATATAAACATTTTCTTTCTTCAATAGGGGTAATTGGTTTTGTGTAACGACCTGTTTCGATTTCTAATTTATGTGCGCTAATTCTTAGCTTTGTCAAGTTATTTTTGTCTATTTCATTTTTGATTAAATCCAAGTAGGGTTCCTTGTTCCATTTTGCTTTTATTATCTTATAAAACCTCAATTTACCATTATTTTATTTTATTTTAGTTTCCCAAAATTGTATGTATCTATTTTCCAGTAATTTCTTAATTTCTCTTGGTTTTAAGTTTAAATAGTTTGTGGAAGTACCATTGTAAATATATTTAAGTACATCATTGATTTCATTTTTTTTCAGATAATAGATACTCTTTATTTCTTAAAATCATAAATAAATTTACATTGTTATTCACGGCGTAATCGCCCAGAAAGGGCATTTCTACTGCCGCTTTGACTGAATTTAAATTACAATAGTATAATATAACATTTAGTCAAAGTCATAGTTAGAGTAAGAAGAAAAATATACAATTTAGATACTTTCTGTTTTTCTACCTGTCTGTACCACCATTGGTGCCCTGAATTTGAATTACTGTTATCGATTATTTAATGAAATTCAAAACTGCCTTAAATATTTTAGAATTGTTTTCATTTGTCAGATCTTTGTCGCCAAAAAGTAGGAAATTTGTCTTATTTTTTAATGTTTTGTATTTAGTTACATCTAAGTTTAATTCATGTTTAACCACCGCTAGCGCATTTGTTTCTCTCTGAGGGCAGGACAAGAGTTTATGTTGTGCTGTCTCTCGAGCTCCACAGTCACAATATGGATCGTTAACGAAAGAGAAATTATGGTCAAAAAGATCGGATTTAAAATATCGATTTATTCTTATCTTATTTAGTACAATTTCTTCTTTTCTATCAAGATTCTATATATAGGAGGTTGAAATTGTGGGTTCGGTGTTTTTGGTGAGATGACCGTTTAGTTGTTTTTTGAAGAGTGATAAGCTGTTCGTTTCCTTATGGTCTCTAGGAAGACGGTTCCACAAGGTTATCATTGAGCAAACTGTTTCCGTTTCCATTTTTTTTACTTATCGAGGCGGGTAATTTGTAGTCGTTGGTTGTTCTAAGAACTCGCGTCTGAGGTGATTTATATCGTTCTAAAATCCGTTTTACGTAAGATGGTACCGAATTGTTATGAATCTTGAACATAACGCGCAATTTATGTTCATCCCGTCTATTTTGAAGATTATCCCAATTTAATATTTCAAGGTTTTTTTCTGTGCTTGCTCCTTGCATAACACCAGAACAAATAACAGCTGCCCTATAATGTAGCTTGTCTAACTGGGCTAGGCTGGTAGCTGGAGCAGCGTCATAAATGATATCACAATAGTCCAGATGAGACAGGATAAAGGAAGAGTAAATTTTTTCCAGGTGTTTGGAATTTAATCTATGCTTAAGTGCCATTTAAGTGGATTTAATAATTTTTGAACTTTGCCTTCTAGATATTCAATATGGGTTTTGAAAGTTAACTTTTCATCAAGAATTAGACCGAGGTGCTTATGATGTTTAATTTGATCTATTGGTGTGTCGTTGAAAACAAAGTTAGGATATGTTCTCTCAATTGGTCTATTTGTTTTAAAGATCAATTCGTGACTTTTTTGTGGTGCGAAAGTTAGTCCCCATTTCTGGGACCGCATTTGGATATGAATTAAGTCTTCTTGAAGAACTTGGCTATCTGTTTGGTGATTTATTGGGTCAACCGGACAAAAAAGTGACGTGTCATCCGCATAGATAAAACATTTAGCGTTTAAGTCGTCTGTTATGTCATTTAGATATAACAAAAAGAAAATCGGTCCCCATATTGAGCCTTGGGGGACTCCAGAGTTGATTTGACCGACTTTACTTGACCTAGACAATTCATTGATTTCATTGATTGATTGTATATATTTAATTGATTGTATATATTTAAGTACATCATTGATTTCATTAGTATGATGATATATAATTTTACAAAAAGTATGACAAAATGATTCGGTTCACTTCAAATATTTGACTTTTTTTGACGGTGGTCTTGAGTTTGAAATCTATTGAAAATTGTTTAAAATTCGGATAGATGGCGGAACAAACGGTTATATCTTTTTATTTCAATGGCCTTTCTACGCAAAAACATTTTCAGTTTTAAAGGGGACACATGGAGCTATCCCGTGGTATATGGGGTTATGTACCGAAAATCCTCATTTTTTCATAATCAATCCAAAGATTTCAATGTTTTCCCATAGGATTACATTAGAGCATTTGTCTGTGGAATTGTCCCCATTAGCAACATAAAAGAAATTACTAAAACTGCTATTAATTGGCTCAAAACCTCTCAGAATAAGAGATATGTGACGTGAAATGTTTATTGGGCGATGGCCCATAAGGATCTGATCAGGAGAACCTAAAAAATAATGCTGAATCAGTATTTTTCAATGGGTTTTGACGATTATTAGGCACTGTTTTGGCATCAACCATCGGAAAGTTGCCTGAAATGTCATTACTTGGAGGCCTGCGAACTGCCATATAAAATATTGAATATTTTAACATACACATTTGTAAATGTGTAAAACATAAACTAATAAACATACACCATTGTCTAATGAAGATCATACAGAGCCCCGGATATCGTGTCGTTTCACGTTTCGTTTGGTACACAACTAAGCGCCGGGTAATTAACAAGCCCTTGCTTCGTGAAGACAATTTAGTGTACTCGAAGTTTTAACGACGACAGTGAATATTTGTTCAACTGAGCTGGGATCCAAGAAAAAACATAATCCCATTTTTTCCCGTTTGTAATATCCTTTCTTCATCAGGTATAAGGACACTAGTTGTACCTTTGCTCTGTTAGCCCATGATTTCCTTATGTATGTATGATGGGACTAAATTAGTTGGATTATACTCTAGTACAGTAAGTCGATATAATACGAAGATTCTGTTTTCTTTATTGTCGGATGAATAATATATGGATTTTGGGTGTGTTTTACAATATGTGCATACTGTTAGCTCATAATCTATGGATATTTGGGGTATATTTTTCTCTCATTACAAGACCTACATGCGTACAGTAGAGACGGGGTTCATTTTGATTGTCTATATTTTCAATCAAAATCTGTGCTTGCATTGTATTTCAGAGGTGAATTGGACCAGTCAGATGTAGAGACATGGATATTGATTGGCGACTCAAAAAAGAATCATCCATGCATACATTGTATAAGGTGCAAGTTAGAAGTAGGAGTATCGCCAAAACCCCTATTTTAAATATGCTTACCTTAAATATTGCACAGTATGATTCTTGTTGATTGGAGAGTTCCATTCATTAAGCAATGGGGATGTTAACTTCAGGAATGTCTTGAAATTACAATACATCCTTCCAAAATATGTGTATTCAGATTAATAGTCATCTACACTTGCCGTATATGCATATTTATTTTAATACAATTAGTCCCCGTCTAAAGTTTGAAAATATTTTTTTATCATTCATTTACTATTTGTCATGACATAAAAAGTTATTCTAGAGATTTTTGAAAGAAAACATTTTTTTTGAAAAAAAGGTGTGAGCATTTCATTTCTCAAATATTCAAATTTCCCGCCATTTTTCCAAAAAGTTGAAATTTTTTAATCATCAAATATTTCTTAATGCATTTCAAAAAATATTATCTGTTTAACACCAATGCACAGATGGATCAAAGGACACACTATTTCAATAATAAAATGCCATATTTAATAGGCCACTTTAATGTTTTAGCATATCAAAAATATTTTGAAACACTAGTGATGTCACAAAGGTAACAGAAACTTTTTGAAAAAATTGAAATTTTTTTTTCGATGTCAATCTTTTCTGAACATGCTAGACTTCGTTAATATACCAATTTTGATTGTCTAACTAGGTTAAAATGAAGAATATATTATCTTTTAGATATCATTGTACCATTGGTTTCTATGAGAACTAGAATTTTTAAATGCATTTTTCTCGGAACCATTTTCATGCACTGATAAGTTCATTTCTCGCTTATTTATGAACCGATTTTCTTAATTTTTTCGGCAAAAAACATGCGAGGATGAATGCTATGCATTGGTATGGGTTTTGGCTAAGTAAGTAAAGTTAGTTTTAAAAAATTCACAAATTTTGGAACAAAAAGTCTATCAAAAACCACTTTTTGAAATTAAAAAAAAAAGTTTCACACATCACACTTTGATAACATTGGGTAAGACTACAATATAAGCCAAAGTGGTTTAAACTTTAGATGGGGACTTTAAACCCGTGGGAATCCTAGAAAACTATATCTGAGAAAAAGTAACAAGTCATAGAACAATGGAAGATTTCATTTTTCCTTTCTATCTGTTTTTAGTTTTTAATACTTCTCAGTATTAGGACTTATTGCACCTGTTCGTTCTTACTCTACTTTTGTTTATTTTAGATGGGAAGATATAATCACCGATTTAAAAAATGTCCATCCCGACTACATCGATGTGCGCAGATTATGGAAAGGAGCCCTCAAACACAATACGGAGAAACCAGAGGATAATGACCATTGCATAATGGCGTTTCGGCGTAATTAACCTCAACATCGAATTAAAGACAGTACAATAGTTCATGATACAATCTATGAATAAACATGGAGCAGTCACCGTTGATACTGATAACGCAACGATTGGAACCAATGTTTCAAAATGTATTATTGATGTAAGCATTATTTAAACAACTCGTAATAAACGAACCGTAACATAAGACATGGCCCTTTGTTGTCATTGTTTTTACTCAAGTCGCATTTATTAAGGTTTTGGCTCATATGGTGAATCGTTAGACAGGATGGTCAAATAAAACGGCAACTCTGTCGCTATATTTTCCTCATATCTTTGTCATTTTAGAAAAGTTCAACCTGATATTTGGTACATACATATGTACATGTGCATCATTCAAACTCCTACCAGCCTACAATTAATCATGACCATCAATCTGACAGTTACAATGTTACAGCACCTCAAACAACATGCCCCAGAGGCCAATATTGCGCCTTGGGCAAACCTGGACCCGTCGACCAAATGTTCTTATCTGACTTCTATATCTGTTGGATATGCCACAGAAAAAGTGTACAAAAATAACCTCAGGACAATTACAGACCTCAAATTGAGGTCATAATTGTCATTCAGGCCATATCTACTGAGGATTGCAGTTGGGTCACAGACAACTTGTGCAGGTTTGCTATTGTCTGCCATTTTTGTTAAATTTCATGAAATTCATCAATTTTGACATTAAATTTTGACCTACATGCATTGTAATGGAGATATAACACTGAATTTTGCAGACTTAATATAGATAATAGAATTAAGATACAGATTCATTTAATTTATCGGGGTTTCTTTTGTTCCACGCTTAGAAAATAGTCGTTCAAACAAATATGGGGGTTAACATGTAAACGTATGAGGAAAACCACTGGTCCTTAATTTTTTGAGGAGAATATTTAGGCTTTTTAACTTTATTATGTTGTAAAGCAAATATATGATTATTTGATTTACATTTTTAAGTTATTGATATATGGTCTAATAAATGTATGTCAATCAATTTCTTGTATTTGTAATGAATAATTTTGCAACTGCTCTTTCGATTGAAAATATTTTTTTGTTTGAATTCTAATTAAACTAAAGATAATGTGATTTATTATGTAAACGCGTGCATATTTATTACTGTTATATAGACATAGTTTGCCCTTTGTTACCTTCGATCATACACTAGGTTTTATTTTCATCGACAATATCGTATTTCGTGCCAAATATTGATAAACTATTGCTGTGTCATTTGACAATCGTGCTACATGAGCCTAAAATGTAAAATCCCTATCCTTGCAGTTAAAACGTCGTCCGTGTTGTTCTGAGTTGTAAGTAGAATATTGTTTTGTTGGTCGTTTTGACTGCCACTATAGAACTCTTTTAAGGAAGTATTAGAAGGAAGTAAATTAACTTTCATTTTGAAAAATATAATGTTTTAATATATCGTGTGACCATGAATCACATGCATTGGAACAGACGGTTGAATTGACCGGAAAATCAATCCCCCATTCCCTGTGTATCAAGGAAAACAGATAGCGTGGGAGATGATTTCCATTTTGGTCAATTCTACTATCTGTTACGGTGCCTCTGTATGGTCCATGATCACAACCCAGCACTAGGAAACGAACTCTGCTATCTTTAATTAAACAAAACCAAACTATACATTGCATATGTCGTATAATTTATTGATTAAAAATATATCATATCAATGTGATGGTTGTTGTTTTTAATTGTTTTCAAATTAATTTTTCATATGTAATAGGATTTTATTTGCACTGATGCCCTTTTAGGGCCAAACGTACATCCAACATACAATTTTCAAAAACAGAAAAATAGCAATAAAGTAAAGAAAATAGGATCACATTCTTCAAATGTAACTATATCATATATCATTACGAGTCGAGTCGGTACAAATATGTTATTATAAGATATAAATTGTCAAATACAGAACACTATCCTCCACTTAGTGTACTAAATGTATAATAACATCGAAAAAATAAATTTAATATCTATTGGCAAAATAAATAACCGGAGGATATCGCCACAATATACTCCGGAAAACCAATATGCGGAGGATATCGTGACGATATACTCCGCTTTTTGATTTCCCGCAAAATTGAACTATTTGACATGAAATTTATTTTTCAATGATATTAAACATTTACACTACTAAGAATATCATTTTAATCTACTCGGTGATATTGATATGTGCAATCGTTCGCTCCGCTCTCGCGTGCAGATATCAATATCACCTCGTAAATAAAAATGATATTCCTCAAAATCATAGGACATCCTATAAATATTCTGTAAGATGTGGACAGTATAAGACTGTCTATTATTATATTTCCACAATATTGTTGCTGTTAGCACACTTCGAGTTCGCTGGGAAAATGTTTATTTCGTAATTTATTCCTTTCAGGAAAGTCTGTAATTGAGAAACACTCACGTCTTGTACGCTACTGTCCTTCTCTTTGTTTTCTCCGTAATATGCGAACGATGCAACTTTATCCTTCATTATACAACAAGCGGCGGTCCAGAAATATTTTGGTATAGTTACTTGTCGATTGCCTATGCGACCAATTTCACCTTGCGTACCTACAACAACATACATGGCGCCATCTTTTGCCAAACATTCGTCCTTAGCATACTTCTTGAGGCGCTGCTCTCCTTTCGGGTACCATATATGTTGATTAAAGGACGGATACTGAGGAGCGGCGTTTGTATACAAATTGGTAACGCTTGCTTCTTTGGCGGGAGGCTGGAAACTAAATGCGATGAGGTGACCCTTATTAAAAACAGACCCTGTATAGTCGGCATTGCTCGCTTGGCTGTCTTTAGGCTTCAGGCTCTCATCTTGTTTAAAATAAGTACTCCTTCTTGCATTTGTATCAATTTGTGTTATTCTAAATGCACTCCAGTCTGGTATCTTTCTTATCACATCATGTTGAGCGGCAAAACCGAACAACAACTGTCCCTTCTGTGAAATGTGACAAATCGAGCGTTTATTACTGGCGGTACCAGTCAGAGATGGTTCGACGTTTTCGACAAAGAAACGTTCGCATCCTGAGAAATGCGATGTTCTTGCTGATGGTCGGAATAACAATGGACCTGGTTCCAATTTTTCATCGCTAGTTCTTGTTGAGTTTTTGTTCTGAGACTGGCGTTCGAATAAAGCGGCCTCGTGTTCATGCACAATGCAAACCAATACAAATCCTATCAAGATTAAGTCCGTGATAAAAGTTTTTGACACTAAAAACATCTTGTTTTAAAATACTGTCACCGGAAAACGTGTGTGTTATTTCTATTCTGCTAGCCTATCCTAACAGTGTAATAGTAAATTTGTTGGTCGAATTCCTTTATATCCGATTCAAAATGATAGCTGCATATTTATATTTCTTTTTACTGGAGTCTTAACCAATCAGAATGCTCTTCTCAAGCTCTCCTTGTATAGATGTAATGTTATATGATATTGCAATTTATTAAGCAAAGTTATTCCCTATTCCTTATTGTAGTCAGTGTCTTTTTTGTGAATACACCCCTTTCATAAGTTTGGAATCAGGAAATCCCCCATTGAATCACTTATTTTAAAAATCCTTTTCATGTTCGGCTGTTTAACTCATCAAAGCCGTTAATGTCGGTATCTTTGTAAATTAAGGACCAGATTTGATTAAGATTCAGAAATTGTCGAGTTTTGATATATGCCATCCAACTTCCATTTGCTAAACTTATGGAGGCGAGTGTATGTCTACAGTGATGAGTCATGTGTTGGAACGAAAATGAAATAAAAAGTACACATCCATTCTAACCTAACAGGGAAGTCACTACATTGAATGTTTATCACACGCAGTTCTCATATAACATTGGAATCATGTTAAGTGTGATGAGCCATAGGTTGAAACGAAAATGAAATAAAAAGTACACATCCGTTCTTACCTAACAGGAAAGTCACTACTACCCAATGTTTACCACATAATAAGAGGCAGTTCTCATATAACATCAAATCATGTTAAGTGTGATGAGCCATAGGTTGAAACGAAAATGAAATAAAAAGTACATAATACATTTTAAACATAAACAAGGAAGTAACTACATATCCATTTCAAATGTATTTTTATCACATGCTAAAATTCAGTTCTCAGATAACATTAGCTTTATTCTAGGATGTCGAGGTTTCTCTGTAATTGTGTGTAGGATGATGAGACATAGGTTAAAACGAAAATAAAAAGCATAATATCTACTTAAAACTAACAAGGAAGTCTTAATTTCTAAATTTTGTTTTTGTTTTAAATATTATCACATATTAAAAGTTAGTTCTCATATGATATAGATATCTTGGGTGGATGAAGAGATTAAGACGAAACTCTCTTTTTGAGTAGAACTCCTTTGTCTCGAAGCATCAGCATATAAAGAATCGATTCGATCGACTAGTATTTGAGTTATCAAAGATTATATTTTTACGAAAAATGGAGCCAATTTTAAATTGAGCAGTCACATTGAGCATTTCCTTCCGAGCAAAGCTTCTGTATAAATACAAAAGACACAAGCCTATACACTTTTAACAAAATCTGTTATTTGAGTTATCGCCCGGACAAACGAACGGACGGATGGCTTATTTACACTCCCCTCCATAAGTTTGGCAACCTTTTCCCCCCCATTGAACTACGTGTTCAAGCTTCTTTACCTTTGCATTTTTATTTACTTAACCTGCGATGAAAATACTTATACTATTGATGGAAACGTAATTTGACTTTAATTCCAATACCTCCAAATTTTCTCAATTTTTTTCCTCAACTACAATAGGTCGAACATTGATGATGAATTTGATGAATTTTTGAAAATCTACATTCCCATGTTAACCAATGGGAAATGGTAGGTTTGCCGCAAGTCATATGACTCACAGAATATCCATCCATCCGAGTCCTTGCAAAAAATACGAGTTAGGCAGGCAATTGAATTTGCTAACTTTATTCAACAAAAAATTGATATGTTTCTTCAGGTTCAACAAAGTTATAGGGCTTTAAAGTCAAATAAACTAAACACTTAGTGTTAAAAAAAGTTAGACAATTCAATTTTCTATATAAAAATATTTTTTGCTGAATCTTTTACTGAAAAGATATCCTGATTTCTGACTTGCCCCGAACCCTCCATCTCCCATTGGATTACATGGGAATGACGATTTTCAAAAAATCATCAAATTTATCATCAATTTTCGACCTATTGTAATTGAGGAAAAAAATTGAGAAAATTTGGAGGTATTGGAAATAAAGTCAAGTTACGTTTCAATCAATATTATAAGTTATTTCATCGCCGGTTAAGTAAATAACAATTTAAACGTAAAGAGGCTTTTACACGTAGTTCAATGGGGAAAAAAGGTTGCCAAACTTATGGAGGGGAGTGTATATCTCTACGAATTTCATTCAGTGGGATAAGCATTCTATGTCACCACTATGTCTATGTCAATTTGATTGTGCTTACTAATAGCTAATGTTATGCAACTCATACAAATAATCCAAGTGTACTGTTATACGAAGAAAGTCAGCAAATAAAAATCTTGGACCAAAGCCACTATTGCAGGCAATTCCATTTCTTTTGTAACACGAAGGGGATCACATCAAGACTACCATTGTAATGTAATCTTTGCAAAATGATACCACGAATCAAATTTCAACAAAATCGACACACTACTGATTGATGAACCAACAATGTCAAATAACACAAATAAAAATGGTTGCCATTTTTCAAAATGGCCATTCCAACGATTGGATTGAAAAAATAAAAATCCAGACATCTATTTGTTACTGTATATTTAAACATAAAATCAGCAAAGATCCTTAAAACGTATAAGTTTCTCTAGATTAGTCTAAAACATTAAATCAAGCAAACTTGAAGAAGAAATACAAAGTCGAACAAATTAAAGAAAATTGAATTTTGACTACAAAAGCGAAAAACTGAAAGTAAAATAGAAAGCAAAATTGAAAATTAACTAAAGCCACTCAAATAATACTATAAACGGCATTCTATGCGAAACATGTAGTCTTTCATGACAATGATTACACATACTTTTAAACTATGGTCAAACTAGAGGAATGCTGAAAACCTGTAAAGTGGCAAAGCGATTGACATGAATGTTAGCAGCGTCAGTATAGCAATGTTTAGAGCATACGTTTCACGTGGCCTCATAATATATTGAATTATAATTGAGATCTCTTTTAAAATATTTTTTATTTATCATCTGCTGGGAAAATATTGTCACTTTGTTGAAAACATATCATGACAAGTCCGTAAAAAGCAATCCACCAAAATGTAAGGCATCCACGCGTACTTTCTGCGGAATTAAAATATGGACAATACGGGCACTGGTAGGACCCGCAGACCATACATATGTGCTGTAGGAATAAGTTATATGTGGTGTATAATGTCCGGTTCTGAATATCTGAAAATAAAAAAGAACACAATTAGAATCCGCTAGAATACTTTTATTCATTTTAAGATTAATAATGCTTATTTTCTTGTTTTTTTGTTATGGGGTTTCACAGACCTCGCCAACAGCAGCCGTGAATCCCAATTAGTGAACAATCAATTTTAACAAAATAATTAGAAATTTGAAATGAATAAGAACCACATAACAACATGTCTCACTAAAACATCAAGAGTCACGATGAAAGCAAACATCTTCGGTTGCAGTACTGTAAATAACTCACCCGGCTGGAAGAACTCAGCTACCATTGCTGTGTGCTGTATACTGGCGTTAGCTACCGGGTACCAGCGGTCCGCTCTAACGTCTGTACATAACCAGTCTGTTCCTATCTGTAAAACATTAAACATTTGTACATTTTTGCTGTGTGTTGTATACTGGCGTTAGCTACCGGGTACCAGCGGTCCGCTCTAACGTCTGTACATAACCAGTCTGTTCCTATCTGTAAAACATTAAACATTTGTACATTTTTGCTGTGTGTTGTATACTGGCGTTAGCTACCGGGTACCAGCGGTCCGCCCTAACGTCTGTACATAACCAGTCTGTTCCTATCTGTAAAACATTAAACATTTGTACAACAACTGTATTTATAGCAATTTTTAATAAGTCACTGTCTACCCTTACACTCTGCCCTGACACGTTTAACTCATTTCTAAATATCGCCAAACAGAAACAGGAGTAACGTTCGGGGTTAAGTGTCCATTAATTAAGAATGACATGCATGTGATTGAATCCGTGTAACAATAGTATTATCTGTAGTATTTTGCTTCAGATCTAGTATTCACCTATATCAAAATTCTTGATACATATACTTGCCACGAGATCAATGATACCATACCTTATTTACATAGAAGTTGAGATAATTTCCAGACACCCGATTCCTAACGACGTTCTTATGACGTTTAAGCATAGCTCTTAGTTCGTTCTTTATAACCATGTATCCAGTTGGAATCTCTATCCTGAAGAACGCCAGCATACTATGGGGTCCTAAATCCGTCCTCAGCCATCTACAATTCAACAAATATGCTTATGCCTAGTTTATTAACGTACTGTACTGGTGACCACTGTCCCAGTCTGTGACAAAATAAAAGCTTACATAATCAGGTAAATTTTAACAAAAAGACAAAAGTATCCATCATGATCACCATGTCTATTGACCTCCCATTACCAGTAATTTAACCGACCTGCCAACGTAATCAACCCGGTCGATGGATTAAGCTGTCCAGCCTTAATCATAAATTGTATGCATGTAAAACGAAATACATGTATCTGACGGTGAGGTTTACTTGAAAACGTCTGTGAATATTTAACTTTCTGTTTAAATACAAATATTGGCAAACAGATAAACATTCATTCTCAATTTTCTTAAAAGTTTATGTCCAGCAACATCTACATCTATAGATTTCAGTATGAATGAAATGTCCAGAGGTCCCGTTATTTTAGAGATTGTGATAATGGTGATTCCAGAAAAGATGGGAAATTTTGGGATATAAGGGGTTGGTTGCCTTGAGACTTTTATTTACTATGTTTTGTAAAATTCCTTGAAGTTAAATTTTCCCCTTGGTTACTTCTTACCTTGCACACGGTTGCATGATCATGATACTATTGTTCATTCCGCCCCAGTTTAGGTTCATTACAAGATCGAAATGTCTCCGAAAGCCATTTGGGGGCTTTCCCGGGGCTCTCATTTGATCCATGTACTCAACATTTACTGTCGTTGTCACCTGGAAGTAATTGTATGTGATGATAGTGCGAATTAGAATAATTCTAGTTTGGTCTTGTTGGGTCCAGTTCAATCCGGTTCTGTCTGGTGCGTCACGATATGCCTATATGGTCCGGTCTGGTCTTGCCCAGGATGTCTGGTATGTCCAAGTCTGTTTGGTTGGTCTGTTTTGGTATCCAATCTGTTACAATTGCAATGTATAACCGTAAGTTACTATTTAAATGCTACGTGTAGATCTAACAAAGCGTGTTTACAAAATACACTGATCGATTATCATATTAGTAGAATGTACAATCAATCGAAATGTTACTAATGTTTCAAAATGTGTCTAATGAAATGTAAGTTTAAAGAGTTGAGTAATTTGCTATTCAAAAAGTAAGGTGTAAAATAAAAGATGGAGGTAGAAGCAATAACTTACTTGTAAAAGAGCCAGGCCATTTCCACGAGCGGTGACTTTTACACTTCCCCATGTGTTTGGCACCTAAATGTGAGGTAGAGAGTTTGGCATGTTTTGCGTTTCATCAACTTTAAATGTACATTATGGATGGAATGTATTTACAAGCTATTGGTAAAACATTAAAATAAAACAGCAAACTGATGCGTATTTTTACATACCGAACCACTTTACAAAATAATTTGACATAATATCAAATTTATCTTATTTAATAATAGTTACATCACAAAAAGAAAACATGATGCATATATAACATGACTGTATAAATATACTACCGTCAATTCTTGCTCAATATTGAAATTGTCTTTATTTAGTACAACAACTTTGGACCACTCAGCGGTAGAGGTACTTTCTACTGTCAGTTCAAGGTTGTATAGATCCCTATTGGGATTGCGCAGTCCATACATATATAACGCTTGCATCGCCGTTGAAGTGTCCTAAAGTACAAAGGAAATTAAACCAATGTATGCGCATTATGCAACGTTGTAAACAAAGTACTTATGTCCAAAGGTGGAGGAGGGATGTAATTTATATGTGGTAATGTATCTGATGTTTGTCATTTTCACATTTATTTTTATATGGGCTTTAGCGTTGACAGACGTGGTTGCAAAATGTCAACTGACATCCAACAAAAACGCAGGAAAATGGTGTTGCTATTTATTAAGTGCGATATAACTATAGAAAGTCTTACAACTGTCCCCGACCAGAAGCCTTTTCCTCTTCTTCTGCTTTGTAGCCAATACATGATCTTAGAGGCTTCATTTAAATAGTTCTGTTGAACGTAACACATAAGTGCATATGACGTGGCCATAACTGATTCGACGCCCATGGCGGATGGCTCGTTTGGCTGCATAAACGGTGTGACGTCAATAGTCTCAATTTCGATGGGATCAATTTCAATGGGGGACCAATACGGCCATTGTTCCCCCTTATCTGAAAACGAGATTTATGAGATCTTGTCCTTGAAGGTGTAATAGGATAGACCCCAGAGATAACTGCCCCTCTAAACAAAAAGTGTAATTATAGAAGACTCGGAAATCGAAAGATTACAGGGTGTATTATGACAGAAGTCGAGTTGGCCGAGAGGGCTTGAGCGCTGACACGTTCGAGCTAGGCGATTGGGCGCGAGTTCGAAACAAGTGTGCTCCTTGTGTTTATTCACTTTAAACTGCAATCGACGGCAACAAAAATTGAAGCAGTTTTCTCCCCTTTTATAATACGATAGTTTATTCAAAATACTATTTAACTATTTTTTAATTTGTAAACGTAACTTGCATACCATTCCTCTTGGCCTTCTTTAGTTTTCTGAAGAATTCCCCCTTTTTCCTATGTTCAGCTGCGTGCAGGGCATACGTCACAATAGCTAGGTCAAATGGATCGTCAAGTATTTCAAGTGTCGTTGCTAAAAACTCAGCAGCCTTGTCCTTGGCCTTTTCGGCAGCACTCGATGCCTCCTAAAAAGATTTAGTTTGCGTAGTCAGCCTCAATCCTTCAGCAAGCTTTCTGCTTCATGGTTTCAAAATGTTATAATCAACTGTTTTCTTTTATTTTATGCTGTCGTAAATAGTATTAAATATTTGATCTTGTTATGTACAATAGTATATCAGTTTAGATATATTTAAAAAGGAAATGAACAGACGGTTGGTTATATGTTGTATTGATATGAAGGTTACAACCCAATTAGCCATCTTCATCATTATTTTTTTAGATAATTATTGTACAAGTGTGCAGCCATATGCAGGATTTCACGATGGCACAATAACTGAATATTCAGTCAATGCTACACTTACACCAGTTAAACCAAGATTTCCCGACAAAGCAATTACTACATGTGCAGTTAAAGTAATGTTCCAGTAGTCTTCCACTCCATTTAACACCTGCAGTTTGGGAATCATTGTCCTCATGTAATAATCCTGGACCTCCATAAAGCAGCCTAAATACAGTGAAAATACGAACAAAGCCTTTTTATAACAAACAAGAAATAAGTATTCTTAAACATGTTATTCAGGTTGGATTATTAAATCACAAAAATATTTTTTTCTTCTTTTTCTTTTTTACTTAACAGGACGTTTCAGATCCTGTTTGGATCCTTTTTCAACTGTATAAAAACTGAACTGAAGACAATAAGAGACCTGAAAGATGGATTAAAGTATCTATTTTTATTAAGTAAAACGATAATAATATGAACAGAGATCAAGGGAACTATAAATTGGCAAATTTGGAATGAATTTTTGGTGAATTAATATGACGTAATATTGTTTTTATTTAATTGTTAAAGTAGCGCTTCAGTTCAGTTTTTATACAGTTGAAAAAGGATCCAGACAGTATCTGAAACGTCCTGTTTAGTAAAATAAAGGTTGTGAAAAGAAGAAAAAATATTTTTGTGAAGAAATAAGTATATGTACTGTAGAGGGGGGTGCTGTTGTTTTTTGACACCCTGTAGTTAAACTGAGGAAAACAGTGCAATACAAACAGCCACTCTAACCTTATAACATGACACCCGAGTGATAAACACAACAAAATTGTTTCAGTTACAAAAGTAATTGTTACAATAATATTAAAAACAATGGAAAATTGAGACTTACCAGAACTTTTATTTTGCCTAGATACAATCCATGTGGCCATATCGTTTAATAGCTCAGATGTTATGTAAAACTGGCCTTCCCACTCTGTATCACGCGCATTTTTCATATGTTGTAGCATATATGCAGTTACCCTGTAAGGTATGCGATGGTTATGTTATTTCTTAGACACAATTTAATCTTGATATGTTTGATAATTCCTTGACCTTACCTTGCTCTTAATATTCGTAATATTATGCTTTAATATGTACGGGTATAAACATCAGAAATGATGTCACCTGTTAAACCTTTTATATGTACTGTATCTTATTATATTATTAAGGAATAAATTGAATTAAATTGAATTGAACAATATAGATTTTTTTATTAAAATCAATGTAACATATTTACAGGTTATAGTGACTATGATCCCCGAGAGGGAATATTATATCATGAGGCACCCTTAAAGTGTGCGCCAAAATTTAAAACTGCGCAGGCGCAGCGCTCTCGCTAACCTATATAAAGAGATTACAAGGTACAGGCTTCAGAGGTAAGCCAGGAAGGTGTACAACTATCGTCCCGTGTTGATTTCCCGTATAATCGTAACCAGGCAAGTTTCACCATTGGAATTGAAAATGACTATTAGATAAACTTTGTAGATGTTTATATATGAAGGTATTAAGTGTACATATATACATCAATCAAATGGCTCATTTTGAACATATAAAAAGTATTTGTGTTTTGTTTCCCAGGAAAAATTGTATTCCCATGTAGTACACACATAGATAGTGTACATTATGTTGTACTTGAATAGCCTGGCTTATATAATATTGAAGGGCATGCTGATTGTACATGCATGAAGGCCTAATAATGATATTGCTTGCATACCTAAGTAAAAATAAACTCTTCTAAACCCCTAATGTAAACACGGATGTATACGTAGCCCGATTTATCGGGGGCTTTAAGGCATATAGATTATTGTTTATTTAAAACTATTTTCAACAAGCAAAATCCATATAATAACTCCTTGTATATCATATTGTACAATATGTTATATATTGAGAATGAAGAATATTATATTATGCAAAAATCGTTTTTACACTATCATCCCATATCATCCTTATCATATCATTTTATCTATTAATAGTACCCAGAGTCCTAAGTTTGGATGTCGTTTTTAATATGCATTGTCATTTTCGATTCAAAAGAATGGGGGCATATATGTATCTTGAACAATAACTTTCCTAATTGATTGTAGTATTTAAGATGTCTTGCCTTGTAAGAATTGATGTCCAAATGACAGAGGAGGGGGGGGGCTTTTCTGTTTCTTTAATTTAGATCATTGTTTGGAATATGCGAGGTTGTTCCAATCGTTATGACAGATCGTACCAGTTAAGCTAGCTTTCTTTTTTTCTTTTTGACCTTGACTTTACTTACTAACCTAGTAACCACTCACAAACCTGATGAGCTTACCATAAGTTAGACGAAGATTTGTAAAACATGCTGAATCCACCCCGAACATTTTGTTTATATCTCATCGCCCTTTCGATGACTGAAAGAGACAATCATAGGAAGTTGAAGATTCGACAAACGAGTATATATAAGAAGTGCGGATGCTTTGATCACTGCCATGTTCTTAGTACCCCGGACAGGTTGTATGATGCAGTCGTTTTTTTACTTTATATTTGCAATAGAACAACCATTTTTATTGAAATTTTCAAGATTTATTCTAGAGACAATTTCCAACATGGAAAATAAATATTTTATCAAAATTTCGAAATTTTATGATTTTGACGGGCTTTTTTCAAAAACACTACACTCTCAATAAAATACAGGTTTTTGCTTGAACAACTGAACTTTTAACGTCATTTCAAATATTGTCTGGCTATGGAACTTCCGGCCGCCTAAAGCCTTTCCAGATATATCTGTTGCCATATTCATAATAATGGCTGATTATTGTTTTTCACTTGAGTCATATTCAATATTATTACAGTGCATTAGGCCAATAAAAATGTTGAAGCGTTCCCTAGATTGAGCCCAGATAGAGGAGGTCAATCTTCTTGTCCACAGACATGAGTTCAACCCAGTCACTGTTCATTGTTCAATACTGTCCAAAATAAAGTAAAACATTACGAATCTCCTATTTGAAGTATTCTTGGTATTAGATCCTTCAGAGATGTTAATACAGCTGTGTCAAATTTTATCATGAAATTTTGTCAGGGAGACCTGACATTTTAAAAGCATGGTACAATTTACGTGCCACGGGCTCGCATGCTGAGTGACGGCGGCGGAAAAACCCAGTGGAGAAAAAGGTGCGTTTTCAGAGAAAACGTGACCCAGAATGACAAGTTTTTCATTGGCCTAATGCACTGTAATAATATGAGGCCTATTGAATATGACTAAAATGAATAACAACAATCAGCCATAATAAATATGGCATCAAATACATCTGGAAAGACTTTAGGCTGTCAAAAATCCAATAGCTAGACAATTTTTGAAATGACGTCAAAAGTTCAATTGTTTAAGCAAAAACCTGTATTTTATTGACAGTGTAGTGTTTTTGAAAAAAGCCCGTCAAAATCATAAAAATTCGAAATTTTGATAAAATATTTATTTTCCATGTTGGAAATTGTCTCTAGAATAAATCTTGAAAATTTCAATAAAAATGGTTGTTCTATTGCAAATATAGAGTAAAAAAACGACTGCATCATACAACCTGTCCGGGGTACTATGTATTCATGAAATGATAATAGAGAGGTTCGCAACTCACTTATAGCATGTGTATTATTCCCGAATAACATATAATTTATGAAGCGTTTACGAATATCGATACCTACATGGGGGTCAGCATGGACAGATGGGAGATGGGAGATAGATATTTGCCGATGGATACACCCTATATCCAAAAATGTACATAGTTGGTGTATTTCATATTTTCATATTTTCAAACGACAAGATGTTACATACCTGTATTCATTATGGCCAATGCTTTGGTTTGCACAGCATGCGTGAGCTGGTCTGTTGACTTTAAATATTTAAGATACCATAGATTCTGTGTGAACTCAAAGAAGTGAGCTTCTAGCATTCCACTAGAAACATCTAAAAGTTCAGAAGATCGCAATTTGCTAGTGAAGAACGCTGGACCAAGAACATCACCTACAAATTAAACAAAACAAAACAAAATAATTTATATGATCTATTATTTGTTGTTACACTTACCTGGATGGATATATCAAAGGAAGTTACACTTCAAAAAGTTGCAATAACATATTTAGATGACATAGCTCACGTCGTTATCCATCCCGGTTTATCGTTGGCATGATAACACATTAGAATGGCACTAACGTCGATTTTATAATGTCTAGAATAGCTTTAACGCCATATCGGCCTGAATTTGGGTTGGGTTGGATATAGGTAGATACGAAATATATATTACATACCTACAATAGAAACTTTTGTAACAGCTGAGCCAGGGACGTAGAGATGATGCCGCTGTTCAGGGAGCACAAATCGTTCTGGGACTGGGATCCAAAGATCAGGGATGATAATCTGACTATATTTTACCAAATCCACAAAATAAGGCGTATGCCACGTATTTCTGACACCATCCATCTGTAATTTTTGATAAACATATCTATGATGTTCAGGATTTTCCAAGGGGGTTGGGGTCACTTTTCAAGAACACCCCATCCCTGGCTACGGGCCTGGGGCATATTACTTATACTTTGAACTACAGTATTAAATATCCATTTGAATGACGCACGATAATCTTGAAATTACCACGAAGTTCTACGTACCGTCACTTTAATCGAACCGGAACATCCTTCGCCACGTTTAAATGTATCAGCGGTGATTTTGAATTTAGTAGTACCTGTCTTTAGTGGTAGAATGGGGAAGTGAACGAATCGTTTTTCCCCAGGAGACAACTGGAATATAAAACATTTAGCTTTTGTCAAGATTATGTAGCCGCCTACAAAGGTTTTAGTTACTGTATTAGTCCACCAGTATAGCTCAGCAGTAGCGTGTGAACCAATTATGCAATAGGTCTCAATTTCGTTCCCCGGTTCAGATAAGACTAAGTTTGCTTGATGATGTTACACAAAAATACAATACAACAGACGACGACGCTAATCGTCGACGCAAAATATTGGCTCAAAAACGGAAGCTAAAACAATATTTGACCTATTCTTGTCGTTGAAATAAATAAAAACAAAATCATAATAAAAACAAAATCATAAAAAGCATTTCCAGAAGCACTTGAGTTTATGTAAAATGATTCCATGCTACCTGATCATAAAGAAAAACTAAAACTACTAAGACTTAATACTCACATAAACAAGGGTTTGTATTTCTCCACTTAAAAGGTCAGGTGCATAACTGCTGATAATGTGCTTGTCTCCCACTGCGACAAATTTGTAGTCGTTACTAGCTAATAGAGTTACCAACACCTAGAAAAAATTAGATTATATATGTGTACAAAAATACGAATACACGTGGATCTCACATCTATCGATTTCAACATTAGGACACATATGTGCGAACGTACTAACAGCAACAAAGCGATTCTAAAGTCTCTAACGTTTAAAGCGAAAGGATTTGTTCAAAATATTCAAAAATTCATGCAGACGTTTACCATATCCGAAAACACTTTGGCCCTAACTAATATAATAAATTCATGAATTCAATAATTTCATGAATATATTTCGAATTTATATTGTAAACAATATAATTATTAACTATAGTATTATGCTTTTGGTTTATGATAATGGAAGTAACGAGAGTCTCCTTACTGTGTTTCCTCATCTTTTAAGTAAAATCATGTTTTTGGGTTATTTCTTATTTTCTCTTTGCGTACAATGGTGAACAATGATCTTTTGAGAACTTAGCGTTTACCTTGAATCTTTTTAGTAGAACATAATACCAGTCTTACCTCAACCGAGTAGCTATGTCTTACCTCAACCGAGTAGCTATGTCTTACCTCAACCGAGTAGCTATGTCTTACCTCAACCGAGTAGCTGTAAAAGCTGGATAACCAGACCTGTATCCCAATCTGTTCTCCCCTCCGTGCAGTTTTAGGAAATTCACATCTGCAGTAGAAGTCACGTGTAACATCAACCTAGAACAAAATTAAACAAAGATACTTTGGGAAAGACAATATATTGATAATGATTTTTTGATAGCAAGTTCAGTAGCTCTTCTGTACGTTTAATGTTTTGTTTGGGGGTAACGTAGTCTCTTTCCTTATGACGGTTCTACGTACGTTTTGCTTTAATATTTTCCTTTCTGGCATTAATATATTTCTTTCAAAATGGCCGCCACTTCAAACAATGCTGGGTAGATTTTCATATTTTAAAGTAACACTATAATTGAACCAAACTTTGACAAAATATACGTAAGAAATATATAGAGATTATCCTATATGAGGTTCAGGATATTGGGATTATCCCGAGGCCAATATAATATATCTGCCCGAGGGCCGTAGGTCCCGAGGGAAGATATATTATATTGGCCAAGAGATAATCCCAATATCCTGAACCGACTATAGGATGATCTGTTTATCCCATACCAATCACATTGTTCAATTGTTGCAACCAATCGTGGAATTATTTTAAAATATTCATGTCCAGTTTTTTATTCTTGTCTGTAGTCGGATTTTCCTGTTCAAATATTTGATTATTAACGGGGCATACTGCTCCTTTCCTTCTCTAAAGCATCAAACAGATCGCGATTGTTTGCGTTTTTATCCATTGTCGTTTACAGTATGCGAACATTACAAAAAAGAACCAATACGGGAACAGCGATTATGACGTAGCGGGCAGATATACTATATTTGCTCGCTCGGAGCGGGACGTAAAGCTAAATCTGCCCGCTGATGAAAATAGAAGTTTTTACAAACCGGCTTTATGTACCCGTAACACGTCCAAGTATGGGATAAATGTTATGTTCTGAGTTACTTTGCCTGATATCTAGGGGCGGATATGGGATATCAAGAAAATGGGATTTTACGATTTTAACCTAAACATACATTAATTTGATAAAGATATATATTGCTCGTTAAATTTCCTACTTTGTATAATTCTCTACTTATTTTCTATATAAAGTTACAGTGGCACATTCGTAAGATGCAGGGCCGTCAGATGGGGGGGGGGGTGCGATGGGTGCGACCGCACCCCCCTTTGTCACCCCCCAAAATTAATTTGAAAAATATTTTTTTTTGTAATTTTCTTTTCATTGACTCATACACTTTGAAAGTACCCAGAAAGCACCAAATAGCATCTTAAAATTGTAAAATTTTCTAGGGGTATTGGCCACCCCTCACACCCCCCACAAAACAATGGAAAAGTTCTAAATTTATTTTAGAGTTTTGTCTCAGACACTTTTAAAGTGCCCAGATATCATCAAATGGCTCCTTGATATAGTTATTGTTTCTGGGGGACTTACTCCCCATCTTGCACTTGCATAACCCCCCCCCCCCTCTGGCGCCCCCCCCCCCCCCTTGACCCCCTCCCCCCCCAAAAAAAAAAATTGTGATTTTCTCAAATTCTTTAATTGACTCATACAATAAAAGTGCCCAGAAAGCACCAAATAGCGTCATAAAATTGTAAAATTTTCTAGGGGGAGTGGGCCACCCCTCACACACCCCAAAAAAATGGAAAAGTTCTGAATTTGTTTTATGTATTGTCTCAGACACTTTTAAATTGCCCAGACATCACCAAATACCTCCTTGATAAAGTTAATGATTCTGGAAGACTAACACTTACTTGCCCTCTGGCATCCCCACTCCACCTCCCCCTCTGGCAGCCCCCCTCCCTTAACAAAAAAAATTGAGATTTTTCAAAAAAAATTTATTGACTCATACCCTTTGAAAGTGCCCAGAAAGCACCAAATAGCATCTTAAAATTGTAAAATTTTCTTGGGAAATAGGCACTTTTAGGCACAGACACTTTTAAAGTGCCCAAACTTCATCAAATAGCACCTTGATATTGTAAATTTTGATATGGGGGACAAACACTTGCTCCCCTCTGGCACCCCAGCCCCACCTCCCCTTCTGGCACCCTTCCCCCCCCCTTTGACACCCCCAAAATTTGAAAAAAATTGCGATTGTTTTTCAATGTTTTTATTGACTAATACACTTTAAAAGTGCCCAGAAGCACCAAATATCATCTTTAAATTGTAAAATTTTCTAGGAGAGTTAGCCACCCCTCACATCCCCAACAAAACAAAAGAAAATATTCTGAATTTCATGTATTGTCTCAGAAGTGCCAGACATCATCAAATAGCACCTTGATATGCATGGTCAATGTTTCTGGGGGACAACCCCTTGCTCCCCTACTGGCACCCCACCCCACATCACCCTCTCATCCTCTTTGACACCCAAAAGAATTTGAAAAAAATCACATTTTTCTTATTGACTCATAACGCACAGGCGTACCAGATGGTTGCAAATTCGCTCCAAATACAACTAAATTTCAAAATTTTCCTGGGGGACAACCCCCAGACCCCCCTAAATTTTCTAGGAGAGTTAGCCACCCCTCACATCCCCCACAAAACAAAAGAAAATATTCTGAATTTCATGTATTGTCTCAGAAGTGCCAGACATCATCAAATAGCACCTTGATATGCATGGTCAATGTTTCTGGGGGACAACCCCTTGCTCCCCTACTGGCACCCCACCCCACATCACCCTCTCATCCTCTTTGACACCCCAAAAGAATTTGAAAAAAATCACATTTTTCTTATTGACTCATAACGCACAGGCGTACCAGATGGTTGCAAATTCGCTCCAAATACAACTTAATTTCAAAATTTTCTAAAAAAAGCTAAAAACCGCACCCCCCTTGGAGAAAAGTGTCTTACGGGCCTGAGATGCATACCATATATGGAACCTGCGTGACCCCAAGACCTTTATCTCTGCTGACTGATATTGCAGAAATGGCGTATGAATACGGCTGGAATGGAGGCGCCAGTTCAGAATAACTCTTTCCACTTGGCCTAGAATTGAACAAATCAAAACATACACTGTTCGCTCAACGCAACGGAAAGTGTTTAGGTGATTTTCAAAATTCACAAAGACAAACATCTCCGAACTATTGTTATTACAGAGAAATTAATGTTAATTAGTCTTTATGAAGACAAAACTATGGTGAGGAAGATCTAAGTTGTCTTTGGATGTTTATTATTACTTGTTTAAGAGAGAACTGCATATAGTTAATCGTTCATTTATGTTTAAACTTATATAACCAGTACCAATAGATCAGATCGGGTGAATAATACGATACTAACAGAGTCAACAATTTAACAATTTTAACAGCTTCATTTCAATTACCCAAATGCGAGTAAGTAGTTACCAGTTTCACCACCAGATGGCTGATTCGGGTCAATTAACATGGCAGGTATATAAGAAAGTTCCCTTAAACTTGAATATTATCAATTTAAGTGGCTCAATTTTTATATAACCCTCATGTGTCTGATACTTATACTAATGAAAATATGTCCAGTAAAGCAAAATATTATCTGTCCACTAAAAGAAAAGATATTTCATTTTTTGTGATTTTATAGCATGGGGTCTATGGGGAATCTCCCCGAGCTAGAAGTCACATTTTCAAAGAAAATTAATTTTTCAAAGTTGATAAACACTTTTTAAAACCACATTTCTAGATGTAGTTTTACATGTAGATTTCAAATATGATATTACTTTGACTGAATTTTTAATTTTTAATGACGTAAATCAAGATTATTTTTACTCGCATCTGGGTTATTGCATAATATCCATGATATATTAGTATTATTCGGGCATCAATATGTACAAAGATACAAACTTTGTATAGTCCGTGTGCCAAGCCCAGGAAACGTCCTCAAACCTTTCAAAGTATGGAATGTGGAAAAATAGGTCCTTAAGGTAGTCCCATGTTCTTACAATCGGTGCCTCGCGTCCACCTGGAATTGATCATAAAAATGAAAGAGAATTGTTTTTCGGATTTATTATTATTTTGCCCAAATGGTTTTTTCTTAAATTGTAAACGATTTCAATAGAATTGCTGTTTATGAATGCTGTATTTATGTTTTCTCAATGTTACTTGTCTTTTCGAATAAAAACTTTTTTGGAACAAATTAACCAGTTTTGATAAAGATGCACATTTCAAATAACTTATGGATCCTCTTATTATATAGTATTGTATAACTATTCCTGTAAGGTTTGGATTTAAGGCGTACATATTTCTAAACTATAATATTCCATGCTTATATATGGATATCGTTATAGCTAATTGCGCTAGAGCAGTGTTATATCTGAATCACCTAGAAAAACATTATAATTACAATCAACACATACAGCCACTTTCATCTGCACCATCTTCGCAGTCAAAGTTGTCGTCACATTTTTTCTCTACTCTATAACAGCTCCCGTCATGGCACGTCAGCCAGCCGTTAGTAGCATTGCAGTCACCTAACGTAGAATAAACTAATATGAAAACACGTTACATTATAAATCATTTTACTTAATTGAAGTATATGAAAAACATGCTTTATATACAGCACTATGTATTTATTTTTTATGTATTTTATTCATGTATGTATTTATTCACATTATGGCTAAGTCATATATTTGCAAAAACTTTGTTAGGAAATTACAGACGTGTAAGCTACGATTTATATTATCAACTTATCCTGTCTTACTTGGTACTGTTGTTAAGTTTGCATCGGTAAAGACATGTAGACCAGCAAACTAAAATCACAATAAGGGATGCTAAAATTTACATAATTAATAGAACGTGCATTTTTCAGAGGAATGAGTATGCACAAATAGATTTGAGTGGCGTATGAATGTAAATAAGGGTTATGTACTGGGAGGTTTTGGATATGGGGTTTATTCAGAGCGAAACATGCATATCGTCCTGAGAAACCGTAGGGACCGAAGGTAGATGTGCATATATCTCACGAGGGATGAACCCAATATCCAAACCGACCGTACATAACTGCTTTATCCTATACCAAGTAAAGTTTTCAGGGGCATATGGCCATTTCAATAGTACAAGTTGTAAAAATAAACAAATCATTCATATGCAAAGTCATTTTACTGCATTTCCACTACTTAACAGAAGCGGGAAGATATTCACCGAAGCGGGAAGATATGCGCCGAAGCGAGAATATATGGCGGGAGATATGAAGGTTCTGGATATGGAAACCTCAAAATCAGGGTACGGGATATATCTTACCAACTTATCTCCCTAAAACTCTACTTGGCATAGGATAAAGTTTAATATCCCAAAACATGATAATTTCCTAATCTGAAACATAGTTCAGCAAGGAGTGACTAAACCACACTTTTTAAAATTTCTCATCTCAGTTTGCTAATGCAACAATTAAAGCTTTATGAACAAATTTTGGATTTGTTGTATTATTTATTTATTTATTTATTTCCCAATTTACCCTTCATAGGGTATAAGAGTACAAAAGATAAACTTAACTAATACAGTAACAAACATTAAAATAACATTACAAATGTACATTTTTTAAACATGTATGAAATTATGTACCTTGATATAAAATATGATTGAAAAAACGAATTAAATGTTATGAACATTGGTATCTATGTTTTGCATTTGGCTTCTATCCAAAAATAATAAATATCATAGAAATAACACCTTACATATTTCTTGTTCAAAGTGTGGATGTTTGCAAGTCATGATTTTTTCCTGCTTAACTTACTGTAAATGTTGTATTTGCATCAGCTCCATACGACTGAGTTGGGAAATACACTCGTTCTCTTTCCCAGTGTTTCCCTTTCCAGGAAACACTTGCAGAAACGTTTGTATGACTGTCATACGTAAGCAGTTCGTCGACAATCTGGAGATTTAATAAAATATATTCAAAATGCTGGAAAATATTCAATTATCGACATATATAGGAAGATAGTTCATATATTCAATATTCAATTTTTATTTCTCACTTCGTTTGACAGATTTCGGTTTCGCATATCATAGTTACGATACATAGAATTTGATAAAATGAGAGCAAAATGTTTTGACAACCCTCGTATAAGAATATGAAGTGTCAGCATTAGCATCGTTATTCCAAAAATAGAGTTGCATTTTATGATACCCCTGTATCATAATGTTATTCAATAAAATAAAAATTTTGGTATTCTAGTGTTTGGATTGTACCAGAAATAGAAATAGTATGGCTTCCAGCTGAACTCTTTTTCTATGCATCAATTTGTTTCACAATTTTTGCATTTCCTTTAAAAAATAGATAGACAATTTTTAATCTTGATTTCATGACCTTGTTGACTTACTTCCTGTTCTGTGATGAAATTTCTCAATCCAAGATCGTACAAGTAATATTGCTCGGAATTAAATGCTATCAGAGTACCAGGGTCCGCTGTTCCAATGACCTCAACGTTTGATGGACTGAAGTCTTTTCCTCGGTTTATTGTAAGATCGACCTAGGTAGCAAAGGTGAAGATATTAGAAGACTTGATATGGCAACCGTGTACCGTTTGGTCCATCATCAAAAGTCATCGACCTTTGATAATTTAACAGGATTGCTAAACTTTCAGCTTTAATTTCATACGGTTTATAATGTGTTTTACAAAAATGGTGTAGAATTCAAAGAAAAGGAAAATAGTCTAAATGAATCTGTTATTACGCACCTCGTGAAGAGCAGCAGGGTCAACGTAGAATGATAATGAATCTGCAACTACTTCCCCGTGTTTAACAAAATATACTACCATCCGGGCACTTGGCATCATATCACGTGATATAGCAACCGAAAATGATTTTTGTTGCGAAGTCATGTCAAGCTGATTGGATACCACAATATTACCAGTGCTTACAATCTAAAAAGATAAGCATAAGGGGCGTCGGACCATATCTGAAAAGGGGCACCGAGTTTTCCAGAAATGGGTGGAACATGCTCCTCCAAGAAATATTTGTCATTTATCGAAAACGTTTTGATGCAATCTGAGCGTTTTTAAATGCTATAGTTGATTTCTGATAACAGGATTTTTTGAAGTTCCACTGGAATCTCATCAAAATCATTTTCTGGGCAGTTTCAGAGGGGATGATAATACTTGCAGTGACTTTTATTTGCAATGAAATTGTACCAATGTATTATTGCATGTGTGAAAGTAATGTCGTCATTAGAAAAGTCTTTGGTAGCGTAGTTAACACAACTCACGTGATAAAATATTGTGTCCACGAACGTATTTGTCTTTAATACAAACGTCATGTATCTGTTGACCTATCGTAAAAACAAAGCAAATCATATTATATTACTTCAAACAATATAAGATTACATGTATTTTCCTATGAAAATTCAGATTGTTTATTGAGGAATATATAAACGTGTAGCAGAGAATAATTTCGTTTCGAATTTTTCCCAAAGTCTCAATATATTATTGATAGTTCGCTGTGATTTACCTATTAACTCACAAAAACTTACTTTTGGCTCCGAGGTTAGAGATTTCAGCTGCATATAGTATCTGTTGATGGAAAACACTCTATAGGCTAACATTCTGATGAGTGGTAATGTCATACCCAGTCCCCTGTACCTCGCCTAGAAGTGAAGAAACTAACCTTACTATATCATACCAAACTAGTTCTCACTACGTCGAAAACGGGCTTAAACTGTGCACGAACGGATTTGACTTACTAAGAACCGCTTGGGGTCTGTTTACAAACTGCCATCCAGAACTTATATAAGAACATGCTAAAAAAATTCTAGGGACATTTCTGGAGACGTAACGTTCTGCATTCAAAACTAGACACAAAGTACTGAGGACGACCTGGACACACTGGGGACACACTACAAACTGTAATGTCGTACTTATTTATACTATTGCATAACAATGTGTGCAAGTTTTGGGAATATTTTTCGTCCAAAGAACTGTGAGCACAGTTCATGCCCCAAAATTTGAGATACGTATACCAGTACTTACATTAATTGTAATGAGTTTGTCGTCCTCTCCGGGATGAATCGTAAGGGCAGCTATGTTATCATCGGAAAACGGAAGACGTTCACGTGTTTTCCGCGAAGCACCATCCTCGGTTTGATAACTTATTTCAAGTTCCACATGACCCGGAGTAGAAAATAGAGGGCGTGATTCATCTGTATCTTTGAGAGCAATCTGAAAAGGACCCATTTTTTATCATAACTTTATTTCCATTAATCAAATAATAATAATACGTACATATGAGCGGCTTTGTTAAAAAACATTATAAGCCACTTTGACAATAGTAAAAATAAGAAAATGACAAGGGCTTAAGTGATCTGATAAAACACTATAGTGGGTCACTAGTCTGCCTGGGGTCCCTCAACACAGTTCCTGATAAACATTGCACTTAACCTCAAAACCTCAAAGGACCCATTATTTTGTTGCACTGCAGGTTTTATATAAAGAAACGACAGCATTTCGATTGTATAATACAGGTTGTCCATAATTTCATAATTACATACAATAGTAACACCCCAGTCACATTTCCTACGGCGACCTTGCGGTCTATCATTTCTGCGGCCAGTAACATTTCTACGCTCGCCGTGGAATTTCTGCGCTCTCATACTTTTGCAGTCACATTTCCCACGGCAGCCGCACGGTGAATTTTAAATTTCTGTTGATAAATAATACTTTTTTCATTTTATTTACATCGGGACAATTTATAAATGTTATTCATAGTGCTAGGATGTAATATCAAATGAAAAGTGATAGTTAAACATTGACAAATAATGATTCTACGGAGACTTCAGAAATGAACAAACATTCGCACGGCCTCCGTACGACAAATGTGACTGGGGTGTAACGTAACGTAATGGCAATGGCAAAGTTAATATATTGGCCTTGTTTCTAGATCTAGATAACACAATTATTTTCAAAGGTATAATCTGCTTTATATTTAGCTGTCACCTTTAGGCCATGTGGACTCACCATTCGCCATCGTGTGATACAGGCAACAGGGCAGGGCACAGCCTGATTACACGGCAGGCAAAACAAATAGTGTTACAGCAAGATGCCCTCCCCCAGATTAGCCTATAGGTAGCGAACGGTGAGCCCACGTGGCTAATGTAACAGCTACTTGAAGAATAAACGTATAATTACATGAACGTCCAATGGCATATTAGGCTTGAAAGTCCTAATAATATCCTCTACAAAAAACATACGAAAACCCGCCCCATCGTAAACTATCGTTGTAGTCTCGCCCCATCTCGTTTCATAGTAGTAAAAGTCGTAAACCCAGGCCTTCGCTTTGATAGCTTTGCCTGATAGGTTAACGACACCAGTGCGCCGTCTAATCTCATCCATTGTTAACATGAATTGAAATTCATTCTCAAACTGAAACAAATATATTAAAGTATTACAGTATATATTTTAGTTTGTTGGAGATCTTACTGACGAATTTTAGATATTACTACATGCTGGTTTGACATGTTAATGGTGGTATGACTTACATATGGAATTTCAATGCTGAATTTTGAATTCGGAAACCCTTCAACTGCAAAATCAATTGAGCCATTGCCCTTCGTGGGAATCCAACTTGGATGGTAACTGAAATATATAACCACGCCATAGGATGTAGCCAGCTTAAAGTAATGCTTTACATTTTTACAATAATGGTCAAAATAACAATCAATCAGAGAGGTTCATTAATGATATCAATCACAGGTACTTGAGACGTATTCATCCAACATATTTTTAAGAAAGGCAGACAAGACTTTATGATCAATGAGATATATTTTCTTCACGCAACGATGATTTTAATGTGTTTCCTTTGACCAGAAAAGTTGATTTCACATAAATTATAACTAAAAAACTTATTTGATAGAGTCATCGTGGACTTCAATGAGTGGGTGTATTTAACGTTGTATTTCATTAAAGATATTGATTCGCACGTTTCTTCAAGATGATTCACATTTTTAAATTGCTACCTACAATGCTTTAACAAAACCAGCTAATCCGTACTCGGTTGTTTTTATGGTCTGGGGCGTAGTGATGTTAACAACCATTCGCTCAACATCTGGAACAGTTCAAGTTGACATTATAGAAGCGAAAGGATTGCATTTCAATTTAATAAAATCATTCGTGTTGTAATCTAATTATAAGCATTATATGCATTTCATTTTATAATTCTATATTCCTATATATTAACTTTTGAAACCATAAGTTTCTTTCTACTCGCATCTAGTCTATTTGGATTTGTAGAGGTTGTTTATCCTTTACAAATAGTGAATATAGTTACTTTAAGAACGACTATAGTGACATATGTCATAAATGCTATATGTCATGTGACATATAGCATTGTTATTTGTAACTGCCATTTCAATGAGTTCGTATCCATTCTAACACCCACATCAATATAAAAATTGCCTAATATACTACTGTACAACGGGGCGTGTAAGTATACTGAGCAATAACCTAAATATAGTTAGCTGGAATATGGGCGACTAAGTTGTCCGATACGGAACACTCTTGAAATAAGTCTTAATATTCTAATTGGTTCGCCCGTATCACCTGGAATAAGTTTTAAATAGCAGCAAACTACACGCCCAGCTCAGAATGTTATTTAAACTTACACATTTCTGTTGCGTAGATCACCTTTTTGTACACGTGACCCTAAAATAGGAAATAAAAATATTTTCAGGTAATAAGAAATGCAACAATGGTACCAGATGGCACTGACACACCTTTCTTTTAGTTTAGATTACTTATATATGTTAGAAATTCGAATCTTGAATACAATTAAAGGGGTAAGAAGAAAGAAAATATTCAAATATATAACACTTTTGTTCTCATAAAAATTGTTTACATAGTAAACATCGCACATTTTAAATTTGAGCCAACTACTATAGAATTATCAAATCAGTCAGGAAACCCTCTTCTACAAAACTTTCAAATTCAATGCAAATCTACGCCGGTCAGATTTCCCAATTTGAAGGTGAATGCAAATAAGAAAACTTAATATCCTATCGATGACAATACTGTTAAGTTGGTATTTTTTCCGAGACTATTTATTTCAAAAATTGTATATACGAGGGGGGATTCATAAGTAGTGGGACAAATGCTATAACTTCACTTATATCAACCAGATTTTATTCAAACTTGAAACACAGAACCACAAACATGTGATAATCATTGTGTGAAAATTTCAAAAAGTTACACCCAACTTCAGTAAAGTGAGAGTTCCAATCATGACGTCACAACAGGGTCCACGGAGCACATTGTTTGTCACTAATTGCTAGTTAAATATACAAGCCTCAACTGATAGTCAGGACGTGATCTAATCCGTGACTTTTAGCGAGTCCTTTTGTGGAGCACATCAATTCTGTGCAAGACTATTGATTCCTTATCCTTCTGGTGCAGTCTCACTCTTTCTCAAAGTATTCGCCATGACAATCATTGCATTTTTGGCATCTCCTCAACCATTCTAGGTATGCACCCTCAAAACCATATTTTCCAAGATTGGTTATCTTGGCTCTCACATCATATTCAGAATACATATACAGAATACCACCTATATACTGTAGATTTTTTTACTTCTTCTTTCCCATAGACTTCCAACAAACCTCTATAGGTCTCTAATACTGTAAACTTCTTCAAAGCATTAAATTTAATCACAGCACGGATGTTTATACGTGATTCTTGCTTTTTCATTGCTATTTTAATCAAATTTTGCTCCATCCAAGAAGGACTGAAAATGGCAGTGTCCTAGGGTCACTGCTTTGTGTGACATCACAATAGCATGATGGTGTAATATATGTTACGGTTGTCATGGCTACAAGGCTTGAGACAATATGAAACCAAATAATTGAAAATAACTGTCATTTTGAGATATTTATGAGCATATTTATGTTGATCAAGCCCTTCATTTTTTAACTGCTCCGTTAACCCCTATATTTGGTTACCATAGCAACCGTTGTTGCTAGGGAACAAAATGAATTAAATTGAAATTTCACCAAACAATGCCTTATATCCTAGTCCTTACATGTGCCAAATTTGGTTGAGATATGTACACAGGGACTTGCTGCCTCAGAAAAGTCCCACTACTTATGAATCCCCCCTCGTATTATATAAAGTAGTTCAATTATGATCACGGCGTAATCGCCCAAATGGGCATTTCTACTAACGCTCAATTGTTCAAAAAGTTAATATATGGTTTATAGTTTATAGTTATACTAATTAACAGATAATTCGTATATATTGAACTAATTAACAAGTAATTAGTTTATATTGAAGTTATCTGAAATACCATCTGTTTTGAAGTTTATCCACGGATGAATCCAACGAGTAACTTAAATCTGGAATGGTAAATGATGAATTATTTTGAAAAGCGTTGCTTGCAATTTTGTCACCCTTATATCTCTGATTTGAGCTTTGAAGATTCAACTACTTACAAACCCATGGACCTCAATGATCCATCTTGCCCGTTTTTGTAGACTTCCAGGAAGGGTGAACTCCTTCTCGATAATACCTTGTTTTGAGAAATACAGTTTAATAAGAAACATATTAAAATGTTAAATACAGTTTAAGATGTTACTGTTTGTAAAACATAAAATACACAATTATATGGAAACATAATGGCAATAAATAATATATGAATAACACGATATCAGGATAGCATACACAATTACATGTATACAAATCTATCAGACAGTCTTATAAAAAACATAATAACCATGGTCAAAAGAAACATAATTTTATGAAAATCATTATAATCAAAGACTTCTCAAAATGTGGGATAAGCAATAAAATGTAGATTTTCTATATTGATTTTGCGAAGGTACAGCAGCCCTACGCCTACCGTAAAGCAAATGTGACCGAGACTTACATTGTCGATTCTACCTCTCCAATAAGAGGTCTACATCTACATCTACATCAATAATCCGCAAAAGGCTAATAAGCCCACTTAAAGCAGATATATAGCTTAACAGTGATATAATTTGAATATAATACAATTTGAACCTTAACATTTAAAAAATAGATCTATGGTTTACAACTCATTTTGAAATGAGTTGTGTTCATGGCCATGTAATTATTTATATTTTTCAAAGAGTTTCTACCCCATGATATAATAATGTTTATTATCCTGACTTAAGATATTAATACATTGAAAAGTACATAACATCGTTCTAAATTCACATATGACTTCACTGTTAATGTGGCTGATGAATTCAGTCGAGATAATTTCGTGTCATTTGTAAAGTTATCCTACCATTATTGATTGCCTGTGCTAACCAGCGTCTCACTATGACGTCACTGTGCTCTATAATGAAGATGTCAACTGTCCCCTGTACTGGCATCAGATTTGGCGTGACTGGGATAACTCTAAATCTTACTGAAAAACAGCAATGTATCATTTTGGATATCGGGTCTTATTCTTAAATTATCTCAATTTTAAAATAATTTGGGCTCTCATCACATCTTGTAATGTATCGGGGGTTTTACTAGAAATCACACAACAGGCTAAATAAATGAAAACAATGGCAAAATTAATGGAAATCATAAATTTAACTTAAGTTCAAAAGTTCCTAAAAACAATCGGAGATTTTGTGAAAACAACCGGTGAAAATTATCTAGCTATTGCCTACTGCTAATGAAACCCCTGTATATATTTTCTAAAAAATTCCAATATTGCATACTTTAATAATTATTACTTGCAATTTACATGTACCTCCCCTTGTAGCTCTGATTCTGCCTTGAATATGCCTTTAGGAGGTTAACCACTTGTAAATAAATGTGGGTATATCCATTATTTAAGGATTTAAGGCCTGTAATCAGCGCACGTGGATTGGCCATTCCTTTAAGGGGTTGCTTCCCAAACTTTGCACGAGATGTGGAGCATCGAGTGTTTATTTGAGGAAACAACGCCCAAGAGAAATGGTCATTACAAAATGAATTGAGACTTGGGCTTAAGCGTACTGTTTTCACACATTGCAAAATATTTTCTGCAAAATCATCACAAAAATAAGAAATCACTAATTATAGGACATATTTTAAATTAATTATTTGCAAGGGTCAAGCTGGCAAAGTATCAATTTCAATCTGTATAGTCCAGTCATCACCATGACAACCGTTTAACTAGTGACATTGAGCTCGTTATTGGTTATATAACGGAATGCAGCAACGTGAAATAGCGTGATCTAATTGGCTGGAATCGGACACACCTTGCCCAGCCTTGTGTGAATAAACAAATAAATGATTCTTTATACACGTGTGTAAAATTGTGACGAAGTCATAGCTGACCTCGTTGGCCAGTCTACTTATTTCACTTCACATCAGTCGATGTCATAATGATCCTTTTCTGTTACTCATGTTTATAATTATTGCGTTATTTTGATTAGTTTATATTTGTATTATAACAGTTGTTTTAGTGATCTTTGAACCCAGTGTGATATTTCACATTATTATATCACTATCTAGCTAGCGACAGTATGATTGGTCAAAACCGGGTCACATGTCGTGGGATATCAGGCGATATTCAATGGCAATGCTAATCAAATAAGACAACCGTGAGATATCTAGCGGTATCCCACGCTCCCGGGAATTTTCAAAGAATTTGTTTTCGTTCAGTGTAAATAATTTAGTTCAGTGTAAGTCAAAATGGCAGACGAACCGAGTAGATTCGTAAAAATATCTGAAGACTTAATGACTTAATAATATTAGGGATGTTTAGCTAGACAGTGATATAATAAAACAAATATTTCACTCTATTTTCGGTGAATACCTGTAGCACTTTCACAAGGTGATATTCCACTTGCCCTTCGGGCTTCGTGGAATATCACTTGTGAAAGATGTACAGGTATTCACCTCAATAGAGCGAAATATTTGTTCAATATCAACAGTTTAATTTTCAATGTTTTATCATCATATTGGAGCAGTTTTAGGCATGACATATTTTTAGAGCCAATCAAATGAAAGGATTATTCTTGAGATATGAGTGACAGAAAATGATATGAAGTCAACTGATGTGAAATTTTGTAATGTTTAGTTAAGTTGTTTATACGTTTCGATAGTTTTTGTCATCGTCTTGAAGACTGCAAACTGATAAGTAAAGTAAAAAGCGATAAAATTTAAAGTCCCAGAGTACAACTGACCAAAACATCAATATAGTCCATGGTACGGCCCATAGATATTTCGAATCAGTGGCATGATATATGCGCAGCGACATTTGAACCGATATTTTGTAAGGGGCGTTTGTCCTTATGCTTTTAGAGAATGCAGTTTGCTGAAAAAACTTCAGGCTTTTGGGTCGAATTATGCCTGTCATCACGAGAGGTCAAAAACGTAAAACTTTTTTTCACATTTTAGTGCATTTTATGAGACTCAAATTGTTAATCCAAACTTATATACAATGTAAAAGATTATAATTAGATAAGAATATATTATTATTCTAACGTAAATGTCATTTTTCAATTAGTTCATCACAAAAGGGTACTTTTCAAGGTTTTATTATTTTCTAAAAATAAGACAGAGCAGATGTGACAAAATTATAGAAATATCCGGAAAAATTATAATTAGTAAAATATTAGTTTTGTACTTACAGAAACATTATATTCACGGACATTTTTTGTTCCGTTTCCAAGGGTCAGACAACGGATTATTTATTTTTATGATATATAAAAGCAATCAAATACAAATATGAATAAGTAATTCAATTTTGGTATTGGAATGTTTACAATTTAAACTAAATGACCTAGATCGAGGAATACGGCAGGCGCAGTCAAACGCCTCGCAAATGTTATAGTGTCAAAGTGCTGTGCCTGCAACCATAAAATCACCATGCAATTTTGTAAACATACTCCAGTTTTAATTATCGATTTTATAAGTGAGAACGCTACGTTGATTGATTAAGAACCAGAAACCAACATTCGTGATAGATAGGTGACGACATTCAGTACGATTCATGTATGCAGTTGTTAGTCTTTTTATATCTATCAGATATAAAGTTCACATAAATTCTCTATTTGCTTATTGATTCATATTTTATTCTATTTTTTACTTTTTACTTTTTTACAATAGTTTTTATATTCCATGTCTTAATATCTTTCTTAGCGTGCTCTTTGTCAAAATCTTAATGTTAATTCTAATTAATTCATTGGAACATTTCTTTTTATAGTCTGCTGGTTTTATTTTTGTTAATTAGTTAATGATATTAGCCGACTAAAAATTAGCCAACTAAATTAGCCGATGATGGAATCGTCGGTCTCAGAGAATAGAAAACTGGTGCCAAGTTTGGTGTGGCAAAATCATCCAGCTTTCTTTCCTGAGACCGAAGATTCCTCATCGGTATAATTGTTTATACAAATAGACAGTACATTTATTACACAATCAACTCTGTGATTGTTATGATTTCACAGAGTTGAGTTGATTGTATGTTTACAATATTTCTAGCTCAGTATAGCGAATGCGGTATTTTGGTATTCCTTAGGAAAAGAGAGTTTGGAATACGCTTAATTATGATTTGGCATAAATGTGTCTCAATTGGCATACAAACGTCGCATTCTGGCATAGTTGATCATATCATAAGGAAAAGCAAGTTTGTTTATAAACGAGATACTTGTTCCTTGTTTCCAATAATAATGTTGTTTATATTAATCTGTGGCTAAGAGAAAGATAAGAATTAGACTATGTGTTATTACTCACACAGTAGAGGAAGATTTGTGAAATTCAAGATACTCATAAGTTTTCGAACTGTCCCTTGCGAAGACAGGATTTTAGTTTTGTTTCGATCATAATTTGACAAGTATTTATTCAATTTTAAATGTTCACTAATAATATAAGTTAGAGCCATTACTATCATTAATAAGAGTGAGAAACAATGTAAACCGAATGCAGACAACATATGGATATACACTGCGTTCTATTTCAGTGATACCTACTCATATAATTACGGACTGAACACACAACACCAAGTGCTTTATCTAGTACATATACCTTTAAGATGCCACCTAAGAAAATATCTGGCGAAGATTTACTGAAGGATGAAAATTTTGTTCAATCCATGACTCAAATTGTTACTGAAGCAATCACACCTATCATCAAAGATACACTTTCAGATGCTGTTAAAGATGTTCTGGATACGCTTAAAGAAAATAAAGCCGACTTAATGAACACTTTGGACAAAAAGGTGGATGAGATCAATAGGTCTATAAACTTCGTGGATGGAAAGCTGGAGAAAACAATTGAGTCAACGAATGCGAACAAGAAAACGATCACAGAGCTTAATAGTCGTATAACAGAGATGACAATGGATTTGAAAAGAGCGAAAATTGCATACGATACCTTATCGGACAAAGTTCTTGATCAAGACACATACTCTAGGAGAGACAGCATTCACTTTTACAATATAGAGGAATCAGAAGATGAAGATTGTGAATTAAAAGTGAGGAAGATGATTAATGAACAACTCAAAATAGATGCGAAAGATATAAAATTCGAAAGAGTCCATCGTCTGGGGAAAAGAAACCAAAATGATAGATCAGCAAATAAAAGCAGACCAATTACAGCAAAATTCCATTGGTTCAAAGATAAAAAGCTGGTATGGGACGCTCGACGAAACTGCAAAGACTCCCCATACAGAATGGATGAAAGCTTTTGTAAAGAGATCAACATGAGGAGAAAGGCACTCTACCCGTATATGAAAGAAGCGCGGAATCAGGGAAAACGAGCATTTATGATAGCAGACACACTACATTTGGACAATAGAACATACAAGAGCACAGATGTATCCAGAATACCAATAACCTTGAGGAAAGACTAATATCTTTCGATGGAGGAGCCCACAGAGACTTTAATGGAAAATAGTTCATCAACTGGTTATTGAAGGACTATTGTTAAGAATATAATGAATGTGTATGTGAGAATGGAATGTCTGAACTTGATAGGAGTGAATGAATATTTAGTAATGTTGTACAAATATGTTATTTTTGTGATACGATACTGTTGTAAACTAATCATATGCCTAAAAGTATATATTGGATATAAATTATTTAATACTACATATTTTTATAGTTTAAATCACAAAATGAACAGGCGCTAGATCGATGATGAATTTTAATATGCTATCTTTTAATGTTAGGGGCTTGGTGAATCAAAATAAACGGGATACGGTTATGAATTGGGTAAAAAGTAAAAACAAAGACATTACCTTTTTACAAGAAACCCACAGTACACATGAAATCGAAAATACATATAATAATAACTGGAAAGGTGATATATATTTTTCACACGGGTCCTCTAAAAGTAGAGGAGTAATGATATTAATAAAAGACTCTCTTGACATTAAGGTCAAACGACAAATTTCTGATAAAAATGGGCGGTTTCTTATTTTAGACA